ACAGATCATTTTCGGTTTCCAAATCCACCGCAACCCACATGTTAGGCCCCACATGTAGATCAAATTTGGGATATACATTAAGCCCGTCATAGTTTCCATATGAGAACCCTGCTCTTATTAGGTAGTTGATCCCTTTGTTTACTGTGAGGTTGTAGCAGTTTCGTACTCCATCCGGAAAATATCTCAAATCCTTGTACTGCCTGTAGGTAGAGGTCAAAAGATCACCAGCTTCCCCGCGTTTACCACTTTGGATGAAATCAGCATCAGATGAGAATGTTAATCCGGTTACCGGGTCGGTATAGGGAGACTCACCGGTAGGTAAGCCACAGTCCAAACTGATGAATCCTGATAAAGCACAAAAAGACTAAAGTAAGACGCTAAAATTTGTAATAGAGAAAATTCTTCAAATATAAGCCTAGTCTCGGAAATATAGCTGTCATGAGAATTTTATTGTGACCATGCATGCAACTAGAACAAATCGATCTCAAATTGGAAATGAGAACATTGGACTACAACTATTGTTAATGTAATACTACCTTGTTGATCAACAACACTTTTGCAACGAATATTTAAAAACTACCTTGTTGATCAGGTTGAGCTTGAACAAGATGTATAATAACAAAAGCCACCAAGCTCAATACCCGTAAATATTGGCTAAGACGTTCCATTTTCAAGTGAACATACGAAATTTTGACACGAAAGACAATATCAAATATATGAGAGAATACAGTACAAAAAGAATGTTCGTGTGGAAACTTTCCAAGATAATTTAAACCAAAAAAAATTATCAATAAGATCCGGTCAGGTTATTCTTCCCAGCACGCCTAAACTGGTCTAACAAAAAAGTTATTATACATATATATTTTATATTACAATTTGGCGAAAAAGGTGAATATTAAATCAAAGCATATGATGTTATCTTGTCTTTTTAAAACAATGTAAAACCTGCCAAATTGATATAATGTCAAAGCTTCATAGTTATATGATAATTCTGCCAACGAGTTCAACGACTTTATTTTACAAATCACAACTTGATGGATTCAATTATTCTTTTGACTAATCATAAGCGCAATATCCCCCACAATAAAATATTTCTTGTCTACATAGCTTTCTTATTTGTCACGAAACAAGTCTTTGTTATGTTCTTGGTTTCCCTAGAAACTTTCCAAGAAGGTGAAGAGTTATTTTTTGATGGCCATAATTGGAAAATTCTATAATAGATAGAACTATAGTTCATAATATTGTAAAATTCATAATTGGAATTTTTTCCTTCATGGTTGGAAGAAATAGAACTATAGTTCTTCTATCTGTTATGCGATTGTCTAATGTTGAGTAAAGCATGATAAGTTTATGATAATCTAAACTCTTGAATACTCTTTCCCAAACATTTTTGTGCTTATATGCTTACTAACTATAATATTATGTTTTGAAAAGAGTGATTGGCTGGTTTATTAAACATGATTGGCTTATATTTGGAATGCTCATTGGCAATCTTCTAGTCGACGAAGACCCCACTAATTCAAAACACAAAATTCAGAACCAAACGGAAACAAGAAACCCACACTTATAGCTATAATTTTAGATACGAGAACGAAAAAGCACAAATGAAGTTGTACTAGTAATGATCACAATAAGAGAAAAGAAAGGAAGTCTTCGAAGTCTGCTGGCATAAGTTACCGTGCGTTAGGGGTAACTTCAGTGTTAAAGCTCACGCTCATTTCAACAGAACTTCTTGAGTCCATGTCTTGTCTCCCTCCTTGTCTTGAGTTTTCTGATGTTAAACACTGCTTTAGTTCATTAGTAACTTGAGACATGTTTGGTCTTTTCTCTGAAGACGGATTCACGCATGACATTGCTATCTCAAGAGCTTTCCAAACAGAAGTAGGCTCATATTCCCTATTTAGTCTTGGATCCACAACATTTTCAAAATCTCCCTTGGTAAGCATGTGTCCCACCCATGCTGCTATGTGTGGCTTTTCTCGAGTTTGCTGAATTACAGGCCGACTTGTGATTATCTCCAAGATTACAATTCCAAAGCTGTATACGTCACTTTTCTCATTTAACCTGTTTGTTCGGTAATATCTGCAAAACAAGAGATACAATTTCTTTTACCATATGAGGAAGGAAAACAGGTCAGTGTCAAATTAGAGAGGTGATGTAAATCTTACTCAGGATCAAGATATCCAGGAGTACCAACAATAGCTGTTGACACATGAGTTTCACCTCCGATAGGAAAAGATCTTGAAAGGCCGAAATCTGCTAGTTTAGCTTGGAAGTGCTCATCCAAAAGTATATTTGTTGTTTTGACATCACGATGTATCATAGGAGGTTTGGAACCAGTATGCAAGTATTCCAATCCTATATTTATATAAATTTATGGTTCATATCACACAATTCAAATGATTGATGGATTTTGAACTTTTAAACAAACCTTGTGCAGTCTCGATGACAATTTTCAATCTACTTGACCACTTCAAAGGGGAGCCACCACGTTCTCCTTTAATTCAAAACATTTGAGTGACATTATAAAGACACAAAACATCAAAATCATACAAGTCATTATTCTGTATGTGTTAATTGTGATCATGAGTTCAAATTTATACCTGAGAGATGTTGTTTTAAGTCTCCGTTGGGTGCATACTCATAAAGGAGGGCGAGGTGGCTCTCTTCGTCACAGTATCCTACCAAGCTCACCAAATTTACGTGGTGAACTCTCAAAAGAAGTTCAACCTAACCAGCATGTCAAAACATAATTTAGAACCGTTACATGTTCTTTATAAAGATAGGAAATCCATGTTTAACTTATTGCATTATGTATTAATTGAGCTTAACATACCTCTGCTTTGAATTCCTTGTAGCCCTGGACTGATGATGGAGAGAGTAGTTTGACAGCTACTGGTTGCGTACCATTTAAAGAACCATGGTACACTACTCCGAAACCTCCTTCTCCAAGAACTCTTTCAAAGTTGTCTGTCAAAGCTATCACCTCTGAGTATGTGAATCTTTTTGTCTGCGTAAATATGGATGGCCTAGTACTTGGTAATTCTTGTTGAACTGAGGAGAAAGAATATGTTGTCAAACAGCTAATATGGTTTAGTCTCTTTACGTATACAATGATGCATGGTAATTATGTACCTTGCGTTGCCCTTTTCTTTCGGAAAACAAGAATGAGAATCAGCACAGCTACAATGATGAACACAGAAGCTACTGATGCAACAATTGCTACAACGTAGTTTTGATTGTTTTTCTTGCATGACGCATCAGCACACAACTTTGGGTTACCTTGGGCCCTTAAGAGCATAAGTGTTGTTAAATAAGACAAAAATAAACAAAAACCAGTGGATATTTGATGTAAAAAGCATATAAATTGAAAAATCTTACGTTAGCTTTAGCCCATTCTTTTCTCTGTTATGAAACACATTAGGAAGAGGACCCGTGAGATCATTCCAGTTTAAATTTCTGCCAAGGAAAAGAAAGAAATATAACGTTGACACAACAGCCAAACCTAGAGAAAACTAATCAACTTACAGTTTGTTTAATAAACTTACATGATCGATAGTGACTTCATGCTGGCTAAGAATGCAGGCACTCCTCCAGTAAAACTGTTATTTGATAAGTCCCTAGCATTTACAAAATGTAAAAACTGAAATGTGATAACAAGTAGTTCAAGTATTTTTTATCGTTTGTATAAAGTTATAATTTTTTTCTTTCTAATAAATATAATGATGATGTAAAAAAGAAAAAAACAGTATACACTTACAGTTTCCGAAGCTCGGTCAAATTTTGGAAGGCAGGCGCAATGACCCCTTTTAACCCTCGTGATGACAAGTCTCTGTATGCATTAGAAGAACAATTTTCAAGTATGAGATACTTGAGAGAATTGAGTTTAACATGAAGTAAATTGTATAAGATAGTGATCTTAATTTATATTTACAAGGAAATAATTCTTGGTGGCGTAGACTTATTTGTGTAGCTGCACTTTATATCTTCCCACTTTAACAATTCAGGAGCGCAAGGATCTCCTTGCCAACTAATCATGCTCAATCCATAAATAGCTTGTATATCCTTCATAGCAGCAACTAACATATAGATAGAGTAGAAAAATTAGCATAATTAAAAAAGGTTAAAGTTTCTAAATTAGGCTACATAGGAATAGTGTGACTAACCATCATTTGGATTTGTTTCAGCATATGGAAATTCTACAACCTTGAAAGCCTCAATAGCATTAATCAGTGGTGGAAGAGTAGACCTCGAAGTTCTTACCAGGTCCAAATAGCACAAGCCGAAGCTACATTTTTGTGGTGACAGATTGTATTTGGTATCTGATTGTAACATCGTAGGACTATACGCTGACTGAACAATATGATCTTCCAATTCTATGTCGAATTCTCTTGTATCATTGGAACTTAAGGATTGTATCTCGGCAAAATGAAAGTACACATTGACTCTGTCACTGTCGTCTTCAAGTGACAATAAGAATCTCAATGGTTTGGTAGCATTTTCCGGCGAAATTCCGGACGTACTTACCGCTTCTGGTACTTGAAAGGGACTAGAGGATCTCACACTGAGTGTGGTGTTTACTTCTGTTTCGAATTCGTTATAATTGTCCCATTTGCGATCAAAGACATCATCAGGATACCTGGAACGTTCTTAGGGTTAGCCATGCAAAAGTGAATAAAATGTGGTGAATTTTCATAATTTCATTAATAAGCCTAGAAAACAGAGAACTTCATGAAGAACCTTAAAACTTAAAATAAACCCATTTCCTCTATATAATTTTTTTTGACAATGTAGTGAATTAACCAAGTAAACTAATCACATCTGTTTTTTTGTTCTTGGAAAAAGAGAATGTATCATGGAAGAAAACCTATAGTCTATTTTTGGAAAACCTCATCATTTGGAGTTTAAGCTTACATACCGTATAGTACCACTAGAATTGCTAGAATAGTGCCGCCGGTAAATGAGGTCCAACGGACCGAAACGTGTAGTATAAGAATCATTTCCCAACGGCCGTACTTCCAAGGTTGATATCATTGGTATAGTTTGTCCTGTCTTGACGAGACAAATCTGCAATAAGTTTGACTTTGACATGTAAATGATCTCACGATCATTTTCGGTTTCCAAATCCACCGCAGTCCACATATTAGGCCCTATATGTAAATCAAATTTGGGATATACATTAAGCCCATCATAGTTTCCATATGAGAACCCTGCTCTTATTAAATAGTTGATGTCTTGCTCCACTTTCAGATTATAGCAGTTTCTTATTCCATCCGGAAAATATCTAAGATCCTTGTACTGTCTTCTGTCATCACCAGCTTCACCGCGTAAACCATTTAAAATGAAATCAGCATCGGACGAGAAGATTAATCCGGTTAGTGGGTCGGTATAAGGAGACTCATTAGGAGGTAAACCACAGTCCAAACTGATGAATCCTGGCAAGACACAATATGCATTAGTGAAAATAGTGTTTTCCTTGTTGATAAACCATGAAGCTTATGGAAGAAAAAAGAGTTAAACCAAAAACAGATAATTTCTAACATCTTAACTAAATTACATATCTATATAGTTGCTACTGCGAATTTCTATAGTGGCTAGGCATATATAACAAGTAAAAGTTAGTCGATGATCTCGACCAACATGACGATGATACTAACTACAACCATGCATGGTTAATCCTATAATGAATTTTGTGTGTATGTGTGTGTAAGAAAGTGGACATAAAGAAATTAACCTTACTACCAAATAATATGTAAAAAGAGTTACCTTGTTGATCAGGCTGAGCTTGAACAAGATGGATGATGGCAAAAGCCACAAAGCTCAACGCTAGTAAAAGTTGGTGAGGAACCTCCATTTTCAAGTTAACGTACAAACTTTTGATACGAATGACTATGAAATATATAAAACAGTATATTGATTTTCTAGTACAAATTGAAATACTTAAGACTGAGAAAAAATAATTATTATAGCACACATCTGCATGTTGGCGTGGAAAACTCTCTAATATTATCGTTTCATGTTACTCGTCCAAGCATGTTTGAACTGGTCTAACAGAAGACATACATTCTTTATTCCAATATGTGGAAAAAGATGAAGATTAAATTAAAGCACCTGATGTTATATTTGTTTAAACAATGTTAAACCTTCCAAGTTGATCTAATGTCAAAGCTCCACAATTATGTTATAATTCTGCCAATGACTTCAACGCTTCTATTTAACAAATAACAGCAACTAGACGGATTTAATATGTTTTGTTGACTTTAAACCTTAATATGTTTTCCTGGTATTGAAACATAAATTAAGGTTGGTCGTCTTCTTGACATACCCTAATATTCGTTTCATATGCCTACAATACATTATCTATGTAATACTTCTATTATGAGAGAGCTGGCAGCTAACGTCAAATGTAACGATTTAGCATTATAAACTTTTCAAGTAACTCTCCAATACTGGAGTGATGATGTTTTATTATACTTTAAAAAAAAATTTGGTTGCAATTGTTTTTATTTTATTTTATTATATTTAGTGCATCCGACTTTTACGACCGGGTCTAAATTACCAAAAACAAGCTTTACTATATTCCCCTGTCTCGCGTGTTTTCTGCAGTTATCGAAGATCAAGGGTTGAAGCAGAGACTGAGAGTTAAGTAAACTAGAAATTGACATACATTTAGGCACGAAAAATTTATATACACTTCCTGCATGTGTTGGCTTGGAATATGTCAATGAAATTTACGCAGTTATTAACATTAGGACAAAAAAAACAACATTTACGCAATTATTCATTCTTTAATTTTCTTGCATGAGTTGACCTTTTATTTTTGTAATATTCCTCACCATGTGTATATGATGTATTTCTAATTTGCGTAGCTTTCTTATTTTTCATCAAACAAGTCTTTGTTATGTTCTTGATTTCCAAATACACTTTCTAAGAAGATGAAGAGTCATGCCTTATTGGCCATTATTGGATTATTTTCCGTTATAGTTGGAGCTCAGAAACAAGAAGGTACTGTTTCATCTCTTTGTTGCTTATATATTTACGATCTCGGATCGTCCTAATAAGTATATATACTTTTCTTTCTTCTCTTTATCGATCCTTTTTAATTTGAACAGGATTCATCAGTTTGGATTGCGGATTTCCTATTGAGGAATCTCCGTATACTGATCCCTCTAATGGATTAACATACACATCGGATTCCACTTTCATCCAGACCGGAAAAAGTGCTACAGTCAATAAAGATTCCAACATAAAACTCCTAAAACCATATTTGACACTAAGATACTTTCCAGAAGGAAAACGCAACTGCTATAGTTTTATTGTCAAGCGTGGCACAAACTATCTCATCTACGTTAGCTTTGTATATGGAAACTATGATGGTCTTAATGTTATTCCAAACTTCGATCTCTATCTTGGTCCCGATAAGTGGACAAGAATAGATTTGGATGGAAGACAAAATGGTACAAGAGAGGAGATCATACACAAAGCTAGGTCAAACTCTTTGGATATTTGTCTTGTTAAAACAGGACCAACCGTGCCACTAGTCTCAGCCATAGAAATACGGCCGCTTAGAAATGATACTTATGTTACCCAATCCGGTTCACTGCGGTTGTCTTTCCGGGAGTATTATAGCAACTCCGGTGGGTATATACGGTAAGTCCACTTTGTTCTCTTTACAAAAAAAAGTCGATTTTGTTTCAAAAAGTTTTCTGTAATGAATCATGATATGTTTTCAATTTGTTAGTTCGTCCATAAACTACTGTTCGTCTTTTGGTAGTTAGAGACATACTTGTTTAGACTTTTGTTTTGTTTGTTTTTGTTGTCCTTTGGGGACATCCGTTAAAATTGAAACGAAGATTAGCATGACCTCTACATACTTGTTTAGATTTGTTAATTAGATTCTTCATTTTTCAAATCCTACAACCTTTTTTTATTTCGATTTGATATCAAATACTCTTGTTTGTAGTTTCTAATACGAAAAAAAAATTCTAAAATGTTAGCGGATATAAATAGTTTTTTTTTGCAAATATGTGTGTGAATATGGTCCATATGAATATGATATATATGTATGCATTTTGATATTTTTATTTTATTTTACAGATTTTTTGGCAATTAATAATTTAATTTTAAATTATTGGCCAAAACAAGTATACTAACAAGGCCAATGTAGGAATATCTATGTAGACTCGCGAATGTACTGTACACAATAGTAATAAATTAGTAATAGACATTGGCATGCTTAATTACTTTGCCTAATACAGTCTAGTTTGCAGGTATGAAGATGACGTCTATGATCGTATTTGGAGTGCCCAATTCGACTCTTCATATACGCAGTTAACAACCAATCTCGATATAAACAATTCAAATATATATGAGATACCAAAAGTTGCACTCAAAAGTGCTGCCACGCCTAAAAACTCCAGCGAACCACTGATCTTCACTTGGTATCCACAACCCTCTAATTCTGAAGTGTACTTGTTCATGCACTTCGCGGAGATACAAACCCTTGAAGCCAACGAGACGAGGGAGTTCGACATCAGCTTGAAAGGAAACTTTAATTATTCAAGATTTAGTCCCGACAAGTTAGAGGTATTTACTATATACACAGATACACCGATGAAATGTGGTTCTGAAGGTTGCAGTTTGGAGCTTGTAAGAACTCCGAACTCAACTCTTCCACCTCTGATCAACGCTCTCGAGGCTTTCAAAGTTATCCAATTCCCACAACTGGAAACAAACCTAAGTGATGGTAAGAAAAAATAACTTTCACTTTTACAATATATATATATTTCTCCCATATGCTACTCCCTCTGTTCATATTAGTTGTCATTCTAGAGATATTTAACTCAAACACACATTCAAATGCATTTCTAAAACATCAACTAATATAAAATGGAGGGAGTATTAATTAAGTGTTTCATTTTCGAATGTTTATGTTAGTTTCTGCGATCAAGAACATCAAAGCTACTTATGGTCTGAGTAAAATTAGTTGGCAAGGAGATCCGTGTCTCCCTCAAGATTTATCATGGGAAAATCTTAACTGCACATATGTATTTAATACCTCAACTCCACCAAGAATCATTTCTTTGTAAGACTATTCACAAGCACATATATAGTTTCTAGTTACTTATGAATGGATAGATTCTTACGTTTCTTCTTTTTGTTTTGTGACTTCATAATTAGAAATTTGCCAGCAAGTGGATTAACAGGTACAATAGCCCCAAGTTTACAAAATTTAACGCAAATACAGGAACTGTAAGTATTTTTATTAATCCATTATTAAATCAAAAATATTTGTTCGGACGAAACATGTATACCCTGTTACTTTTTGTATGTGCATGCAGGGACTTATCTAATAACAGTTTGACTGGGCCTGTGCCTGCTTTTCTTGCCAACATGAAATCCTTGTCGTTGATGTAAGTTTTCTAGAAAGCAGAGTGAAAATTTTCACCATGAGAATTTTTTGTTTTGTTTTCTATGTGCCTATATGAATGATGGTTTTTCTCAACAGAAACTTAAGTGGGAACAATCTTAGCGGGTCAGTTCCTCAGAGTCTTCTTGACAGAGAAATGCAAGGACTTGTGTTATTACGGTAAGAGTTTTATTTTCCATTATAGGCATGCCTGCATTTTATTAGTTAAACATATATAGTAGCACTTTTTTGTACCAATATTAGGATGCATATGGTCTTCATTCTACTCGGCAATCTGATTAACTTCTGCATGACATGTTCCTTGTAGACTTGATGGAAATCCAAAGCTATGCAGATTTAGTTCATGCAATTCAAAAAAGAAAAATGGTATCTTGGTACCAGTTATTGCATCGGTTGCCTCTGTTGTTGTTCTAGTGGTGATTGTTGCTCTATTTTTTGTTTACCGAAAGAAGAAGGTGCCTTCAGGTGAGTCTCGACCCTTATAAATCATTTAAGAAATTTTATGCAATCAATTACAACATTTTGAAAATCAAACATTTTCTATGTAAATCTAGATGCTCTACCAGATGTGCCCGTAGAAGATGTTGGACACGCTAAACAATCAGAGCCATCATTTTTATCGAAAAAGATAAGGTTTACTTACTCCGAGGTTCAAGAAATGACGAATAACTTTCAAAGAACTTTGGGTGAAGGAGGATTTGGAATCGTTTATCACGGTTGTGTTAATGGTAACCAACAAGTAGCTGTTAAATTGCTCTCTCAATCATCATCTCAAGGCTACAAACATTTCAAGGCAGAGGTACTCTTTCTTCTCAATGATCTAATTAATGAGTGATTTTTTCTTGTTTTCCTTAAATCTTATAAGAGTACTAGCTGATGGATGGTTGGTTAGGTGGAACTGCTTATGAGAGTGCACCATATAAATTTAGTGAGTCTTGTTGGGTATTGTGATGAAGGAGATAACTTGGCTCTTATTTATGAATATATGCCAAATGGAGACTTAAAGCAGCATTTGTCAGGTAATAGAGCATTTTCTTTCAAAATCAAACGTGATTTCTAACGTGAAACAAAACGATCACACTTTAAGTCATCTCTGCCCGATTGATACAGGAAAGCGTGGTGGGTTCGTTCTGAGCTGGGAAAGTAGACTAAGGATAGCTGTGGATGCAGCATTAGGTACACACTAATTTTATTCAATAAAATATAAGACAACTACATAGTTAAGAACTGTGACTTTATATTGTATAAATTTTGCTTCTAGTAAAGGAACTTTATCTTACGAGCTGATGCAATGTAATTAGTTGCTCTATGATGAAACACTTCATTCAATGATTCTTCTGTCAAAACATTAATTTTTTTGGGGGTAGGATTGGAGTACTTACACACTGGATGCAAACCACCAATAGTTCATAGAGACATAAAAAGTACAAACATACTTGTGGACGAATGTTTTCAAGGCAAACTAGCCGATTTCGGGCTTTCGAGATCTTTTCCAATGGGAAATGAAACATATGTATCAACTGTTGTTGCTGGAACTCCTGGATATCTTGATCCTGAGTAAGTACTTACTTTCATATTATATGTTAGTCTATAAACCAACATTGTCCCTTTTAATAGTTAATAGTTTGAAACAATCTTTCATGTTTTGTTTTTTCAGGTATTATCAAACAAATTGGCTGACGGAGAAAAGTGATATTTATAGCTTTGGAATTGTACTGTTGGAGATAATCACAAACCGTAAAATAATTGATCAATCCCGCGAAAAGCCTCATATAGTAGAATGGGTCGGGCTTATCATAGGAAAGGGAGATATTGGGAATATTGTAGATCCAAACCTTCACCGAGATTACGACATTGGTTCTGTCTGGAAGGCTATTGAAATAGCAATGTCATGTGTGAATCTTTCTTCTGTTAAAAGGCCAAGCATGTCCCAAGTTGTTAGTGATCTAAAGGACTGTCTCATATCCGAGAATTCAAGGACGGGAGAGAGTCGAGATATGAACTCAGTGAGTTCTGTCGAGTTCAGCATGGATATCGATACCCAGATGATCCCTAAAGCACGCTAGTTGTGATAATGAATATACTCTTGTTGGATTGTGATGAATCTTGAATTCTGCATATCAAGGGTTTTACAATCGATTGGTTATTGGCTTTAGTGTGATATTGAAATGAATTGTTGTAATTTGTTGTAGGTTGTGTAAAACTATTGAATATTTCTAAGAATTGTATCATTGTATGGTAAAATGTGGAACATGAAATTACAGGAACCTGCACCAACAATAACAATAACACAGCAATGTAAACACATAAGATTTCTTCAACGAGATTTATGTTAGGAACCAAACCCGTAAGATCTTCTCTTTATTAATAAAAGTACGATTACAAGGAATTAGACTCTCAAGCTCTCATAGCGAACTTGGCGACTTGACTCATAGCGTCTAGGTCTTAGATTCTAATTCAATTAATCGATAGATAGCATAAACACCAAAACCCATATATTTATACTAAAGCAATGTAAAGACTTTCCTTTTCCCTAAGAGCTTGTGAATCCGATATCTTCCTTTTCTTCAAGAGTAAAGTCGGTGTGAATACTTCCTTTTCCTGTCCGCTCTTTCTTTTTCTTCCGTGTGTAAGCTCTCAAGGGGCTATCAATACCCCCATGGCGAAGACGCAGCTTGTCCTCAAGCTTGGAATCTGGAAATTGTTGAGTAGCTTCAGACATGCGGACCCATGTCTTCTCGTGATCAGGTAAACCCTTCCAAGACAATAAAACCTCCAAATGACCATCATCAGTATAGCGTGAATCCAACAGCAGATCCGGTTCCACAATCAGTTCATCATTAATGGATAGAACTGAAGGTAAGGGATTCACCACATGACCTTGTCCCAAAACCGGTTTCAATTGAGAAACATGAAAGACTGGATGAATCTTAGACTCGGAAGGCAAGCGCAAACGGTAAGCGGATGCACCAATCTTAGCTAGAACCTCGTAAGGACCATAGTAAAGAGCTGATAACTTCTGACATACTCTTTTAGTCACAGACTGTTGTCTATAAGGTCTTAGCTTAAGAAAGACGAATGCTCCCACCTCAAACTGCAAATCTCTTCTCTTCTTGTCTGCATTATTCTTCATGTTTTGCTGAGCGCGCAACAAACATTCCTTAGCTTCGATCAGCATTGCATCTCTCTCCTGCAACATCTTCTCTAATTCAAAGTTACTAGTCGTTCCAGCCTCATAGTGTAGCAACTGTGGTGGATCTCGTCCATAGACCAACTTAAAAGGAGAACACTGAATCGCAGTGTGGAAACTAGTGTTGTACCAAAGTTCTGCCCAAGAAAGAAACTTAAACCATTTCTTTGGATGAGAAGAAGTAAAGCACCGGAGATAGGTTTCTAAGAAGCGATTTAAAACCTCAGTTTGCCCATCAGTTTGAGGGTGATATGCAGTGCTATACTTCAGCTTGGTTCCAGAGAGACGAAAGCACTCACGCCAAAAGCTGCTTAAGAAGATCTTGTCTCTATCTGAAACAATGGATTCGGGAAACCCATGTAATCGAACCACTTCTTTGACAAAAGTATTAGCGACATCTGCTGCAGTAAAAGGATGCTTCAATCCCACAAAGTGCCCAAACTTACTTAACCTGTCCACTACAACCAATATCACGTTAAATCCTTGTGATGTAGGAAGCCCTTCAATGAAATCCATGGAGATATCAGATTCTTTCTGGAACCGGTAAAGGTTGCAGTAACCCTGCTGGACAAAGAGTAGAGTATTTATGAGTCTGACAAATGGAGCATTCAGCAACAAATTTCTGCACATCCTTCTTCATGTGAATCCAGTGAAAAGAACCTTGAATACGCCTAATAGTTTTCAACAACCCTGAATGTCCTCCAAGTAAACCTGAATGGCATTCCTGTAAGATCATCGGTAGATGCTTGGAGTGTTTTGAAATTACCAATCGTCCCTTGTATAACAATCGACCACCAATAACAGTATAATGAGGGTTATTATGACTGTTGGTTAAGACTTGGGTCTTGATTTCCTGTAACTGTGGGTCTGCTTCAATTTCATCGTAGATATCCTGAATCTGGAGAGAACTAGGAATTGTCAAAGCAAACAGTGTCGCCGGATCAGTGATTTGGCGAGACAACCCATCTGCTGCAGCATTCTCCAAACCCGGTTTATACACAATCTCAAAATCATAACCTAGTAACTTAGAAAGCCACCGCTGATAATCCATAGTAACTTCTCTTTGTTCCAGCAGAAATTTGAGACTTTTCTGATCTGTTCACACCACAAATTTTCTTCCCATCAGATAATGCTTCCATTTTAGAATTGCCATCACGATGGCCATCAATTCTCGCTCATATATAGGCTTCAGCTGTTCGCGCAAGGATAAGCCTCTACTGAAGTAAGCAATAGGCTTCTTGTTTTGCATTAGAACAGCACCAATGCCAAATCCAGAAGCATCCGATTCAACAATGAAAAGCTCATTAAAATCAGGTAGAGCTAAAACTGGGGCAGAAACCATAGCCTTCTTAAGAGATTCGAAAGCAGCTTGAGCAGTAGAAGACCATTGAAACTTCTCCTTCTTCAACAACTCTGTAAGAGGTCGAGCAATCAAACCATAGTTCTGAACAAAGCGTCTATAATATCCTGTTAAACCCAAGAAACCTCGCAACTCCTTCACTGATTTGGGAAATTGCCACTCTTGAACTGCTGCGGTCTTGCCGGGATCGGTAGAAACTCCTTCAGACGTGATTATATGTCCAAGATACTCAACCTTAGTTTGACCAAATTGACACTTTTTTTCTGTTACCAAACAACTGGTGACGCACAAACACTTCCAACACTTGTTGTAAGTGAAGTAAGTGATCCTCCAATGACGAACTGTATACCAAAATATCATCAAAGAACACCAACACAAACTTCCTCAAGAAAGGTCTGAAGAGTTCATTCATCAAAGCTTGAAATGTAGCTGGAGCATTCGTTAGCCCAAACCGCATGACCAGAAACTCGTAATGGCCATCATGAGTCCTAAAAGCGGTTTTCTTGACATCTTTCTCCTGCATTCGGATTTGGTGGTAGCCAGAGCGAAGATCAAGCTTGGAAAAAATCTGTGCTCCATTCAACTCATCCAGGAGCTGGTCAATCATCGGAATTGGAAACTTGTCTGCGACAGTAGCCCTGTTTAGCGCCCTATAATCCACACAAAATCTCCAGCTGCTGTCTTTCTTCTTGATCAAAAGACCAAGACTCGAAAAAGGGTTGTGACTAGGCCTGATAATTCTTGTTGCCAACATGACGCTTACTTGCTTCTCCATTTCTTCCTTCTGCGCGTGAGGATATCGATATGGTCGGACGCTAATTGGTCCACTTCCTGGCAACAAATTAATTGAATGTTCTCGCCCTCTGACTGGTGGTAAGCTAGTTGGTTCTGCAAAAACACAGGTGTACTCCTCTAATTTGGATTCCAGCTCAGGGTAAACTTCTTGTAACTGTTGTGTTCCCAGCTGTATTCTTGGAAAAACGAGTGGAGCCCCTTTGTGTTGTATCGTCAAAGACGGTTGCATCGACTTTAAAGAAACTCGTCCCTGATGCAGTAAGGGATCTCCGTGAAGAGTAACCCATTCACCATGATACCTGAATGTTAATTCATGAATATCCCAATCCACTTGACACTTCCCTAAAGTCCGAAGCCAATGGATTCCCAAAATAATGTCAGCGTTACCCAACTTCAGCTCAATAAAATCTGTAGTGAATGATAAAGCTTGAATTATGAAATTGCACATTCCGGCAAATCCCTAAGCCATTGACAGAGATTCCTGTTCCTAGCAACACCTCCAAGCGTTTGTTCTGTTCAGTTCGAAGCTTGAGTTTTGAAACCAGAGAAGGAGAGATGAAGTTATGAGTTGCTCCACTGTCCATCATAATCACCACTGAAATCTTACCAACCATACCTCTCACTTTCGTGGTTGTTAGAGAAGAACGACCCAAAAAATAATTAAGTGATAACTCACACAGCTCTCCAATCAACTCATTCTCTTCTTACTCGACTTCTTCCAACTCTTGTTCTAAAATCCCCATCGAAAACCCATTGATGACCGTAAGAACTCTGAGCTCTGCATGCGGACAAGGATGACCACGAAAGAAAGGTCCCTTACACTGAAACAAATTGTTTTTCGTCGCATCTCATCAAGCTCCGCATCAGTATGTAGCTGCCTTGGTCGTAACTCAGCTGAAGAATTATGCTGTCATGTCTCCAATGGTTTATTTCCCCAAGCAAGCTGTTTTACTGCGGTTCCCACCCTGTTGTCTTGCCCATAAGTTGATTTCAATGGCTGAGATATCGTAGTGGTTTTGAAGTTTCGAAAGCCACTCGGTTTGGAGAGCTCTTGCTTGCTCTCTCCCATTACTTTACAGAAAACAGAAGATTGCATCTTCATCACCGCAGCTTTATGTTTTGTCAAACCTTGTGGGTCCTTCAATTTAATCACCTCCTTCATCTCTTGTGTTAACCCATTATAGAAAGCATTAGTCAACGTTTTCTCGTCCATTCCACTAACCTGACCTGATAGTTCTTCAAACTCATTCACATAATCAGCGATGTCTCCAGTTTGTTGTAAAAACAATAAACGTTTTCCTGGATCATCTTCAATAGCAGGGGTGAATCGCTCTAACAAACGCTGCTTAAACTGTGTCCAATCCTTGAATGGAGCTGAAATAATCTCGCCATTAAACCAGTTAAGCACTGCGCCGTCCAAACAAAGAGAAACCAGTCCTAGCTTCTCTTCCTCTGCATAATTACCCAAACGAAAAAATCGTTCCACTCGAGAAATCCAACCATAAGGCAGACGACCCTCAAACACAGGCATATCTATCTTCCGTAACATGCTATCACGAGTTACCAAGGCACCGGATATTCCCTGAGACCCTAATGATTTAGCTTCGATGTCAAGAAGAGGCTGGTTTACCTGAGAAGAATCAGGCGAAGATGATTTTGTGTCGCTAGTTTGTCCATGTCCTGAGGAAGTATTAACCTCAATACGGGAAAGGATTTGAGCAAACGATGTCATCTGTGTCTCCAAAGCTCCCAGCCGTGATGACATTCTCTCACAGCCCACCTTGATTGCTGAGATCTCTCCATGTACTTCCCCCAAAGATCCTTCAATCAGTGTAATCCGATCTTCACACTCCTTGACCGTCATGATAGTTGCAAATCTGAAGCTCCCGCCGCGTCTCTGTTCGTTCCAGTATCAACAAACGCACCAATTTGTTAGGAACCAAACCCGTAAGATCTCCTCTTTATTAATAAAAGTACGATTACAAGGAATTAGACTCTCAAGCTCTCATAGCAAACTTGGCGACTTGACTCATAGCGTCTAAGTCTTAGATTCTAATTCAATTAATCGATAGATAGCATAAACACCAAAACCCATATATTTATACTAAAGCAATGTAAAGACTTTCCTTTTTCCCTAAGAGCTTGTGAATCCAATATCTTCCTTTTCTTCAAGAGTAAAGTCGGTGTGAATACTTCCTTTTCCTGTCTGCTCTTTCTTTTTCTTCCGTGTGTAAGCTCTCAAGGGCCTATCAATTTATTAAGATTTACTTTAAACCAAGATTTCTTACAATCTTGTTTAATCAGAGTTACACAACATCACACTTGTGATTTGCTCCTGAACTATATCCTAATCTACCCAATCTCGCAAACACAACAACAACTGTGTGTCTCTTTGTTCACTCACCAAAACCCCAGTTTCTTTTGAGATACATGTTGTTCTTCTTTTGACAGAACATAGCCTTTTTCTATTAAAAAATGAGATGCAGATTTTTAACCTTCAAAATTACTACTTATAGCCAAGTCTTCAATCTTTGAAACTCGCTATTGACCGTTGGACTGTCACGTGTCTTCTTTGCTTTTTAGACACCACCAATCCAACTGCACTTGCAATACTATCTTGACTTTTGCCAAACTCCTGTAACACATTTCTCATCGGCTCCTTGTGTAAGAGCAAATGCAGCGGTTATACCCTCTAAGTTTCTTTAAAAACAAATTTTTAATAAAAAAGAAATTGATTTTCGAGAAAAAAATAATAAAAATGATTTTTTTTTATATAAAAAAAGAGAAATAAAAGATAAGATCCAATCGAATTGTGACACTTGTCCAGCCTGTGTCAGAGAAACGTTTCTGCAGTCTCTGTGGGAAGAGACTTTTCTCACCTTAAAGCTCTCCACATAGATAAATATTTTCTTTTTTCTTTTTGTTTTGGTCAAAGAAACCCACTGAGTATGACCGCTGCATTTGCTCTAACATCCATAACCCGAAGAAGCTGAGTTTTTGTTTGGTGTCAGGAGACACTAGGAAGGGTGTCAGTCGACACCGGTCAGCACAATTAATTTCCGGTTTAATTCAAGTGTGTCGGTTTAGCTGGTTTAGTGGAAAACCCCTAGAACTCAAGATAAAAAGAAGCAACCGCGTTTCTTTCGACTGTTTTGTCGTTTTGTGAAAGAGGAGAAGTTCTAGAGGCGATTTGGTGGTGAAATCCGGTGTTCCTAGTCGATTCAGAAGCGAATCCTTGCTGTTCTTCGTTGCTTTCATCTCCTTTCCTTGTTCAATCCGTTTTTAGAGGTGAGTGCGTGACCATAGGCTCGTGTTTCACTAGATTTGTGATTATGGTTCGTGTTCTTGAGTTATTCATGTGATCGATTGAGTTTATGGCTGTATTTGGGTGTTGAAACCCAATGATTCTGTGTTTTTTGCTTGATTTCGTGATTTGGGACTCCGGATTGCGAGTCGGTGTCGAGCGACACCAGAGGTCGAGTGTCGACCGACACCGGGGTGGTGTTGCTCGACACAGAGCAATATTGTTGCTGTTGTTCATTTTTTGCTGTTAATTGCTGTTGTTGTTGCTAGTGTTTACACGTAACTGGCCTGTACGTGGGATGATCCACTAACTAAGTATTTATGATAATACTTTCGCAACTCTTTCGTATGTGTTGCAGGTAAAAGATTTACGTGATCGCGGAATCAAGACCGAAGAAGAGGATGATAGGAATTGTTTTCTTGTTTAGGTTGCTAGTATTTACTTATTATTCTTTGAATTTATTGTTTTGCTTCCGCTGAAACTGTTATTGTTATTTGATGATTTCATTTTTTAATTTATTTTAAAGACTTCCATTAGAATTGTTTCGTATTTTTTTTTTTTTTTAAAAAGCTTGGTTGTTTCACTTTGAGGTTATGATCGGTTTCCCGCCACCACCCGCAAATGCAGGGGTTGGTAGCGGTTATTGACGTTTTATAACAATCATAACAACCGTTCTGCCCCGCTCTATACCACTCTGTACCGCTCTAAATTACAGGAAATCAAAAGCTCATTTCCGCAAGCGTTTGCGGTTGCGAATTGAAAAAAAAAAAAAGACAAGATATATCCAAATTTGAAATTTCAAACTAGGATAATTATTCAAATGTGAAATTTCTGAATAATCTAATTAAAACGAAATTTAATAAATAAAAATAAATTTAAATAATAAAAACTAAAGAATATGATTTGATTTTGGTGTTTTCATTCTAAACTGATAAACATTTTTATTCATAATTATCTGCTAAAAATGTATCCTTTTGTGGCTTTATATTATTGTCAATGTTTATAAACAATCGATTATGTGTGATATTAAAATTGTTTATATAAAATTCTAAAAATAATTAAATTCATTGAAGACAAATTTTAAAATTTTCTCTTCAATCATCAATTTTTATATTCTAAATTTTAAATAACTGAACAAAAAAAATATCATTCATAATAATATTTTCGAATTTTGTTTCTAATTAATAATTATTTAGTAATGTTTTGTTAAAATAAGGTTAAAACAGTCTTTTTACATTTAAAAGGTGTATTTTTCAAAAAAAAAAAAAAGTTAGTATATTTTCAAATATCTAAACATAAGTAGGGTATTTTTCAAAGAACTCCTAGTTATATATTATGTTCATTTTAATAATTTTTCGTTAAAACGTTTTTGCACTGGTTAGCCAACCAGTTAAAAATATCTCGCAAACGCAACCGCTATGAAATGCTATACCATTCATACAAACAGTTTAATTATGTTTATATTCGCAAACCCCGTTTCCACAAACTTTCGCAACAGCAAACTCCCACAACCGCATCATTTAAACTAGCCAGGCCCTGAGTCTCTGTCACATTCGAACTGCTCCGCAGTCAGTCATGTCCAAGTTGTTCCTGCAGCTGGAACAACTTCATTGTTGACTCCACTCACGTTCTTCTTATTCCTTTCTCTTGTCAGAAACGCAGTCCACATCACCACTATCTTGCACACGCGCTTGGTTTTCTCGCCATCGCTTGTGCATCTTCAAGACTGCGTGTAACTTCAAGAATCCTTGTATCTTTGGAACATATTATTTGTATAAAGCAGCGCCTAACAAAGTAATAGAGAAGAAAAAACTCGATATAAAGTTCCATAAAAGAAGACACCTCAACAGTCTTTAATCTACCAGTACTATTTACGAGTTCTCACTTATTATTCACAAATTCTACAATGATGTACGTTAATCAAAAGATAACAATTTTAGACTTTACCGCAACTGTTTTTCTATGAGACTATGAACCCGTATCATAACCAATCATAGTATCAAACGTTACCCATAGCAAAAGTCAAATGAGACGTGAAGTGTTGCCTAACATACGTAAAGAGTTCTCTATAATACCGTTTATTTTTGTATTATGCAGATTTTACTTAATTTCAACTAGTCGAAGTTTGCACTAATTAAGCAAGAACATTGGACCATACGGATGATCCTGCAACGTGCCCGGGGCTAATAACACTATTTTGGGGAAAATTTCCACCACCTATCTGTCTATGGGTGTCTTTTATCATTAGTCTTTTTTTTTCTCAATGGAGGTCTTTTTATTTATAATATTATATAACATATTTAGATATATATATACACAAGCAAGGGTAACTTCACCTTTTGTTTTCATAGGTTTGACTAGAACAGCTTTCTAGAAAATGGAAGATCATCAAGGAAAACTATTGGTGCTGATAATCGGAAGTCTAGCCATTATAAACCTTGTTCAATGTCAGCCAGATCAACGAGGTATCTGCTATCGATCTTTTTAGTTTTATTAGATGGAATCAATGCTTGGATCTAGGTGTTTAATTTTGTGTGTTCGTAAAATATTTTGAAACATAAGTTAATCGAATTAAGAATTTATAATTTCGATACATATCTGCTAAGCATTTGCATTTCAAAATTAGTTTACATCTGAACAATGTAATTTATATAAAGTCTAGGGGACGTAATTTTTGCTATATGGGCACGGATCGGATATCTGACTTTTTTAGGAGATCTGGATCAGGATCCAAATTTAGGTTGGATCCGAAAATTCCGGTTACCCATAAAAATTTGGATCCAATTTAGGTTATCCGGCGAATATCTGCATCCAATTTGTGACCAACTTTTAGGATCATAATAATATTACATTTAAAAAATATAAGTTAGAATAGTAAAACGGTGAAGAATTATTTTAAATTTATAGTTTTTCCCAAAATGAAAAAATTAAAATATCAATTTCGCAATTTTTGCCATTAGTGTTGGAAATAACTGATGAAAAAATGCTTGTGTTAAACATTAAAAAGTCTTACAAGAGCTATTTGGCAACTAAATAGGCTTATATGTTAAAATTTATTTTATACTTTTAAAATCATTATTAAACTTTATTATAATTAGATTGGAGTGAGAATTTTTATTTTTTGGTCTAAGTTTGGAGTGAGACTAAAAAATAATTATTATCTAATATATTACCTCAGATACGGATGTCTCACTATGTAATTTTAAGGCTGTAGCTGGTGATTAATGAATGAGGTGGAATAAAAAATTCCCTCTCATGCATTCTCTAAGAATTACACCATTTAAAAGTAATGTGTAGTTTATATTATTTCTTCTCATTCCATATTCTTAATTCCATATTGATTAAAAAATTTAAATGTTAAAATATTTCTTATAAAATATGAGAAGGAATAAATTCCCTATATTTTATTCCTCTTCATTCTCATTCATTTTATTCTTTTAACGGTCACAAGTTAGAGCCTAAATTATCCAAATCAAGATCCGTGATTAATATCCGTATCTGGATCCAAACACTGTGAATATCTAAAATTTTGGGATGGACTGGATATCGGATCCCAAATAATTTGTTCATTCCTAATATGAGGGCTAAATTTTACAAAAAAGAACGCGAAGGCAAAAACATCAACAAGTGGCATTCATTTAAGCCTTGATTTTTAGAGAATTTAGAAGAAACTCTTTCTAATCCAATCAACTTTTTTTTTAAAAAAAGCATTTAGGAGAGCATCTAGAAATTGCTGTGCTCCAAACTGCTCATTCTCTTTCAATATTGAAATGAAGCATTTCCAAAGCATCGAGCTCTAAAATATTGAATTTGTTTTTAAAAATATATTTAGTTTATTATTTTAGTAAAAAAACCGAAAACTATATTTATATATATTTTTTTTTATAATTTCGTAACTTATTTTTATCATTAATGTATTATTCATAAATGAATATTTAACGACATAGAAATTCAATAAATATAATTTAAATATGAAATAAATAATAAATAATTTAGAAAAACTTTAAAAAGTCTTATGTTATTAATATAATATATATAATGCATTAAAATAAATATGAATATACATATTAAATATTTTCACAAAATTATAATAAAAACGCTCACAGCTCTACCAATCATTTTTAAGTCAAGAGCATTAAGCTTCAAGAGCACTCTGTTTATGCTCTTTAAGCGTAATGCTCTTCTAAATGCTCTACCAATCAAAGCCTTATTTATGCACATGAATCAATCAAATAGCATGCCGTGATAATGTAAATAGCATGTTTTTGGGTAGAATATAAACTATAAACATGAGTGAAATCAATGTTATATTACAAAGGAAAGATGTGCGATACGAAACAACTTATTTCTTTTTATTTTTCATATCTTATCATGTCATTTTTGCAAATAAATGACCAACAACCTATCGTCATTTAAAGCATATACTCTTAAATTGGCTGTCTTCCTTAGGCAATGTAAGTTTTGAAAAGCAACTCTATCCACACTTGTTTCTATTGTGTCTCTCTAGGATTCATCAGCTTGGACTGCGGGTTACCTACGAAAGAGTCTCCCTATATCGAATCAAAAACCAAATTGAATTTCTCATCTGATGCGGGATTCATTGGAAGTGGACAGACTGGTACAGTGGCCGATGATTGGATAGACACATATCAAAAGCAAAATAACATTTTGAGATACTTTCCAGATGGACTAAAAAACTGCTACAATCTGATTGTGAAGCAAGGCACCAACTATCTCATAAGAGCTACCTTTTCATATGGAAATTATGATGGGTTTGATAAATATCCCAAGTTTGATATGTATATAGGGCCTAATTTGTGGACAACGGTCGACTTGTCAAACGGCGCAAATCGTGAGATCATTCACATGCCAAAGTCGAACTCTTTGCAAATCTGTCTTGTCAAGACAGGACCAACAACCCCGATGATCACGACCTTAGAACTGCGGCCACTAGGAAATGATACGTACACAACTCAAACGGGTACATTGAAACTCCTGGACCGGCATTATTATGCTAGCGAAAGTGATATATTTGGTATTCGGTTAGTTAATCTCATCCTAAACTAAGTAATATTAATTGCCAGTTAATTTAACAGCTACTCCCTCCATCTCAAAAGAGTCTCATTCTAAGGTTTTATTTTTGTTTTACAAAGAGTGTCATTTTGTATTTTTAATAGTTTTCTTAATATGTTTGAAAAAAAAGTTGAATGACACTCTTTGTGAGACATAGTGAATATATTTTGTGTGTGTGTGTTGCGCGCAAAACAGCTATTACAATACTCTCATGTATTTTAAACTACTCATATTGTGGCAGGTATCCAGATGACGTCTATGATCGTAAATGGGATTTAGTTTTTCCGTCTAATGAAATATGGATAAACACCACTGCGAATGTAAATCAGTCTAGACCCTTTGAATTACCACAAGCTGTGATGAAAAGAGCTATTACGCCCAAAAAGGCTACCGAGCCATTGACTTTACTTTTCTTGTCTGATGAAAACCCTAGTGACAAATTTTACGTGTACTTTCACTTTGCTGAAATCCAAGCCCTACGAGCCAACGACAGTAGAGAGTTTGACATCGTATGGGAAGATACTACTTTTCTCCCACCTTATAGTCCTAAGAGGTTCCAATCAGATACCTTATTCAACAAATTGCCAAAGGAACAAGGCACGGTGAAGCTAGTGAGAACTAAAGGGTCAACCCTACCACCACTGATCAGTGCTATTGAAGCTTTCAAGGTTATGGATTTACCATATTCAGAAACAAATACGGATGATGGTATGGTAGTTAATTTCCCTTCTTTATTGAGTTTTTTTATATATTTGATTCAAAAATGTCTAGAAAATAGAAATACCTTATATATTTGGAGGCAATTCTCTATGATTGTTTCATATTGTTGGCTTCCTTGTTTAACCTCTATGGCAGTCGTATCTATGAAGAATATCGAAGCCGCTTATGCATTGAACTTCATCAGCTGGCAAGGAGATCCTTGCCTCCCTCGGCAGTATAAGTGGGATTATATAGAATGCAGCTATACCAGTATTTCTACTCCTCCAAGAATCATTTCTCTGTAAGATATATCACTCTCACTAGCTAACACATTTTTGCAACTGAAACCAATGTCAATGTAAGTATCTTCTTGTTGAAAATTCTTTTGCTCATGTACACAGAGACTTGTCAGGACAGGGGTTAAAAGGAACCATTGTGCCGGTCATACAAAATTTGACCCAGCTACAAAAACTGTAAGTTTTTTTTCTGTGTTAATGAAGGCTTATAATCTCCAAAATTTATCATGACTATGTGAAATTATATACTATAAAGGAATATACATGTAAGATCATGGTTTTCTCATAACATATATAATATAGTAGCCTGATTCTTGTTACAATTCCTCATGAAGTCAACTAGTTGTTCCATCTAATAACAAAGATGACCTTGGTTTTTTTTTTGTTACTTGTGCGAAATATGCCTTTACCATATTTAATTTGTTAATTCCTTGGGAATAAAATGAGTGACTTTTAAGATTACAATACCTATATAGGGACTTATCAAATAACAGTTTGTCTGGAGAAGTACCAGCGTTTTTGGCGAACATGAAATCACTGTCGAGTATGTAAGTTGTTTAAAACCAACATTCATTTGCTTCATCTCTTTTCACCATTTTTGGCTGATTCATTTAGTACAATTTATATCTACCTCAACAGAAACTTAAGCTGGAACAACTTGACGGGCAAGGTTCCTCAAGCCCTTCGTGACAGAAAAAAAAATGGGCTAAAGCTCTCGTAAGCTCTTATAAAAATAATTTGTTTTCATGAGCTTTCCTTCCATTTGGTACAATCTGTCAATTGCATGACACTTGTGCCTTGCAGTCTTAACGAAAACCAACAGCTTTGTCAAGATGATAAATGCAAAGAAGAAAGCAAGACCAAAGTGTTGATACCAGTGGTTGCATCGATTGTTTCCTTTGTCATTATAGTAGCTGTGATGGCCATCATTTTTGTTTCCAAAAAGAAAAAGAAGTTAAAAGGTATTTACAATATCCAAAAATACAATATATATTGCATACTAAACTCTCTGATGTTTTATATGATATGATTGATACAGTTCATCGCAGAACACCAATTAATAATAAGTTAGTAATCGTAAGCAAGAAGAAGAAATTTACATATTCAGAGGTTGAAGCGATGACAAATAACTTCGAAAGAGCCATAGGGGAAGGAGGTTTCGGAACTGTTTACCATGGTTCTTTGAATGATATCGAACAAGTAGCTGTTAAGGTGCTTTCACATTCATCAACCCAAGGCTATAAGGAATTTAAAGCAGAGGTAATATATTTATTATAACTACCAACGACAAATTTTTCTAAGACTTTATATATAAATTATGTGCTTAAATACTTGATCAGGTCGAACTTCTTCTAAGGGTTCACCACACAAATTTGGTAAACCTTGTTGGTTACTGTAATGAAGAAGATCAACTGGCCCTTGTCTATGAATACGCCGCTAACGGAGACTTAAAACAGCATCTATCAGGTGTTTTTTGATTAACACAATGTTTTATGAACAATGGTTATTTGTAAATCTAAAACAGTTTTTTATTTCTCTATATATTTTTTTTTAACGGTTCCTTACATGTGTGACATGGCAAATACGGGAGAATTAGGTAGTGCTACCTTGAATTGGTATGTGTGAAAAAATGTTAAACGACATTCACTATGAAACGGAGTGAGTATTATTTATCTTTTTTATATATTATAGTTTATCATTTCTCTAATATGCATTTCAAGCTAACAATGTAAAATAATTGAATTTTATGATATAGGATTAGAGTACTTGCATGGTGGATGTGAACCTGCAATGGTTCATAGAGATGTCAAAACAACAAATATACTTTTGGACGGGAAATTTCAGGCAAAACTGGCTGATTTTGGACTTTCAAGATCTTTTCCAAATGGAGCTGAATCTCATGTGTCAACAAATGTTGCTGGCACTCCTGGATACCTTGACCCTGAGTGAGAAAAATCACAACACTTAAAATCATACTCAATTCTATGTCCCATCTTCACATGTTCTGATAATTAATATGTGTTTTTATGCAGATATTATCAAACAAATTGGTTGAGTGAAAAGAGTGATGTATATAGCCTGGGGATTGTATTGTTGGAGATGATCACAAACCGCCCTGTGATTCAGCAAGCCCGGGAAAAGCCCCATATAGCAGAATGGGTAGGTTATATGCTTACCAAGGGAGATATTGAGAGCATTATGGACTCAACACTTAATGGGGATTATGATTCTAGCTCTGTTTGGAAGGCTCTAGGGCTTGCTATGTCATGCGTTAATCCCTCCTCGGTGGTAAGACCAAGCATGTCTCAGGTGGTTAGTGAATTGAAAGAGTGTCTTATGTATGAGAACTCAAGGAAAGGAGAGATACCAGACAAGGCCTCTAAGAGTTTCCCTGAACTGAGCACGAACTTCACAACTGATGAAATTACCCCTGATGCACGCTAACATCTACCAAAAATTACATCTCTAATGCTTTAAAGTGATTTATTTATTCCAGCTTTGCAACAAAAATTGAAATTTTATCTCTATCTAGGTGTTCATATCAGCAAAAACAATTTTAAAAAGATGTAAAATGGATTTAAATATTATAATATATTTACGAGTTAAAAAGATGTATCTCAGTTAGACCTCTACATCTTTAGAATGGATTGGATATACTATATAGAAGATTAATCATTTTTAAAAAGTTATAATCTATTTACGAGTTAAAAAGATGTAAAATGGATTGGTCTTATGTTTGTAGCCTTGAGCTGATGATTGAGACAACAATTTAATAGCTACCTCTTCGGTACCATATACAAGACCATAAACTACTCCAAATTCACCTTCCCCAGGCACCCTTTGAAAGTTATTTGTCATCTTTGTAACCTCAGCACTAAGTGGCTATAGCTCGATTGGTAAAGGGACCCTAGGCAAAGCTTAGAGGTCACAAGATTGAATGCCGCTTGGAACGAAACCAATATTACATATTGTGGTTTCGGGTCTAGGGGGATGTACGGGTTTCCGCCCAGAACCTACTAATTATTCAAAAAAAAAAAAAAAAAACTTTATGTTTTTCGTTAGAAAGGTTGGTTCTGATTCATAAGAGCATCTCCAACCCCATGCTAAATATGACATATATGCTATTTTGCCATAATTTTTGCTCCAACCCAATTGCATATGCTATTGCAAAATAGCATCATGCTATTTTTGCTTCTATATTTGGCATGAGATTATGCAATATGCTATTTTGCCATTGAACTTTTTTATTTATAAAATAGTCCTTCAATTTGTAATTACTTTTAATTTAACAGTTTAATTATATTGATTATGATTTATTTAAATAAATAAACAATACTCATAACTTTTTCAAAATATAAATAATATTTATTTCATAGAAATATAAAAACATAACCATAATAAACTTCAAATTTTATTTTTAAAAATACTGAAATTCAAAAAACATAAAACAATAGGTTAAAATCTTTGTTTTCTATAATTTTTATGTAATATGATGTATTTTGTTTTAATATTATAATAAAAAAAATAAAAAATATAATTCTGGTTGTTTTTGCAAAAAAAGAAAAACAAATGATTCACTTTGTAAAATTTGAAGAAATCAAGTAGTTTTAACAATTAATAATAAGTTGGAAAAAAATTATAGCATGATATATGACATGAGGGGTTGGAGAGAAACCCAATGCTATTGCTATATTTTTGCCATTTGCAATAACATATGGCATGAGGGGTTGGAGATGGTCTAAGAGTCTCCTCCATGTTTTAGAGCATGTTTATTAATGTTACTTAGCTGTGTCTTTTTACTTTATTGGGCAATTTTTAAAATCAAAAAGAAAATAAAAGCTTATATTAATGACAATGAGCAACAAGTGCCACGTGCCAGGTGTCTATTGGGCCGAGTTTTTTTTTCCTTCATTCGATTTCTTTTCTTCTCTCTCTTTCTTCTTCGTCTTTAATTGCCCGTTGGAAGGCGATTCATGGCGACGCCGTACTGGAATATGTCTGGCCCTTTCTCCGAAGAGAGCTTGAGAAGATCGATCCCAAGCTCCCGTCGTTGATCGCCGTCGGTGAAGCCGCCGTTGATGAGGACATAGAGCTCGTGATGCCTCCCGTTTTCAGCTTCTGCACAAAGGTATGGTTATTAGCGATATTGCCCGTTGGAAGGCGATTCATGGCGACGCCGTACTGGAATATGTCTGGCCCTTTCTCCGAAGAGAGCTTGAGAAGATCGATCCCAAGCTCCCGTCGTTGATCGCCGTCGGTGAAGCCGCCGTTGATGAGGACATAGAGCTCGTGATGCCTCCCGTTTTCAGCTTCTGCACAAAGGTATGGTTATTAGCGATTAGTCGTCATTATTCTAGGTAGCCAAATTGGCTCCTTTTTATGTCATGATCATCGTGTTGCCACTACAAGAAGTTCTGTGTTTAGAGTCAGTTATTTTGGTAGTTAGCATCAGTTTTTAATTGACACTATAATTTTAAGGTCAGTTTAAAAAGTGATTCTAAAACTGTGATGCTAAAAATATCTTGTATCAGTTTTAGAACTGACTCTAAAATTCATTGTTAGAGTCATATATAGTGTCAGTCTTGTAAATGATGCTATACCAAATTTTGGCAATACTTTAGTAACATACTAAACATTTTTTTGCATCGATTATCAAAAGTGACATAACTAATTTTAGAGTCAGTTTACCATAACTGATGCTAACAATTGAATTTTTTCTAGTATCAGTTTTCACAATTGACTCTAAACACTGATTTTTGTATCAGTTTTCAATAGATACAAGCACTGATCAAAATAATATTCTGTAAACATTCAAATTGCTATAATAAACTGTTCAAATTGCTATATTATCATCAAATATTGTCAACTGTAGTAAACACAATCACAAACTGTTCAAATGGACCAACATGTACTAATGACCAAACTATTCAAACTGCTATAAACCAAACTGTTCAAAGTATAATAGAAATTCAACTTCTCTTCTGTTCCAAATGAGGGCATAGTTGAAATACTTTACCTTCAGCTTCTCATCATGTTAACCACATCACGCAACTTTTCCAGTTCCTCTTCAAGATAATTGACTTTGTTCCTCAAGCAAGCAACTTCTGTTTTCTCTGCTGTTGTTGTAGGCCGATTCTTGAAAAAGGTGGAAGGCGTAGGACCAAGACCAACACAACGAACACTTCCAGGACGTTCAGCTCCAAAAACTTGAGAGAATTCATCGATTCCTGTATTTAGAGTCCTTGTATGAGCAAGTTTTTCCTGAAATCAACAAACAGAGCAAACAAGTGAATAAAAAACAGAGCAAACAAGGCAGCAAATAAGATACATACGCTACTCTCCTGAGAGATACTACATACGCTACATAAACAAGATACTATAGCTGAGAGATGATACTACAGCTGAGCAAAACAAAATCAGCAAGATCCAGGGCAAAACAAGGCAACAAGATCCTATAGCTGAGAGATACTACATACGCTACTCTCCTCAATTTCATTACGCTGAAAGATACTACATACGCAATTTCATAATCCAGGGCAAAACAAGGCAACAATTTCATAATCTTTCATTACTCACGCATTCAATGAACAATGCTTTGATATCTCATTAACAAAGTGAAAAACTTACTGATAACTCTTGTGCTTCTTCATTAATAAAGCTTCCATCAACTTTTTGGCGTGAACAAATAAAAATCTCTGCTCTACTTGGACGTTTACCTGTCTTCAGAAACTAGAGAAGTACAAGCACAAATCAGAAATAAGCAACTTACAATGTTTATAATTTTTTAGCTTATAAGCAACTTACAATTTCTTTAGATTTTCGACAAATGCTCTTCTTCCCTAAAGTGTGAGGTATCTTGTAATAGCTCCGATTGTTTATATTTCGGTCTCTTAGTTTCTACAAATCACAGGTTACAACATTAGTTTAGCTCTAAATCACATGTAACAGAGTATATTACAGTAAACTAAATGATTTACAGTACCTTAGCTCTTTCAGTGAATTGCATATGCACAAAGTCTTGCCACTGCTCTGTCTTGTATTTGTATCTTTTTTTAGTTGAGTAACTTTCGTGAAATTGCGCTTAAGGAATTAATACCTCTTTGCACTTGATCATCAAAGATGAGAAAGAACATAGGCTCAAAGTTTCAGTAGATATAAAGAATTTAACTCAACTTAACAGTTTCTTGATAGCTACACATATATATATATATATATATATAAAGTACAGTTGGGGTCTCTTCTGAGACTGCCACGTAGGCAAATTTTCGCCACCTCAGCAAACAGATTTAAAGAAAATCCGATGGGCTTTATGGGCCTTTAATCTTATGTTATTAATTTGGATTGAGCACAAAAAAAATGATTTATTTTCTCACTGTTTTTATTAGGTTTGTCAAAAAATTCTCATGCTTTATATTTATTAATGTTTTGAAATGAAATACTTATATTTTTATTTAATTTATTATAGAATCTTATATGACACCTTATTATATTTAGTTACGTGACAGGTAGAAACGGAAAGAAACGGAAGAAACAAAATGAGATAGGATGAGATTGGACGAGACGGACATGACGGGATGAAAAGGAACATAATAAGGCGGGACAAGACGGAAAGAAACGGAAGGAACATGATGGAACAGGTTAAAACAGGAAGGAACCGAATGAGATAGAATGGGATTGCACGGGACCTGATGGACGGGTCGGGAACAAAAAAATATGATAAAAAGGAACAAAATGGATAAATGAGAAAAGACGATTCGGAAATATTATGTAACTCTAATTATATTTACTGAGACATGAAGAAAAAGAATGAGATAAGATGAGACTAGACGGGACATATAGGACTGAAAAGACGGGATGAAAAGGAACATAATGAGAATTTTGCTTATCCCTAATAATATTTAGGGACGGGACGGAAAGAAACGGAAAGAAGAAAAGTCAAAACGGGATGAAACAGAATGAGATAAGATGGAATTGCACTTGACGAGATGAACGAGACGGGAAATAACGGAGATGATAAAAAGGAACAAAATGGGTGGAATGAGAAAGGACGGTTCAAAATTTTTGCATAACCTTAATTATATTTTATTTTCAGAAATTTTACGTAACAGTAATTATATTTCATTAATATGAATAATAAACCATAGAATTAATTTAAATTTAAGAAAAAATTAATAAAATCAACATAACAATATAAGTCCCCGCGCGAAGCGCGGGTCTCCCCTAGTATATATATATACAAGTGCTGATAAACATGTATTTAGTCAGCTAATTGGTTTCATGTCTAGACCATTGGGATGTATGTGAAATTGACACTAAAAGGAACTGATTCTTGGTAAGAAACTTGATCAAGTTTGGAATGTTAATAACACATTTCAAAACGTAATATCTCCTCTACTAACTGTTTCAAAGTCCGTACTTTTAGGCATTTGGAAAGTTTGGAATCGAAATGTCCTATGTATCTAGTAGCTTGTGAGGAACCAAACAATATACAATCCTATGTTTTTCTTCTTTGTAAAACATATATATTTGAGCTGATAGGTTTGCTTGCATCTAGACATTGAGATCTTTGTGACTTGTGTTAAAACTTTGATGGGTTTTTTGTTCAGAACATCTGATTCAACATTTTACGCAGCTCCACGGTTTGTGACACACATTGATGATCCAGCAATAGCTGAATTGACAAAGTACTACTCCAAGGTGTTGCCTCAGAGCGAAACTCCCGGAGTGAGCATAGTCGATATGTGTAGCAGTTGGGTACGCACCAAAATGCAAATCCTTTTAACCGTTTTTCTGTGTTGTCAAAAGTTTTTATTGAGAGTCCCCTGAAGTTAGGCTATGATGATGTTACATAGGCAGTCATTTTCCAGCTGGGTATAAGCAAGAACGAATAGTTGGAATGGGTATGAACGAAGATGAACTTAAGCGCAATCCGGTACATAGGATCCAAATCTCTCTTTTATGCTGTATTATATCTTTACCATTTTGTGATGAGAAGTATCATATAGGATCTAAATGTCTCTCTCTCATATCATATCAGGTTCTGACCGAGTACATAGTCCAAGGCTTGAATGTCAATCCAAAGCTTCCTTTTGAAGACAATTCTTTCCAGGTTATTACCAATGTGGTAAGACCAAACTTTCTCAATATTCTCTAAAGCGTACTTCTTAATGTGAAACTCAAGTAAGCGTTTCTTGGTATCTCTCAATAGGTAAGAGTGGATTATCTTACAAAGCCACTTGTAGTTTTTAAGGAAATGAACAGAATCCTCAAGCCAAGAGCACTCATAGTCATGAGGTTCTCTTTATAACACAAACCTGACAAGTCTTGTGAAACCATAGTATCAAATCACAATTCCTCTCTTGTCTTATCTATTCTCTGCAGCTTTTCGAACCATTGCTTCTTTACTAAAGCAATCTCAATATGGACATCAACTGGGGACGCAGATCATGCTCTCATTGTCGGATCATACTTTCACAGTTTCACTGTGCCGGAGGATTTGAGACTCCTCAAGTGTATATTTATATCCATGTATTCATCAACACACCTTGTATTCACAAAAAAAAAAAAAAGAGCTAAGAACCATTAAGAAACTCTACCAATAATGATGCCAAAACAAATGTCTCTAAAATTAAGTTTATTGGTATTATAATAGCTAAGAGACATTTTGAGTCTCACCAATAAACATGCTACTGCACACTTTGTTTAGGGTTTTTAATTATCTGCATTATTTAAAATTTATTAAGTCTACTGCCTATTAGACTTCATCATAAAGTCTAATTCCTAAACACAACTCAAATTTAATTTACAAAATTATAGGAAATTGTTTTGATTAAAAAAAATTTACATAAATAAGAGTAGAACATTTGGCATCCAAGAAAAATAAAATTGCATAAAAATGAATCCATTTAACTCAAGTAAGAGAAATTATGTTTGTAACCTATAAACTGTGTGAAGTCTACTCCAGAAGTCTAATATATAGTGAAATCGTAAATTTAAAGTTTAAAATCTATTAAAAATACTTTGATCAAGGTATTTACACAAAATTATTACAAATACAAGTACTTTCCATGAAAAATAAATTTGCATATAAATTGATCAATTTAAATCCGGTAATACAAATTATGGTATAATCCAAAAAACATTGTGAGAAGTCTACTGAAGAAGTCTACCAAATAACAAAATCTTAAATTTAAAGTTTAAAATCTATAAAAAATATTTAGGCTTCAAAAATTATAAATAATCTAAATGAAGACAAATCCTATCTATGTAAAATAAATTTTCATGGAAATTAATCAATTTATAAGTTTCATGAGTAAACCAATCATCAAGCTTAGTGTTTGAGGTACAATGTATATGGTATATGTATATGGTTTATGAGTGTGATTGTTAGGGTTTAGAGAATTTTGACATAAAAAAATGTTTGTAGTTTGTTTAACGATTTAAAGCTAATGAATTCATAGTTTATAATGTAAATTGTGATTATGTATACATAACTGATGTTTTATATAGTTCTGATTTCAAAAATTCAATTTAGGGTTTAGGGTAAGTCAGACTTCATCGGTAGACTTTATTGTTAGACTTTGCTTTGAAGTCTATTATTCAAAAAAACGAAAAAAATGAGAGGGAAACGACATTTTTAAGGCGGGAAACGAAATATTTTGGGCGAACTAGCGGAAACTTGAATATAGACAAACAAATTTGTAATCAGCCATTAGACTTCTTTTATATACTTCATTGATAGATTTCATTTTGAAGTATTCTAAACCGGATTTTTTTTTATAATTAAAACTGTAAAATTTACCTTGATATATAATAAATTTGGAAACCCTAATTTTGTTAAAATGAAAACTATTCTCTCTCTAAAACAGGGCGCCTCTTTCTTCCTCTTCCTCTTGTTCCTCTCTCTCTCTCGCCGTGAACCTCTCCCTCCTCTCTTGCCATGAATCACCTTCTCAAGCTTCCCAAAAAACTTTCTCTCTCCGTCGGTGGACCTCTACGCCGAAGAGATATTTTCCGGCTTTCACCATCCTTCGCCATCGTTGCCGTCCAGTCTCTATCCTGCGTCGTCTTCACATGTAAGCCATTTATCTTCTCTTCTCAACAGATCTAAATCAAAACTGACCTGAAACCTAACATATTGGCTTATTTTTGCAGATCTGAGCGCCAAAGAAAGAGAGACTGAAGCGAAAGAGAAATTGTGGGAGAGGTTTCATGAAACAGATCAGTCGAAACGTGTTGCAACTCACTCGCCCTTCTTCAGGTAGATGATTCTGCTCATTTTGATTTCTTCTTCATATATTTGCTGAATCCATCAATTTCGTGATACTCTTCTCTGACTTGGATTTGGACTCTGCAGTGTGTAGCATCTCATTCCGATACGAGAATGTTAAATCTCAAAGGTATTGTTCTGTGTTCTTTTAGTAGGATTTATCCTGATGAATCTGCATTTGGGTTTTTTGACTGCTTTGGCTGTTTTCGTTATTCTATATATAATGTGTTTCTGGTTTTTCTCTTTGTTTGACCTCTCTGCAGTCAATTAACTACTTCTTGTCTTCTGTTCTTAAGCATTTCATTTTTCTCTCTTTTTAAGCTGCTTCTGATCTTTATTTTTCACTCTCTTTGTTGTAGTCTTTGATATTGTGTTTCTTTTTTTTTTGATAAAGAAAAAATTGTTTAACACAATAAAAAATTCTTTGATATTGTGTTTCAGTAGAAATAAGCAAGCCATAGGTTTGTGATGTTCATAGGAAAGTTATATTGGCTCGTCATGTTCCTGGTTTCTGAAACCTTTTTTATATCTTCAAAATTTAAGAAGACTGGGTTATGTTCATGTTTTTTTTAATGTGTCTTTGCAGATTGGATTTAGTTTATGGGTATGTGATCTTATATATGCGGTATGTTTTTCAGTTTTAAGAAAATTGTAGGTCTTCGTTTTTACGACAAAGCTTAGTCAAAGCCTGCATAAGAACTCATTTCCGAAATCCTTCTCTTATGTGTTTTTTCTTATGTGTTTTTATTGATGATGATGGGGAAAATATTTGTTCTTGTGGTCTTAGCTATTCATGTTTTTGATATATCTCAATTTTCTTATTGTTAGAGGTTTCTTACTGAGTTTTAAACTGTTGTGTTTTAGGTTGGATGGCCACTGCATTGCTCGTTTTGTGCCAGTAGGTGGAGAGGGAAGTAGTGAGTTGAGAGGAACGGTGAAGAAGAGAATATAGTTTCTTGATTTTGCGTAAACCGGATTGTGTCCCATTCATGGCATGATGATCTGATGTTATAATGTTAGTCTAAGCAGCAGTGAAATTGAAGATTTGATGAAGAAGAAAGTGAGTCGGCGAGCGAACCAGACTGCTTGATGGTGCACACGTCGAGTTCTTGAGAGGTGTTACTAATCCTCTTGGAATCAAGGTTTGTTTCTCCATCTTGTATCAGGTTTTTTCATGTCTTATTGTTTGTCCTCCATTGTTCTGGCCTCGTGATATTGGGATTTTTTTCTCAGAACTTGGAGAGAAGAAAAGAAGATGAGGACGAAAAGAAGGAGAAAGAAGAAGCTGAACAAAAGGCGTTAGTAGAAGAGGCAGCAAAGAGATGTGTGCTTTGCTGAGGTCACTCGAGACAATGAGCTGATATAGGAGAATGGACTTCAGGCTGGACTTTGTAGATTTTTTGGCTGGTTTAGTAAGCAGAAATCGATGTCAATTTTGTGATGGAATCATATGCCTTTTGTTACTATTTTCTGTTTCAAGTTTATTATATTATCCAAAGAGTTCTTGTTCCATTACATTTATAAACAATTTGTTAGATATAAACCACTCTACTATTATGATTTTCATGAGTTTGACTTATGCATAACTTTAACCTTGTAAAGTTTTTGTTGTTATCTATCACTTAACATTTTGGCTAATACAAAAGTAATGCATGATCATATGTCATAAAATTCCAAACATCCTCCCCGCCCCAATCTTCATTCAACTCTTCCTTCAACCCTTCATCCAGATTTTCATTCAATTCTTCATCCAAATGTCCATTTATATTGTCTTCATCCTTCCCTTTGCTAGAGACACAAAGTCGTAGAACATGAGTTCTATTTAGCTCCGATCTTAGTAACCGAATAATCCTCTAAAGCCATTTGAATAAGCTCATCATGTGTACAACCATCCCTCAACGAGAACATTCTACCTCCTTTCCGATAATCAACCTCAAAATGCCAAGACAAATTGTCCTTTCTCACCCATTCTCCATAAACAGATGCAATGTAAACCATTTTTTCTGCAAGTAAACAAAAACCAACCGCATTAGACTTCATTGGTAGACTTCACCTAGAAGTCTACCTAGTATTGTCTAATATTCAATTTTGACAAGAAAACCGTTTTCACGAAATATACAACGAATAAGCATGTCAAACTAACACACAAGCAACTAAACAGACTAACTCAACTAATTGTTCAAGAAAATCTTAAAAATTCGTTATATATTTTCCAAAAAAGCGTTTTCAAATAAAACATTAAATAGTAGACTTCACGAGGAAGTCTATTTAGTAGACTTCCCTGTGAAGTCTAATAGACTAGTTTTGCAATTTTTCAAATGACAATTTTTTATGAAGTCTACCGAAAAAAAAAGACTAGTTTTGCAATTGACCAAGCTTTGACTTTTACAAATAGACTTCATTATCGTGAATAGGCTTAAAAATGAAGTCTAACTAGAGAATGAAGTCTACCGGTGAAGTCTACAACAAGAATTAGACTTCATAGGGATTAGTTTTGCAATTGATCAATTTTTGAATTTGGAAAATAGACTTCATCGTGAAGTCTACTCCGATAAACGTTGACTATTAGACTTCTTGGTGAAGTCTATCAAGAATTAGGCTTCGAAATGAAGTCTAACCCTTTATTAGACTTCGCAATGAAGTCTAACTCAAGTATTAGACTTTGAATGAAGCCTAATACAACATTAATAGACTTCAGGGGTAGACTTCACGATAAAAGTTTGCAAAACTAGTCTTTTATTCAAGCAGACTTCACGGATAGATTTCTCATAAAAAGTTTTTATTCTGTCAATTGCAAAACTAATCTGTTTCGAGTAGACTTCATTCTGAAGCTACGCCATATTTTTTTGTTTTCAAAGGAATATGGGTAGACTTCATTGTGAAGTCTACTCTCTAAATTTTTTGAAAATCAATTGCAAAACTAGTTTGTTAAGGACCTGCAAAAATATGAAATTCACTCAGATCTACCGGAATTTTACCTTGCCGTGATCTTAAGTTTCGTTGACGGCCTAGAACTTCGATTTAGAGCTTCAGCAAACTTCCCCAACCGTTATAATGATCTCCCACACCAAAAATGGGAAGATCTAAGAACATAAACTTTGAAAAGATGAAAATGTGTGTTCTTGGGGTGAAAATGAGAAGAAATTGAAGAATACAAGTTTATGAGATGATATAATGAGTTTGTATATATGTTTGAAGAGTAAATCATGCATTCAAAGCTTGATTTTGGTTGAGAATGGTTGTTGGACGAATTGATGGTGATGGCATTTTCGTGAATAAATGAAGAAGATGAGGTTTCTTTGGACATTTTATTTTCGTATTAGACTTCACGGTTAGACTTCAAAGACGAAAGTAATGGCATTTTCGTTATTATCACAAATATGGTGAGGATAAACAAGGAAGAAAAAAAGAGTGAACTACTTTTGCATTTGACCTCAATTTTTGTACTACTTTTGAAAACAGCCCTTTAATTTATCATCCCCTATATTTGTTTTTTGAGTGTTTTCTGTATTCGCTAATTCGTGGCTGGCGACTAAATGAAGACTTGTCGAATATTCTTTTTTACTCAAGCCTTTTAAAGAGTGTCTGAAAATAATATATATCAACTGGAGATTAAAACACATGACGACTCTCACTATCTCAACATATACTACTTGATTCAACAACACCAGATGGATTGGTTCAACGATCTTATCGTGGAATGTGTCCACGAAATTTATACAGCTATATATATGCAGTATTTAATTTTCTTGCCGGACTTGACTTTTCTTTTTTATCTTTATTTTTCCGTCCACTCGTATAGATGAGGTATTTCTAGAACCTTTTCATGTCTTTCGCAGTTTTCACTAAGCAAGTTTTTATTTTGTTCTTGATTTCCATAGAAACCATGAAAGTGATACATAACATGACGATTCATCTTTTGTTAGCCATGATTGGTACCTTTGTCGTTATTGTTGGAGCGCAAACACAAGAAGGTAATAATATATGTCAACAAGGAGCTTGGTTTGACTTTAGATGTCTTATTATTGCTATGTATATCATTTTTTTTTTTTTTTTTTTTTTTTTTTTTTTTTTGAATAGGATTCATCAGTTTGGATTGTGGATTACCTGTGGAGGAATCTCCTTACGATGATTCGTTTAATGGACTGACGTTCACATCGGATTCGGCATTCATCCAAACAGGGAAAAGTAGTAGAGTCGATAGAAGTATCATATTATCAAAACAATATTTGACTCTAAGATACTTTCCTGAAGGCAAGCGCAACTGTTATAATCTAGATGTCAAGCGTGGCACAAACTATCTCATCGCGGTCAGCTCAGTATATGGGAATTATGATGGTCTTAATCTTGATCCAAGCTTCGATATCTATATTGGTCCCAATAAGTGGATTAGTATTGATTTGGCAGGAAGGCAAAATGGTACACTAGATGAGATCATATACAAAGCTAGATCAAACTCTTTGGATATTTGTCTTGTTAAGACAGGAGCAACGTTGCCAATAATTTCAGCCATCGAAATACGGCCACTAAGAAATAATACTTATGTTACCAAATCTGGTTCACTGAGGCTGTCTTACCGGGTTTATCTTAACAATTCCAATGGGTTTATAAGGTAAGTCAACTCAATTTGACGCATTCGATGTGATTTTTTCCTACACATTTTAGTGTTTTAATCCATTTTTCTTCTTTGTAAATGATCAGATCTTTTTTCGTCAGATATTTATTCAAATCTATACAAATTAGTAGTGGGATGGAGAACCATGATCATAATATTGAAAATAATGATTATGATATATTTCTCATGTTTCATATTAAGTCTCAGTTTAGGATGATTTTTCTTCTTTCAAATAAAATACTCCCTCCATTTCTTTTTAGTTGTGGTTCTGAAGTTTTTCAGGGAGATTAAGAAAATAAATAAAGTTAGTTTTTTACCCTGATTAATACTTTGGTTTATTTGTTATGAACAAAGCTAAAAGAGTAGGGAAAATACTGAAAAGATTGTAACAAATCTGCATTGAAAATACAAAACGATAAGTAATATAAAACAAAAATTTAACTCTAGAACGACAAGAAACGGAGGTTTTAGATTTTCTTGATCCCATAAAAATAATTGTTGTCCCTCAAATTTACCTAATTCACAAAGGCTTGCTATGAAACGATGAGACTGTAGGACAACTATTTATATACGAAGTAAACAACTATTTATATACGAAGTAAAGGTTATGTTCTTATTTCCTCTTCACATATGATAAGGACTATATTTTGTTATATGGTTGTCATTTAGTTAGCATATGTTCAGTTCCTTTTTAGCTAATACAATTCCGTGCAGGTACCCTGATGACGTCCGTGATCGTATTTGGGATCCATTTTTCGGCTCTTCATATACGCAGATAACAACCAATCTCGATGTAAACAACTCAAATGCATATGAGATACCAAAAACTGCTCTCCAAAGTGCTGCCATACCAAAAAACGCCAGTGGGCCGTTAGTCATCATTTGGAAACCCAAACCTTCTAATGCTCAAGTGTACTTATACATGCACTTCGCTGAGATCCAAACTCTAGGACCCAACGAGAGGAGAGAATTCGACGTTATCTTGAAAGGAAACTTTAACCATTCAGGTTTTAGTCCTACCAAGTTAAAGGTATTTACATTGTTCACAGAAGAACCAATGAAATGTGATTCCGAAGGTTGCCGTTTAGAGCTAATAAAAACTCCAAAATCAACTCTTCCACCTCTAATCAATGCCCTCGAAGCTTACACGGTTATCGAATTCCCACAATTGGAAACAAGCCTAAGTGATGGTACCTTGCCTAACTTTCTATTAGAGATAACTTGGGGAGTAAGCTATGTGTCTTGCGCACTAAGTATTGTGGGCCATCAAAATCTGTTTATATCATGAAGCCTGTGAAGCTCACGAAACCCAAAGAGAGAATGTTTCCATTTAGGCTTCATGATATAGATGGCTTTGATAGTCATCAATGCCTGGTCCACAAGATATACATATGGCTCCCCAACTTATCTCAATACTTTCAATTATTACAAGAATGTAACATATATTGTATGATATTTTGATTCTTACATCTTCTAAAACTTGTGTCAGTTGACGCTATGAAGAACATCAAAGTTACTTATCGAGTGAGTAAAATAAGTTGGCAAGGAGATCCATGTCTCCCTAAAGATTGGTCGTGGGAAAATGTTAATTGCACTTACGTAGATCTCGCCACACCACCAAGAATCAATTCCTTGTAAGGCCATTCACAAACACGGTAGCTAATTTATTAAACTTATGTATCCAAGTATTTTTCTAAAGTGTTTTTTTTTTTGTGCTTTTATGATTAGAAACTTGTCCAAAAGTGGATTAACTGGGAGCATATCTCCAGCTTTACAGAATCTCACACAATTACAAGAACTGTAAGTATCTATATTATTTTTGCCTATAGAAACCAAGAATAATATGTTCAGACACTGCATGCACGCCAAGCCAATCAATCGTATACCTGTGCATGCAACTGCAGGGACTTATCGAATAACAATCTGACTGGACCAGTGCCTAGCTTTCTTGCTAGCATGAAAACGTTGTCCTTGATGTAAGCTTTCAAAATAGCACAATTAGCTACTGAACATATCTACCATGAAATTTTTTTGTTGGATTTGTGTGTGTATGTACGAGTGTATATATAATAAAAGTCATTTTGGTGTCAACAGTAACTTAAGTGGGAACAATCTCAATGGTTCAGTTCCTCAGGCTCTTCTTGATAGAGAAAAAGAAGGACTTGTGTTAAAGTAAGGTTCTTTTTTTCGTTTTCAGTATCATTTTGTTAATTATATAGAAATGGTAGCTCTTGTACAAAACTTACAAACCTAAAAAACCTTGAGATGTGAAGATAACACATAACGAGTACATATAAACCATAATTTAGGTCTTTAGGTAAGTGTAAAGTAAATTCTGCCAGACTTTAGGTTATGTTCTTCACTTCTTCTCATGGCACTTTCCTTTAAACAACTTCAGTATATCTCTTGTTCCTCTTGTAGACTTGAAGGAAATCCAGATTTGTGCAAAACTAGTTTATGCAATCCAACAAAGAAAAAGAAATTCTTGCTACCGGCTATTGCATCCGCTGCTTCCCTGCTTGTTATAATAGTGGTGGTCGTGGCACTTATTTTTATTTTCCGAAAGAAAAAGGTGCCTTCAGGTACGTGTCAAGCCATATAACCATTAAAGAATTTCATAAAAGCATTGGATATATTTGCAAAACCAAAACATATTTCTGTGTAGATCAACATGCTCCATCACCACCAAGTGTGCCCGTAACGGATATTGGGAACAATAGTCAGTCAGAATCATCATTCCTATCAACGAAGATTAGGTTTACTTATCTTGAGGTTCAAGAAATGACAAATAAATTTGAAAGAGCTCTCGGTGAAGGAGGGTTTGGAGTCGTTTATCACGGTTGTGTTAATGGTACCCAACAAGTAGCTGTTAAAGTTCTCTCTCAGTCATCATCTCAAGGCTATAAGCATTTTAAAGCAGAAGTACTCTTTTCTCGATGATTTAATTGATTTTCATATCTCTCTTATTCTTACTCTTACAAGAGTAATAGCTAACGGATGGTTTGTTAGGTGGAGTTGCTTATGAGAGTTCACCATATAAATTTGGTGAGTCTTGTTGGGTATTGTGATGAAGGAGATCACTTGGCCCTCATATACGAATACATGCCAAATGGAGACTTAAAGCAACATTTGTCAGGTAATAATAGAACATAACTATAGATTAACTTTTCTTGAAAACAGAGGTATATAGTATTTTCAGAATCTGACATTTATATCCGTTTAATACAGGGAAGCGTGGTGGATTTGTTCTGAGCTGGGAAAATAGACTAAAAATAGCTGTGGATTCAGCATTAGGTATGTACAAAGTTACTTGTTGAACTTTGAGACAATTGTTTAGTTATCATTTATCAATATAGTGACTTTTAGATTTTAGTGTATTATATAGTTTGTCTTGAGTATAGGTACTCTATCCTTAAATTAAATATTCATTTGCCTAGAGAGTATTGAATTCGATTTGTTATGTAGGATTGGAGTACTTGCACACAGGATGTATACCACCCATTGTTCATAGAGATATCAAAACTACAAACATACTTTTGGACCAAAATTTCCAAGGCAAACTAGCCGATTTTGGGCTTTCAAGATCTTTTCCCACCGGGAATGAAACATATGTATCAACAGTTGTTGCTGGCACTCCTGGATATCTTGATCCCGAGTGAGTATTATTTCACTTCATATGTTATAATACGCGAACGTCCCTTTTGGTACTTTGATCATCACTAAATTCTATGTCATGTTTTGTAGGTATTATCAAACTAATTGGTTGACAGAAAAGAGTGATATATACAGTTTCGGAATTGTGTTATTGGAGATCATTACAAACCAACCCATAATTCAGAAATCTCGTGAAAAGCCTGACTTAGTAGAATGGATCAGCTCTATGATAACAAAAGGAGATATTAAAAGTATTATGGATCCAAACCTCCACCAAAATTATGACATTGGTTCTGTCTGGAAAGCCATTGAAGTAGCAATGTCATGTGTGAGCCCTTCTTCAATACGAAGACCAAACATGTCTCGAGTTGTTAATGATCTAAAAGAGTGTCTGTTATCAGAAAACTCGAGGACAGGAGAGAGTCGGGACGTGGAATCAAAAGGTTCTATGGAATTCAGCAGAGGCATTTACACCGAGGTGATTCCAAAGGCACGCTAACTTGCAATGTCGTTCTTGCTGGTTTACTGTTTCATGAATCTTCAAATGTATAATTTCTTGAGTTTTTCCTTCCAATAATAACTAAGGATTTCACTAACAAAATGTGATACCGAAGTTGGATTGATGTAATTTAATGTATACTATTGTGAAAATTATATGAAAAATGTTAAAAATTAATGGTGATTCTTGCCGTACATATATTTTTAAAATCGCTTATCAGTGGTGTTCTTTAGGAGAGTGTTCACACACTAGGCTCCTCTGTATGAGTTCAAGGAATTAGTGGTTAAAAATAAAATTACACTTTTTAATACGTAAAAGAACCATCACAATAATACATGCAGTTTTTTGCCGACTCTTTTATACAGTCTTGTAACTCGTTGACTCCATGTCTAAATCTTCTTTTGTCCTCAAGTTTTCAGAGGCTAGACTTAGACATGCTTTAAGCTCACTTATTACAACTTGAGCATGTCCGGTCTTTTTGCCAAATGATTTGTGTAAGAAACTGCTAGCTCAACAAACCTCCGAACCCCAAGGGAGTCATCAGAATATTAAGAGTGGGATCCAAAATATTTGCAGTATCATCCCTGGTAAGCTTAAGACCAACACATTCTGCTATGTGAGGTGTTTTACGAGATAGCGTTATTATAGGTTAGTTTGTGATAAGGTGTAATAAGACAATTCCAAAGCTGTATACGTGTCGCTCTCAAGTGTCATCCTTCCTGTTAGAAAATATCTAAAGCACAAAATACCGAATTTGTTTTCAAATTACTTAACCAATATAATGTTTTGACCAAAAAGAAAACCAATGTAATTTATTTTAATTTTAATATATACCAGTCACTACAAGAAATATGCTCATTGACAGCATACGATTAGTGCTATAATATATATTTGATAGCGTTTTCATAAACGCTGTGTTAGCCGGAACTATCGTAGGTCAGACCCATATAATAGCACTTTTTTAAAATGTGTTATTATATATTTATCTACTATAGCGTTATTAAAATGCTCTAACACCTTTGTTATAACACATTTATGTGCTGTATTATTATTAGTTATAGCTAATTTACTAAGCTATGATCTATTGTTTTGTAGCAGCTTATTGAAGCAATAATTATTACTATAATGATTCTTATTCGATGTGATTAAATATTGTATTTATAATACATAATAGTATATTGAAAATTATATATATATATATCCACCACACCATACATAAGAAAGTCTCCATCCAAGTTAAAACTAACAAGCTTAAAACGAGTAACAACACAAGTGCAGCTACCAACAAAGTCTAAGAAACTCTTATATCAGATGATCCACAACGGCAGCGGCGGCGTCCATTCCCCAGATGATCCACAGAGAAAGCTGGTGCTTCTCCCTAACAACAATGAATCATTAAAGTAAATGTGAGAAATCTATGAAAAAGAAGAGCAAGGAAGTATATAACACCAAGAGAGGCTCAACATAGATGTTCTCATATTAAAAATGTTAAGAACTTTTCGTTTAATCTGCAGAAACTGTCAAAAACCCAAATGCCGATTCATAAAAAAAAACACAACTTTGGAAACGTGAACAAAGATCTCAGTCTAAAGCAATGAAAACGATCTACAAAACAAGAGAAATCAAACCCAAATACACACAGTTTATCAATTAAGTTTACCATCTCTGTTAGTCGAAGTCTGTATGCGCCAAAAGGATTATTTGCTCACCTTGGATACTTAGAAATTCGCTTGTGGCTTGCTGCTCCATTACCACTATCTTCGGCTTCATTTGGTTCCATGCACATACAATCCTTGCAAAAACCAAAACTGTCAACCAAATTAGTTCCTTAGAAATATAACTTTTCCTAATAAACGGCACTGCACCTCGCAGTCATAGTAAAGTAACGAGAGCCTGCATAAACGAAGTAACGGATTGGTTGCTCTTCTAAAAATGACTTAAATTATTAACCATATTTTTTTGTTCAGGAGTGATCGTTAAGAAAGATGAAGCACTTAACAACCTTAATGACAGCATCTGAAGTAAATTGTTGCTCTGATGAGCGCTCATGAGGGCTATTACATGATAGCCGGTTTACCATAGAAGCTGCATAACTAGAAAATAACAAATGTTAACATTAAATCTAACTTCAGTAAACAAACTTTCACCTAAACCATGAAGAACATTAAATCTAACACTAAATCACTTTCACATAGACTTATAACAGCGACATAAATTCAGAGGCCGAAACAACCACAGTTAAACAAACATAGGACAGACTGGGAAGAGATCAAAACCGGTAATCCACTAAATTCTCCATTCTCAAACCTTAGCTAACAATATCTTGGTAAAAGACGAGAGATCATTAAGATCAAAAACCAAAGTTATGCATTTTTAATCACTAATCAACATAAGACCCATACATTCCAAACGATTACCAATTAGTTTAGCAACTGGCCTCAAAGAGAAAATCTAAGTTTAAAAAGATACCTTGTTGCAGGAAATTTGAAGACCATACTACAACCATGAAGCAGGCTTTGGTTTTACTCTTTTGAGTCGATCCTCATCCTTCCGAGTTCACAGTCAACCAGTTTCTGTACCATCGAAATTTCAAGCAACCAAAATCAGTGATTTTTTCTTCTTCTGTTCCCCTAATGAATCACACAAAACTTAGTCCCACGAGCTCTCATCAACATAACAACACCACTCACTAGCTTATATTTAAATAATCTCATAAACTGATATGCTCGTCAAGTGTTTTAAATTATTAGACACCCTAAATTTTCACCTTTAACAAATGTGGATCCAGAAATCATCAACAGTCATATCAACAAGTGTACAACTTTCTGAAACATAAGCGAAAAATCTTAGACCCAAACGAAAGAAATAGCAAATACCAATCACGACAAAGGATTAAAAGGGATTTTTTTCATAAATTTTACCTCCAAATCAGTCGACAGAATCTCTGCGACATGGCAACGGCGAGATCTACAAGAAAATAAATTGAGTCGAGCTACTACACTAAACACATACGAAAACCTATGTATCAGAATCCCGATTTCCGATTCCAATCAGAGGCGAGTTAGGGTTTGGGTAAGCTGGGTCGGGGGAAATGGAGGTGGAGGAGGAGGCTGAGTGAGAGGGAGAGAAGTAGGAGGATGGGGAGAGGCGAAAACGGTGGAGGAGTAGATCGGAGACGGCGAGGATAGAAGGAGGAGAAGTGTGGGTCGAGAGCTTTTATGGATTCGAAGAGATTTTTTTTTTGTCTCGAGAAAGTATAGAGAAGAAAATCTCAATACCGCTAATTTGTGTTTTTTTGTTTAAGTGTTGGCGGCCACTATAGAAATTAGGCTCCAAAAGACAATTTTTTGTTCCCGCTTCATAAATTTTCGGTGTAGCATTCTTAAAATGCTATAATATGATATCCTAATTTAACATTCCCTTATTAATAGCAGTTACGGAAACCGTGCTATGGTAATGTGCTATCAATCAATGTCCATATTTCTTGTAGTAAGTTTGAAAGCAGTTACTCAGGATCTAGGCATCCGGTAGTGCCCACATGACAACTAATGTGCAAGTACTCCAATCTAACAAATCAGTTTGTTGTCAAACTTATTATGAAAGCGTAGGTTAAATGGGGAGATTTCGATCGTTACAATAAGAAAATTATCATGAGAGAATGTAAAAGATGTGAAAAGAAAATTATTAGCTACACTCACATACCTAAATGCCTAATCTTCTTAGCTACAATTTCGCTTTTAATCTAATTGACTACTTTCCTATACAAATCTTCTTATCCTATCTTTCTAGTCAATCAAAGAATTTGGTTGTTTAAACATGATTAGTGAGTAGTCTTTTACATGTGTGACATGGTCAGGGAGAGTTTGGGTCTTATCTTATCTTTTTTTAACAATGGTTATTAGGGTTTGACCCGTGCCCACACGGGGTGATAGTTTCTGAATTTGTATTTTTATTAAAAATGTTTATTTAAATATTTCGACATTTTATGCGAGAGATTTTTAACCTTTGTTATTCGTTTATAGTATGAAAATTAGGCATTTTAATCCATTTAAAAAAAAGAAATAAATTAAAGCATTGATCGTAACCACAGATTAAATATGATAGATTTAACCGAGATACATAAAACTCAAATAACTATAATATAATAAGATAGTTTAAAGAAAAAAATTGAAAATAAAACATTATTCTTTAGAAAAATTATACATCATGTATTTCATAAGATAAAAAGTTTTAGCTGTGTGGACACGGATTAGAACTAATTTTTTTCTTTCTTTCAAAACTAAAACATGCTTTATTATAATTTCAAAACAATCCAACCAATCAGAAAATAATATGCAGAATCCAAATTGTCAAAACAGCAAAAATATAATTAATTTTGTATAGAAAGTTGAAACAGATAGAGTAATATTCAAAAGTTTAATCAAAATAAAATATTTATAAAAAGAACTTTTTTATTCGATTTAATTATAGATTTTAATTAAAAAACCATATTAAATGAAAAAAAAATTACCTTTGGATACCTACTAAATGAGGTTATATACGAAACAATTTATATTATTTTGTTTTTAAAAATTCAAATCATAACATGTACAGAAAAAGTTTTAGATTTTTTTTGATAGATTTTTTATATTGTGATTCAAATTATTTTATTAAATAAATTTAAACAAAGATGATAGAAGATGTATACTGATTTTAAAAGAAATTATTATGATGAATTAAATTGAATCTCATATCTTCCTTATTTACTAATTTTCGTAGTTGCCAATTAAGGAAAGAGAATGATAAATTTAATTTCATTATTTGGTTGTAAGCATAATATGCAATGGCATATATTGTAATTTGTCTAGTAAAGCTTGTCTTAATTAGAAATTGCTCTAAGAGTGAACCTAGTGATGACACCTAAGCAATGACATTCTTGTTAATAACACATTAGACAAAGGTTATTTAGTTAGTGTTTTCTCTTTTAATATATTAGGAATTCACGGAGTAATCCAAATAAGTATTATTTGGAAACAAGGACAATAGAATAGTTTAATATTTAAAAAATTAAATGGCGGAAATTTTTTGTATGAGTGACACAAAAACAAGTATGGTTCCTCTTTTAGTATATCGAGGATTTTTGTAATATACACCATGTGATGAAACAGTTTTTATTCACGTTAAAATATACACAAATCCGACCTGGACCCCCAGTTATGTGACAACTAAAGAAAAAAAGAAAAATTAAGGCTATCAATTAGTAAATGTTTTACAAAACTATATAAATCACTGAATTTTTAGTTTGTTACCAACAAAAGTAGTGTTTCATGATTATCAAAACAATTTAATAATATAAAATATTAAACAATCTGAAACAAAGGTTACAATGCAGCTGTCCACAAGGCGTGTTACTAAAACAAAAAATTGAGATATATGTACAAGATATTTTTTTTTTTAAAATCTTGCACATTAAGTTTAAAACTTCCAAAAATAGAAAAATAAATGAAAATAAAATAAATCCACACTCATAGGCTCATAGCCGTAAAATCACACACGGGAACAAATAGTATTAAAAACAATAAAGTTGTATTAATCAGTGACCAAAGAGAAGATTCTTCGCAAAAACAAATCAAGAAAAGTTCAAATTCCTTAGTGATCATGCGATAAGTTACCGTGCGCTAGGGGTAACTTCTGAGGTGAAGTTCACGCTCAGGCTCAGTTCAACAGAACTGTTTGAACTCATTTGGGGTCTCACCCCTTGCCTTGAGTTTTCTAATGTTAGGCACTGCTTTAGTTCATTAGTAACTTGAGACATGCTTGGTCTTTTCTCTGAAGAAGGATTTACGCATGACATTGCTATGTCAATAGCCTTCCAGACAGAAGTAGGCTCATAGTTTCTATTAAGTCCAGGATCCACAACGTTTTCAAAATCTCCCTTGGTAAGCATGTATCCAACCCATGCTGCTATGTGTGATCTTTCTCGGGTTTGCTGAATTACAGGTCGACTTGTGATAGTCTCCAATAATACAATCCCAAAACTATATACATCACTTTTTTCATTCAGTCTATTTGTTCGATAATATCTGCATGACAGGAGAATACGTGGTGTTTTTGGTCAAATGAAGAAGGAAACAAATTTGGTCAGACTAGTGCGACAATGTAACACTTACTCAGGATCAAGATATCCAGGAGTACCAGCAACAGCAGTTGATACATGAGTTTCACCCCCAATCGGAAAAGATCTAGAAAGACCAAAATCCGCGAGTTTTGCCTGGAAATGCTCGTCCAAAAGTATATTTGTTGTTTTGACATCACGATGTACCATTGGAGGTTTGCAACCCGTATGTAAGTATTCTAATCCTACATATACAAAAAAATAAGATCGTTCATGTTACATGGTCAATGTAAAGTGATTGATGAGTGTTGCACTTAGATCAAACCTTGTGCGGTTTCGACTACAATTTTTAGTCGAGTTGACCATTCCAAAGGAGAGCCACCACGTTCTCCTATAATGTAGACCATTTGATCGATATTGTTAAGACATGTAATGTGAAAATATTTTGATGAATGCGGTGACCAAAATATGGCAGGTAATCTCCATATTTATCTTCAAATTTGGTATATTCATATTTATACCTGAGAGATGCTGTTTTAAGTCTCCATTGGGTGCATAGTCATAAAGGAGGGCTAAGTGGCCTTCTTCATCACAATATCCAACCAGGCTTACCAAATTTACATGGTGAACTCTCAAAAGAAGTGTAACCTGACCAGCAGGGCCAAAACATATTTTAGAGCCATCACATGATCTTTTTATGAAGATATATAGGCCATGTTGAGATATATACAAAATATGCATTATGTATTAACCTTAACATACCTCTGCTTTAAATTCCTTATAGCCCTGTACTGATGATTGTGAGAGTAGTTTAACAGCTATCGGTTGCGCACGATTCAAAAAACCATGATACACAACTCCGAAGCCTCCTTCTCCAAGAACTCTTTCAAAATTGTCTGTAAATGCTACCACCTCTGAGTAAGTGAATCTTTTTGTTTGCGCAATTATGGACGGCCTATTTGGTAACTCATGTTGAATAGTTGATGAAGAATCTGGTGTGACCAATTAAAAAGTTCCATGCTTTTATCTCCTTTAGTGTTACTATCGTGCATGTAAGTATGTTACAATACGAATATGTCCAATCTACAATTACATACCTTGCGTTGGCCTTTTCTTTTTGAAAACGAGAATGAGAATTAACACAGCCACAATGATGAGTACAGATGCCGTGGATGCAACAACTGGTAAAACGTATTTCGGATTGTTATTTTTGCTTGACGCATCAACACCAAGAATTGAGTTTCCTTGGATCCTTCAGAAAATAAATGTTGTTAAATAAGGCTGAAACTAAATAAAAGATTGTGGAGGATCCAAAACTAAATGTGAAAACCTTACGTTAGCTTTAGCCCATTCTTTTCTCTATCATGAAAGGCTTTAGGAAGGGGACCCTTAAGATCATTCCAATTTAAATTTCTGCCAGGCAGAGAAAAAATCAACATCCAAATCAATTAAACATGCAAGTGGTCAGTTAATGTTTGCCGAAGTCCCACTTTCAAAATTAATAATGTCTTCATGCTGGCGAAAAATTCGGGCACTCCTCCAGTTAAATTGTTATTTGAAAAGTCCCTAGCGTTAAAAAATGTCAAAAAGACGTTATACAAAAAAAAAATGTTTTTAAAAAATTTCGCACATACGAAAAATGTTTAACTTTATAAAGAAAATGAATGAAACTAAAACGTTGTCTTATTAACAGTACAAAAGGTCTGCTTTCATGAAATAAAAGTGTAGAATTATGAGAATACTATTTTGGGTACATATTTTCTGGAAATACTAATAGTGTTTTTTTTTTAAGTATTATTTTTGTTTTCCGAAAATAGAAATCACTTAGTGATACTTCCCTCAACTCTTGAAAGTCAACCAGCAAAAATATCACGGCAAAATACTTGAATTATAAGAAAAATGCAGAATATTACAAGATTTTTCATTCTTTGTGTTAGTAAAACCATTATTAACAATACAGTAATATAATACTTTTGTTGTAAATATATAAAAAGCTAATTATATGTCATCTCCATCTTTTTGGAAAACGCTGTGGATATTGGACAACAAAGAAAGCTAACACAAAGGAAACACAAAGGAAACTTGATTATCTATTTGTAGAATCAAGTTTGTCCTCGGTGGACGGTTAATCTTTATTCATTTTTTTCACATATGTTAGGATTTTCTAATGAACATGCATGATATATACATGATAAGGTATTAAGAGTCAGACAAAAGGAGTAGGAATTTACAGTTTTTGAAGCTCGGTCAAATTTCGGAAGGCAGGGGTTATCGCTCCTTTTAATCCGCGTGATGATAAATCTCTGTTTACATTTGTGTTTAAAGAATCAAATAGTTGAGAGATATGAGTTTAACATATGAAAATGTATGAGATAGTGATCTTACAAAGAAATAATTCTCGGAGGAGTAGATTTGTCTGTGTAGCTGCACTTTAGACCCTCCCATTTTAACACTTCCGGGACACAAGGATCTCCTTGCCAACTTATCATGTTTAATACATAAATTGCTTGGATATTCTTTATAGCAGAAACTGACATAGAGGCCGAGGAGGAAGTCAACAATTAGCATACTCGATATATAAGACTTTACTTAGTCGAGCTGTAGTCTGTAGATAGATGACTGAATAGTGACATACGTAGCATCGTTTTGATTTGTTTCAGCATATGGAAATTCCATAACGGTGAATGCCTCCATAGCATTTATCAATGGTGGAAGAGTTGAGGTTTGAGTTCTTGTGAGTTCCACTTTGCAGGTGCCTAATAATCTGCATTTTTGTGGTAATATGTTGTATTTTGTTTCCGATTGTAACACCTTAGGACTATAAGCTTTGGAAATAACATTCCCGTCGAATAAAATGTCGAATTCCCTAGTCTCAGTTGCTTTCAGATCTTGGATCTCGGCAAAATGAAGGTATACAATAACTTTGTCACTTTTTTCGCCTGGAAACCCGTAAAAGGTCAATGGATTGCTGGAATTTCTAGGGGCAGTGGCCGACCTACTTACAGCTTCTGGCACAAGAAAAGGATTAGAGGAAGTCACATTGAGAGTGGTAATTACATCCGTCGCAAACCAATCATACCGTTCCCATTTGCGATCGAGGACATCATCAGGATACCTGGACAAAAACTTGGGGTAGTCATGCAGAAGTTGTTGTGTGGAAAAACGTATCAGGTCAATGGTATTGAAATTGGAGAGAAACGAATGAATGAAAGACCAAATCATGCAATTCCACAGATTATCTTTTTTTTTTTTTTTTTTTTTTTGTAATTAACTCTTGTAGATCCTTGGTATGTGGAAGAATTCAGATTAAACTCTGAATGAAGTGCAACCACAAATAGACTTCTTTTTGAGTATTCAAATGAGTCAAAAGTTAGAGTATATATCCATGTGATCAAATGAGAATGGTTAATAATTTCACGTTAATTTGAGTGGAATGAACTCAACGTAATATTGACTTTTCTCATGCCTTACATTCAGAGCCGTGCAACAATGTAAACAATTTGGGACTGTCAACTTTATTACATTATGCTTTAACTTGATGTTCAAAAATAATAAAAATCTTGATGAATAAAGTAAAAGCATAATGTTCAAAAAAACAAAATGAACATTATGTCTTACTTTGTTATGAACAATAATGTTCAAAAACCTAATATTGTTGATGAACATTATGCCTTACTTTTGAACATTATGCCTAATGTTCAAAAACCTAATGTTCAAAAACATTGTTGATGAACAAAGTAAGGCATAATGTTCAAAAATAATAAAGTTTGAACATTATGTTCAAGTTATTTGATAAGGCATAATGTTCAAAAATAATATAATTCATAATGTTCAAAAAAAAAGAAAGTAAAAGTATGCCATAAATAGAAACCTTTTTTTTTTCTTATAAAGGGCTTCATAAACAGAAACTGTCGTTAAAGATTTTCGAAAACAGAGTTGCTAAAGCTGACTTTACATACCGTATATAACCGTTACTATCGCCTGTATAAGCTTGCCGGAAAATTAGGTTCAATGGACCGAGTTGCGTCATATAAGAATCATTTCTTAATGGCCGTAGTTCCAAGGTTGATATCATGGGTATCGTTTCTCCGGTCTTCACAAGACAAATCTGCAATATGTTTGACTTTGACATGTATATAATCTCATGATCAGTTTCGTATATCACATCCACCGCAGTCCACATATTAGGCCCTATGTGCAAATGGAATTTGGGATATACATTAAGCCCGTCATAATTTCCATATGAGAACCCTGCTCTTATTAGGTAGTTGATCCCCTTGTTTACTGTGAAATTATAGCAGTTTCGTATTCCATGAGGAAAATATCTCAGATCTTTGTACTGCCTGTAGGAATAGGTCAGTTCATCCACAGCTTCATCGCGTTCACCACTTTGGATGAAATCGGCATCAGATGAGAATTTTAATCTGGTTACTGGGTCGGTATAAGGAGATTCACCAGGGGATAAACCACAGTCCAAACTGATGAATCCTGGCGTAAAAACGAAATATTAGTGCTAATAATATTATTCTTTTTGATAAAAGATGAAGCTTAAGAAAGACGATAGAAAATCTTGAAAGTAGAGAGAATCTTCAAAGTTTAAGCCAAAATTCTCTGTCTATAGCCTTCATGTAAATTCTACAAGATCTTACTCCCAAAGGCTATCGATGTTTCTCCTAGGCTTACAGACCTACTGAGCACCAAGATCCTACTCCTAAAGGCCGATATCAAGAAACAGAGCATGCATACTAGAAACATTCAATCAATGATATCGACAAACATAATGTATAACCCTGATTAATTCAAATTCTTATTGTGTCAAAACGTAAATATATATGAAGCAATTAGAAGTACTTTAGCAAATGATATACAACTACCTTGTTGATCATTCTGAGCTTGAACAAGATGTACAATCGTTAAAACACCGAAGCTCAATGCCAGTAACAGTTTGTTTTGACAATGCATTGTCAAGTTATCATACAAATTTTCAATACGAAAGATTATATGAAGACATGAGAGAATAGATTATTTTTCCAATACGAAAATAAATACTATTTTTTGTTTGTTAATTACATCTACATGTTGGTGTGGAAAATTCTCGAGTTAACCTGTTCATGTTAGTCGTTCAGCACGTCTTAAGAAAACATACACATTCATAATCCAACTTGTGGAAAAATGTGAATATTAAATCACCTGATGTTATCTTTGTTTAGACAATGTACAACCTGTTGAATATTAAATCAGAACACCTGATGTTATCTTAATTTGTCTATACAATGTATAACCTGTCAAGCTGATCTAAAGTCAAAGTTTCATAACTATAGGATAATTTCACCAACGACTTCTCTATATTTAACAACAATAAGATACAGAAGCTCTATAAATTAATAATGTTGGAACTTTGATATTTTATTAATTTATAGAGTTATTAATTTAAGGATTCTTTAAAAAAAAATTAAAATAATGATAAAAAAACTTCTTAATTTTAAATTATAATAGGTATATTTGCTTAACTTTTTCTTATATATTTATATGTGTACTTTACATTTTCTCATATTGTTATAATTCCTTTTCCGAGAATACACTGAAATTTTTTGATGCAATAAGAAATATTAGAGACTAGTTTTAAAAGAAATTAAACTTTACTAAAAAACAAAGAACATTACATTTACATTTTAGTATGTTAGCTTAATTATATAAGTTTTTATATTATAATTATTATTTATGATATCATTGTGACTATATTTTATATATGAATTTTTCAAAGAGTATTTTATTATCTTATCGAATAGTGTCATATTTTGCACTGACCCACTCCGACCGGGAAATTTTCTTAATTTAGCGTGATTATTAATTTATCGAGTAATAATTTATAGAGTTTCTACTGTAGATAAATTATTGCACCAAAAAAAACAATAAGATAGATAAATAAGTTTGTTGTCTTTCTCCTTAATCGTTATTAGAGTAATGTCACAATAATCCCTTATATATATTAAAAGAGCAGACTTTTAAAAAACTAACCTTTGTCTATGAGTTAATTTCAATTCTTTGCCATCTTCTTAGGGTTTTCTAAAAATAACCTCTCTTTATTAGGCAAGTGCTGAAATATTTATTATTAACTTAATCAGAAAAAATGGGAAATTTCAAAACTACACCTCTTGGGGTGCAAATTTTCAAAAATACACCTCTATAGTGTCTATTTTCAAAACTACACTTTTTTCATTGATTAAAAGAACTCTAAACCCTAAAATATAAATTCAAAACCCTAAAATCTAACATTGAACCCTTAAATCTAAACCCTAAACCCCAAAATCTAAACCCTAATCTAGGATTAGTGAACCCAAACATATATATTAAAATTGGGAAAAAAGTGTATTTTTGAAAATTTCCACACTATAGGTGTACTTTTGAAAATTTGCACCTCAAGAGATGTATTTCATAAAATTTCTCGAAAAATAATTATTAATTAAAATTATTTTCTTTCTATTTCCCTATCTGATAGTGACGAAAATTATAAATAAATTTTAAATGTATTTATTAGTCAATCAATCAGTAAAATATGGAAAGTTTTATTCAATTGTATTATATTAATTGTTTAAAAATTAATTTATTATCCTATCATTTTTTTAACTTTACTTTTTCAAAAATAAATTATATCATTACATCAAAATATTTTATAAAACAAAATTAGTTTTTTTTCTGCATATGCTATGATTTGAAATTTTTAAAATGAATGATACTTATGTAAAAAGATATCTAAAAATAAAACTAATCAAGAAAATATGCAGGGCGCGGGTCCAACCCTAGTGTAAAATTATTGGTCTTAAAAAATCAGCTAAGATAAGTCATCCCCTTCACAGCTTGGCCTACTATTCATTATACATTTTCTTTGGATTACTCATGTACCTTGAAAGATGCAGGCAACTAAGAACAAACTAGGTTTGTATATGAATGAGTTGTGCGCATGATCATAGTTTTGTAGTATTTGATTCTAATAAAACAATTGGTTGTAAAACTTATGTGATGTATGTTGAATAATTTTTTTTTAGTTATTAGCACCATATAATTTATACAATTATTATGATACTGATCATATGATATGTTTTCTTCAGAATAAGGGTATAAGGTAGTCCGCTATAGATATCATAATAGTCGAGCAGATTATATGGCTTCATAATCAAATTTCAGTTAATGAGATAAATATTCAAAAGAAGTCTACACATGAAATCCCCATAGCCGATTGATTATTCAGTTACCCATAAATTTGGTCTGATAAATCCCTATTCTTGCCCATTTAGTTAAAAGTTTTTGAAACACTCGCTAGGTTGTAATTTGAGTCTCAAACTTAATTTCTAACTCAACAAACGATGTCTTCAAATGTAGTCTGCGTAATCCCAACATCAAGAAGAATATCCGCGAGATATTCATTCCTTGCGCGTCAATCTTTATCCTTTGGCGAGCAAGTGTCCTCTCAGCTATAAATAAATGGTCTCACCTCTCTCATTATTGATATTCACTCGGAAATCAAACACTCCAGCAAAAAAGTATCTCGCTTCTCTTCTTCTCTAAACATAAGTCTTGAGAGTATAACTATAACGCCCCGACCGCCCCTCCCGGTGAGTCACCCACGCCCTCTCTCTGGACCCGCAGGCCCATCTCGGCCCGTGGGCCTCACCCCTGTCCGACGACCGGTCCGTTATTTTCGAGAGGCTCTAATGACTTGTTTACTATCCCTGCAATCAACACCTGACCTTTCCCCGTATTTTGGCCTCACTCACACGGTTTCGGAAACCACTTCCCGGAAGGTCACCCATCCTTCAACTACTCCAGCACAAGCACGCTTAACTGGAGTTACTTATAGACCTTTGACCGAAAAGGTAAGTTCACTTTGTTGACATAGGTAGCCAAATCAATTCTCTTAAGCCTTTCCTCATTTATCACAAACCGGGATGTTACAATAACGTAGAATATTAATTCGTAGATTCTGTAGTTGGATGCTGTGATTATAGTCTCACACAGTTGAATCATGTGATTCAAAAGTTTCATCAAAACCGCCACACTGCAGGAGATTTATTGAGTTAAGGAAAGAAATCAAATCTTGCCTTTCGTTTATTTCCAATCGTTTTCAAAACTATATAATATTTTTATTATAAGATTCATTTGTATTTTTCAATCTGGATTTTCGCGGTCCTACAAAAACAGTTTTACATATGACAAGTTTGCTGAGCATAGAGTACTACATGTAACACCAGATGGATTGGTTTCACGATCTTATCATGGAATGTGTCAATGTAATTTTCACGTTATTCTTTCTTTAATTGATTTGCCGGGGGTTGACATTTTTTCTTTTTTTTTGTGGAAATGTACTAGCCCTTCCACATATACATGAGGTATTTTTTGGAGACATGTACTTGAAACCACTCTATATTAATTCTGTTCCTGATTTCCAAGGAAACTGGAAGGCGAGAGACAACATGAAGAGTCACCTTTCGTTGGCATTGATTGGGGCATTTGCCATTATAGTTGGAGCTCAGACACAAGAAGGTAACGATACATCAGCTCTTTAGAGATCTTTTATATATATATATATATATATATAAAGTTGTCATTTTGTCGATCTTTCCTTTTACGTTTGGACAGGATTCATCAGTTTGGATTGCGGATTACCTATTGGTGAATCTCCTTACAATGATCCGTATAATGGATTAACATTCACATCGGATTCCAATTTCATCCAAACTGGGGAAAGTGGTAAATTTGAGAAAGATTTCAACAAAGGATTCTCACGCCAATATTTGACTATGAGATACTTTCCAGAGGGAAAGCGTAACTGTTATAGTCTGGATGTCAAGAGTGGCACAAATTACGACATCTTGGTTAGCTTCGGATATGGAAATTATGATGGCCTTAATCTTTATCCAAACTTCGATATCTATCTTGGTCCGAATAAGTGGACAAGAATAGATTTGGAAGTAAAACCAAATGGTATAAGAGAGGAAATCATACACAAAGCTAAGTCAAACTCTTTGGATATTTGTCTTGTTAAAACAGGAACAACGGTGCCACTTATTTCAGCAATAGAAATACGGCCAATGAGAAATGATACTTATGTTACACATTCTGGGTCACTGAGGCTGTCTCACCGGGAGTATTATAGCCGTTTTGGTGAGCAAATAAGGTATGTCAACTTCATTTGACGCATTCATAGTGAGTTGTCATTTATTTATCTACTAGGTGAAGACCCCGCGTGTACACGCGGGATTGCAATTTATAATGACGTCTTATAATGACTCTGTCTCTTCATATATACATAATTTATACCCCTTGCTGTTTTTGAAATTTTTACTTCTGATCATTCACCTGTTGATAAAGTCGATTCGGAAAGACAAAGATGCTTTCTATGTTGTAACCAATTTTTTAAGCCAAATTGACTGAATAAAATTATGGATAAGTGTGAAAAATAGACTCATGTAAAATTAATGAGAAAGTTAAGTGAGTTAAGTGAAGGAGCACTTCATTTGTGCTAAATTGGAAAAAAAAGAGAATAATGTCAAGAATAAATATTTCATAAACTTCTAGAAAGATTGAGTTCAATTTCTGTTTGATAAACACAAAATTAATAATGGAATTCTTCCTTATCCCTTAATAGAATTATTCCTTATCTCTTTTGATAAACACAAAAAAGGATATTCATTCCTTGGAGAGCAAGTCTCCTATTACCTATAAATAAAGGGCCTCATCCCTCTCATTATTCATTCAATCAAAAATCAAACACTCCAGCAAATCTCTTACATCTCTTCATTTCTTCTCTAAAAGTAAGTCTTGAGAGTATAACGTAGTTATTTAGTTCGCAGATTCTGTAGTTGGGTGTTGCAACTATAGTCTCACACAGTTGTATCCTGGGATTCAAAAGTCTCATCAAAACCGCCACACTGCAGGAGATTTAATGAGTTAAGGAAAGAGATAAAATCTCGTCTCTGTGTATTCGTCTGTTTTCAATTGGATTTCTTACTATATATTATATATTATATAAGATTTCAATTCATATTTTGCAATCTAGACTTTGATTTGTTTTGATCTGCGATCTTATGAGTAAAATTCATTGAGTCAACTTTTGGATTCTATCGAAGATTCACATAGCTTTATGATCAGCTAATCGAAACCAGTGGCGAGTAGTAAGGTGACACCGTATAATCGGTATAAAATTGTTAAATGTACATGAAACACACAAAAAATACTCTAGCAAACATGGTAAAAGTAGCCTATTGACACCTCATAACTTGTGTTCGATTCCCATTGAACCCACTTAATTTTTTTTCTACATTCGCCACTGATCGAAACCAGGAATTTCACTTTAAAGAAGAACACACAAACATAGACTTTTCCTTTTCATAATCCACCCTGGTCTGCAACAATATATATTACACTCCAACCAAATCCAAAGCATCTCCTTCTATGGGAATTTCCCGGAAGCTAATTCCACTCATGATAAACAGCATGCATAAGCAATATCTAGAATATCAATAAATCCCAACTACGATTCTATATTCAATCTTCTCACAACGAAACAAAATCCGATTTTCAGTGCTCACATCTTTTTATTCCATTAATAGTCAGTCCAGTTCCAAGTAGAAAGTGGAAAATCTATATTATAATGAGAGAATAATTTTCTCCAGTTGAGTGACACCTGGTATCTCATAAATTGAAAAAAAAAAAAAAAATTAACAAACACGTTAAACTTAAAGTTAAATCGTTTTCTTTTCCCGTCCTTTCGTTTGCAATCGCCACCGCCGTTTTTCCATGCCTTCAGCCTCCTCCGCAAAACCTAATCGTTGAAGCTTTCCACATCCCGTCTTTTGCATATGACCTTCCAAATCAACATTGACGAAATCAACCAAGTCAACCAAATTTACAGAGTGCTATTGATTGATCAACCAAATCAACTAAACTAGACTACAAATTCATTGAGACTTATACAATCCACTCCTTTGTAGCCATCTTATTATACTATCACTTAAACCAGCAAAAAATATATAAAACCAGTTTTGATACCAACCACAAAGTATTTTTTTGTTTTTCGTCGTGTTACCCCCAACAAAAAATCGTAAGTCTGATTAATTATACAATAAAGATATGAATGCAAAGAGTTTTAATTTTTTGTTTGATACGTTGCTGCCAAAGTTGATAAGAGATGCTTTACAGCAGATTCGTCTACACAAACATAAGCATGAAAGAAGAGTCAATCGTAATTTGTCTAGAGGATTTTTCATACTTTGAAAAAGGGAAATGTTATTTTTACCTGGTGGTACGTAGGCTATAATTGATGAGAGCATCAATTTTTAGTTTATTACCTGTTGGATTTTGTGATAATCTTTCTTCTCCTTCTTATGGAAAATGACTATAATTTTGTAAAGAAATACTCAGTTTCATAAAAGAAGTGATGGATCTCAGCTCATCAGGAAGCTCCATTAACTTTTCGCATAGATGAATCTATAGAGTATGAAGAAGTGGCATGGAGCCTTCTTCTACTATCCTTCAAGAACTTATATCCTTTTTGACATCTTATTTTGTCTTTTACAAAAAAAAATAACTTATATCAAATTTGTTTTTTCTTGAAACAGCATACTTGATTTGGATTTCATTTGTGGTTTCCTTTATATGATATCACATATTAAACATAGTGTTCAAATTGTTAAATTAAAATATTATACAATTTGCTTTCAAAACAAACGCTACCATTTTTGAATATTTGATTTTAGACAAAATAAAAATAATTGAGAAATTTATGTAAAAATGAGAAATTAAAGTAAAAATTTACTGGTCCATCTGGAAATCAAGGAATCTGCTCATCTTCGAAAACCGAACCACATCACCTGCGGAAACAATGACAAAAGCGATGAAGGAAGCAAAGGAATGGCAACAAGCACAACAATAGATCCCAAAGGCGAAACAGAGACATGCAATCCCCAAAAACCCACCCAATCAACCAGACTACATCACCTGTTTCACGGATGGAGCTTGGTGTAGAGACACGAACATTAGCGGCTCGGGTTGGATCTTCATAGACTACACCGGCACGGAGGTACTCCGGGGACAAGCGGCTGAGCGGTTCGTCTCATCACCTCTGCTAGCCGAAGCTCTCGCTATCAGATATACCCTCAACCACACCTTAGAAGACGGAATCTCCAATATTCTCGTCAATTCAGACGCTCTGGATCTCATCCGAGCCATCATCACGCAAGAGAAAATCAAGGAGATCTATGGTCTCCTCTTTGATATTCAAACTCTTGCTTCATTGTTCTCTTTGTTCTCCTTCAGATACATTTCTAGATCTGAAAATGTAGTGGCGGATTCAATCGCCAAAATCGCCAAGAGTCGTTTGGTCGATTCAATTACTATGCGGAACCCACTGTTGTAGTCGTTGGCTTTCACTTATTGAAATTATAAGTTGTTCGAAAAGAAAAGAAGATAAAACACGATATATGACATACACCATGGCCTACTCCGATTGTGTCCTACGTACGGGCTGCACAGGAAACGAGAGAAAAAACTGTAAACTCCCAATTTTGATGTATAATTGAAAGTCGCATTGGTCAAAAATAGACATAACTCGTACATCTTAGTTTAGTCTGTATAAAACAGAATGTGTTAATTGTGAAAGTCCTAACCCCAACATAATGTTGGAACCAAATTTTTAAGCCAAATGGGCTGAATAAAATTGTGGACAAGTGTGAAAAGAAATGGGCTTAGGCTCATGTAAAATTAATGAGAAAGTTAAGTGAGTTAAATGAAGGAGCACTTCATTTGTCCCAAATTGGAAAAAAGAATAATGTCAAGAATAAATCTTCCAGAAACTTCTAGAAAGATTGAGTTCAGTTTCTGTTTGATAAACAAGAAATTAATAATGGAATTCTTCCTTATCCTTAATGGAATAATGAATTCTTCTTATCCCTTAATGGAATTATTCATTATCCTTTAATGGAATTATTCCTTATCTCTTTTGGTAAACATCAAAAAAGGATATTTCCTTCCTTGGAGAGCAAGTCTCCTATCACCTATAAATAAAGGGCCTCACCCTCTCATTATTCATTCATTCATTCAAAATCAAACACTCCAGCAAATCTCTCACATCTCTTCCTTTCTTCTCTAAAAGTAAGTCTCGAGAGTATAGCGTAGTTATTTAGTTCGCAGATTCTGTAGTTGGGTGTTGCAACTATAGTCTCACACAGTTGTATCCTGGGATTCAAAAGTCTCATCAAAACCGCCACACTGCGGGAGATTTATTGAGTTAAGGAAAGAGATAAAATCTCGCCTCTGTGTATTCGTCTGTTTTCAATCGGATTTCTTACTATATATTATTATTATATAAGAATTTCATTCGTATTTTTTAATCGCGATCCTACGCATAAAAGATTTACTGAAATCCACTTAAGTAAGAGATTCATTAAAGAGTAAAAAATAAGTTAAATTTTAGTTCCTTGTCATTCCTCCTACAATATAACAAGGACCATAACTTACTCACTATTCTATAATTGATATTTGCACATTACGATATTTTCAATTAGTTTTTTATATTTGTAAGGTTTCATCTGCCTAAATCATTTTAGCTAATACAATTTAGTTACAGGTATGCAGATGACATCGATGATCGGGTTTGGTTTCCATATTCCGACCCTCCATATACGCTTATAACAACCAGTCTCAATGTAAACAACTCAGATATATATGAGGTACCAAATACAGTACTCAAAACAGCTTTTGAGGCTTACACAGTTATCGAATTCCCACAACTGGAAACAAGCCTAAGTGATGGTAGATCACTTTAATTTTCAATTATTACAATTAAAAATAAATAAATAATTTCTCTTCTCTCATATGATATTGTTTTTCTTACATTTTCTAACGTTTATGCTAGTTGCTGCTATCAAGAACATCAAAGCTACTTATAATCTGAGTAGAATCAGTTGGCAAGGAGATCCATGTCGCCCTCTAGAATTTTCGTGGGAAAATCTAACATGCACTAACGCAAATGTTTCCACTGCACCAAGAATCATCTCCTTGTAAGATCATTCACAAACACAGTCTCTAACTTAAAACTATCTAATGTATCAATTTGGCAGGCCATCAACGTTTTGGTAAGTGTTTTTGTGTTTGTATAATTAGAAATTTGTCAGATAGTGGATTAACTGGGAGCATTGCTCCAGTTTTACAGAATCTAATGCAATTACAAGAACTGTAAGTATTTCAATAGTTGATTAATTAAAACCAAGAATGATTTTTTCATACACGACATTTAAGCGAATCTTTTGCATTTATGCATGGAACCACAGGGACTTATCTAATAACAACTTGACTGGACAAGTGCCTACTTTTCTTGCCAGCATGAAATTGTTGACCTTGATGTAAGTTTTCTAGAAAGCAGGATAACATTTTGACCATGCCTTTTTTATTCTTTGCTTATATATAGAAATATACCAAAAATGATTTTTCAGGGTTTATAATTTAAATATTTAGTTTTGGGTTTAGCATTTTGCGTTTATTTTAAAAATTTGAGAGTTTAGTTTTAAGGGTTTTAAAATTATTTTTAGTTTTGTGTTATTTTTAGAAATAATCAATATTTATGGTATTAATGGTGATGATATTTTTGTATTATAAAGTTCTTTTTTGTGGTTTTTTTAGAATTGCCTCTATATACACATAATCATTATGGTCCTTTTCTTCTCAATAGAAACTTAAGCAGGAACAATCTCAGTGGCTCAGTTCCTCAAGCTCTTCTTGATAGAGTAAACAAAGGACTTGTGTTAAAGTAAGATTCTATTTTCCATTAAGGGTATGCATTCGTTAATAACTATTACATAGAAATTATAGCTCTGGTACAAAGGCCTAAACTTTTTGGGACAACTTACCATATAGTGACACATAAGAATAAAATCTTCAAAAGAAGAGGAACTATATTTTAGGTGACTGTTTGGTTAAATCTTTTTCATTTACTACTTCGCTTATTTTAAAGCAAGTCTGCAGGTGTATTCTGACTGTTCCATTATAACCTTCCTAATTTGGTCTTTTTTTTACTAACAACTTGAATATCCCATGTTTCGTTTCATGTAGCGTTGAAGGAAATCCATATTTGTGCAGTACAAGTTCATGCAATCCTGAAGAGAAAAATAAATTTTTGCTACCGGCTATTATATCAGCTGCCTCTCTGCTTGTTGTAGTAGTGGTCGTGGCTCTTATTTTTGTTTTCCGAAAGAAGAAGGTGCCTTCAGGTAAGTCTTGAGCCATTAATCATTTACATAAACCAAATAGTTATTTTATTTTATTTTTGTTCAAAACCAACCAAATAGTTATATGTTAATTATTTACATAACCAAATATTTCACCGTGTAGAGTTACACGCTTCACAAAGTACGCCCGCAGCCAATGTTGGGCACATCAACGATTCACAATCATCATTTCTATCGAAAAAGGTTAGGTTTACTTATTTTGAGGTTCAAGAAATGACAAATAACTTTGAAAAAGCTCTCGGTGAAGGGGGATTTGGAATCGTGTATCATGGTTGTGTTAATGGTAACCAACAAGTGGCTGTTAAATTGCTATCTCAATCATCGTCTCAAGGCTATAAGCATTTTAAGGCAGAGGTACTCTTTTGCACAGATATAACTGATGTTTATATATATGGTTAATATTTTTGTAGAGTATTAGCTAATTGATGATTGACTAGGTCGAACTGCTTATGAGAGTGCACCATATAAATTTGGTGAGTCTTGTTGGGTATTGTGATGAAGCAGAAAACTTAGCCCTCATCTACGAGTACATGACAAACGGAGACTTAAAGCAACAGTTGTCAGGTAATACCTGGAACATAACTAGTGATTTCAACAAATATTGATGGTCTCAAATTCTGAGCAATTTAGCGTACGTTTGAATAATACAGGAAGCCGTGAGGGATTCGTTCTGAGCTGGGAAAGTAGACTGAGAATAGCTGTTGATGCAGCACTAGGTATGACAACATTTATTTTTTTCAACTTCGACATTTAGATTTTAGACTTTTAGTTTTAGATTTAGTAGAATTTTGTCTCGAGTGAATCAGCTAGAAATCTGACGTAACTACTAGTTCATATAAATATTATACCTCTATTGTATGGAATGGAAACTAAGCCGAAGGTACACGAAATACTTACTTAAACCAGATACTCACTTGACAAAAGGTTATTGAATTTCGATTTGTTATGAAGGGTTGGAGTACTTACACACTGGATGCAAACCACCAATCGTTCATAGAGATATAAAAACTACAAACATACTTTTGGACCAAAATTTTCAAGCCAAAATAGCCGATTTTGGGCTTTCAAGATCTTTTCCCACCGGAAATGAAACATATGTGTCAACAGTTGTTGCTGGCACTCCTGGATATCTTGATCCGGAGTGAGCATTATATCTCTACATATGTTACAAATATAATACACAAAACACGGTCCCTTTTGGTACTCTGATAATCGCAAACAGTCTTATATGTTTCATTTTCTGTGTCATGTTTTGCAGGTATTATCAAACAAACTGGTTGACAGAAAAGCCTCACTTAGGGGTTGTGTTATTGGAGATCATTACAAACCAACCCATAATTCAGCAATCCCGTGAAAAGCCTCACTTAGTAGAATGGATCAGCTCTATAATAACAAAAGGAGATATTAAAAAACTTATGGATCCAAATCTCCACCAAAATTATGACACTGGTTCTGTCTGGAAGGCCATTGAAGTAGCAATGTCATGTGTGAGTCTTTCTTCCACATGAAGACCAAACATGTCTCGAGTTGCTAATGATCTAAAAGACTGTCTGATAGCTGAAAGCACGAGGATAGGAGAAACTGGAGACATCGAATCGAAAAGTTCAATGGAATTCAGCATGGGCATTTACACCGAGGTGATCCGTAAAGCAAGCTAGAGATCACTAACGCTTATAACAAAATGTGATTGAAGTTGGATTATTTTAGTTTAATGTATGTTGTGCAAAATATTTGGCAAATGTTTTTTTGTTTCCTCTTTTCTCTTTTGCTAAAACTATTTGGAAAATATGTGTTAATAATTTGATGGTTTATCTATCAATCAATCTATCTAATTATATAAAGTTGGATGCAATATAACTAGATGCATGCAACATAATTGCAATACATATGATTTTTATAATTTACCAGAACTCATGCGTCATTTTTAATTTTTATCGTATTAAAATCGTGACATGTATAACGCCCCGACCGCCCATCCCCGTGAGTTACCCACACTCTCTCTTAGTCTATGGGTGAAATAACCAACATTTTTTTTTAATCAATTAAATAACAATTCAGCGGAAGTCTTTAAATAAATAAATAAATAAATAAATAAATGAATTAGGTTAAACAAATGAATTCAAATAAATCATAAAAGAAATACTAGCAACCTAGACATCAGGTACTAGCAAGTCAAATAATGCAAAACAATGAAAACAGTAAGCATCCTATCATCCCCTCTTCAGCCTTGATTCCGCGATCATATAAACATTTTACCTGCAACACATTGGAAATGAGTTGTATAAGTATTTAATAAATACTTAGTGAGACAATCACTCTGCCTACAGGCCATTTACGCAATTTATTAGACATTTAAATAATTATTAATAAACTCCAATAATTATTAAATTTCCATTTTCCAATTATTATAAACCTGATTTATTTAATTTAATTATAAAAAAAAAAAAAAATGTTGGTTGTTTCATTTTGGTATCAGAGCCTAGACGGTTTTAGGACTGTTAGAATTGCTAGGCTTTAGTATCATCCCCTTCAGCTACATGAGATTCCGCGGTAGGTTATTGGTGTTTGTGTTTTGTGTTATTATCTAGTTGCTCATGTTCGGGTCCATGCAGTGAGATGGACGGAGCTCCTAGAGGTCGTGGCGCGAGAGGGCGCGGTGCTAGAGGTCGTGACGGAAGAGTTGGCCGTGGCGGCAGAGCTGGTGGTAGAGCTGGAGGCCGAGCAGGCCGAAGTCGTGGTCGTGGACTTCCGGAGGAGTCGGGAGAGAGTGCGGCACCGAGTGTGCATACTGCGTCGGTAACCCAGTCAGTTCCGTTGGCGGGTGATGCCAGTGCGAGTGTTGGTATGGGAGCGGGGGCTGCTCCGGGTGGGGGTGGCGCTCCGGCTCCGGGTCATGATGACTTAGTGGTGGGTTTGCTGACGCAGCTGTTGGCTCGTTTTCCGCCGGTGGTTCCACAGGGGACTCCAGGAGTACCGCCAGTGGCAGAGGCGCAGCATGTTGCTGCAGAGGTTGTGCAGCCAGGGGCTGCGGATGCGGGTGTGTCCCGGTATTTGGAGTTTATGGGACATATGCAGAGGATTGGTACACCTTTCTTCGAGGGCAGGGTTGGTCCAGAGGAGGCAGACGCGTGGCGTCAGAGAGTGGAGCGGAACTTTCATTCGATCCGTTGTCCGAGGGAGTACTGGGTGGAGTTAGCGGTCCACTATTTGAGTGGCGATGCTCATTTGTGGTGGCAGGCCGCGGTGGGCCGGAGGGCATTTTGGACTTGGGGCGACTTCCTTGGGGAGTTCAACGCCAAGTATTTCCCGAGGCAGGCTCGTGATCGTCTTCAGATGCGGTTTATGGGCATTGAGCAGGGTTCACGTTCTGTACGCGAGTATGATGAGGAGTTCAGCCGTCTGTTAGTGCATGCGGGCTTTGGTATGGAGGCCGAGCATCAGTTGACGAACAGATTTCTGGAGGGACTTCGCAAGGATATTCGGAGTCTATGCAGGAGTAGTACGCACATTTCGAGGGCGAGTCTGGTAGAGTTGGCCGCGTCGGTCGAGGCGGATCTTGGTGGGCCAGTTGGTCCGGTGGCTGTGTCGTCAGCAGTTTCTTCTGCTACCCAACCTCGGGGTCAGCATCAACAGCCGCGACAGCAGCAGCAGCAGCAGCGCAGAGGTGGTTCGGGTTTCAGTTCTGGTTCTGGCAGGGGCGGTTTGCCTGCGCAGGGTCAGAAGAGGAGTAGAGAGGAGTTTTCTGGTGCTAGTCAGTTTCCTCGTGGTTCGTGTTTTGGGTGTGGGAGTACGGAGCATCGTGTTTCGAGTTATCCCAAGAGGGAGTCAGCACTGAGGGTGTGCTACTACTGCAAGGAGCCTGGGCATATCAAGCCCATGTGTCCTGTAACATCCCAGTTTGTGATAAATGAGGAGAGGCTTAAGAGAATTGATTTGGCTACCTATGTCAACAAAGTGCACTTACCTTTTCGGTCAAAGGTCTATAAGTAACTCCAGAGTTAAGCGTGCTTGGGCTGGAGTAGTTGAAGGATGGGTGACCTTCCGGGAAGTGGTTTCCGAAACCGTGTGAGTGAGGCCAAAACATGGGGAAAGGTCGGGTGTTGATTGCAGGGTAGTAAACAAGTCATTAGAGCCTCTCAAAAATAACGGACCGGCCGTCGGACAGGGGTGAGGCCCACGGGCCGAGATGGGCCTGCGGGCCCAGAGAGAGGGCGTGGGCGACTCACCGGGAAGGACGGTCGGGGCGTTATATGTCCTAAGTTGCGGAGTATGTCGGTGGCTTCGGTTCAGCCAGTAGCGGCTCAGCCAGTGAGTCAGATCGCAGCAGTGCAGCCGTTGGGTCAGATTGCACCGGCGCCGCGGGGTTACTCTTCAGTGGAGACTGGCGGGACTAGTCAGACCGGGCAGATCACAGGTAAATCTTCGACTCAGACTTTGTAAATTCTTAGTATAGAATTTGTTGTTGTGTTATTGTCTGTTAGTCATTTTTATCTGTGATAGTCTTGTGGAGGTTCTCAACGCAATTGAATGTGTAGGGACCTTGTTAGTGGGCGGTTTTGAGTCCCACGTTTTATTCGACTCTGGAGCATCGAATTGCTTCATTACACCGGAGCGTGCCGAGAAGAGTGGCATCCGGAGTAGCGCGGGCGAGAGCGCGGGCATGGTCAAGGTGGCGGGAGGTGGATTCTTGTCTACTTTGGGCCGTGCTAGAGGAGTCGAGATCGAGATTGCGGGGCAGTCAATGCCAGCAGACTTAGTCATCAGTCCGGTGGAGCTGTATGACGTTATTCTCGGGATGGACTGGTTGTCACACTACAGAGTTCATCTGGATTGCTACAGAGGTAGAGTGGTCTTCGAGCGAGATGCAGGGAGGTTGGTTTATCAGGGAGTGAGACCGACTTCCGGGAGTATTGTGATATCTGCTATTCAGGCCGAGCAGTTGTTAGAGCGGGGCTGTGAGGCGTATCTGGCGACGATTTCTATGTCTGAGTCAGGAGCTGGAGTTGTTATGGGAGATATTGAGGTTGTCCAGGATTTTGAGGATGTCTTTCAGTCACTGAAGGGATTACCACCATCTCGGTCTGATCCTTTCACGATTGAGTTAGAGCCGGGGACAGCACCGATATCGAAGACGCCTTACAGGATGGCGCCAGCTGAGTTGGCAGAGCTGAAGAAGCAGATAGAGGACCTTTTGTCTAAGGGGTTCATTCGACCGAGTGTTTCACCGTGGGGAGCACCGGTGTTGTTTGTGAAGAAGAAGGATGGAGTTTCAGACTTTGTATCGATTACAGAGGTCTTAACCGAGTCACTGTGAAGAACAGGTACCCACTCCCGAGGATTGATGAGTTGTTGGATCAGTTGAGGGGTGCTACTTGGTTCTCCAAGATTGACTTGGCATCGGGGTATCATCAGATCCCGATAGATGAGGCAGATGTCAGGAAGACTGCTTTCAGGACGCGTTATGGGCATTTTGAGTTTGTGGTTATGCCTTTCGGTTTGACTAACGCGCCGGCAGCCTTCATGAGATTGATGAACGACGTGTTCAGGGAGTATTTGGACGTGTTTGTCATCATTTTCATTGACGATATTCTGGTATACTCGAGGAGTCAGGAGGAGCATGCGACTCACTTGAGGTTGGTTCTGGAGAAGCTTCGGGAGCAGAAGCTTTTTGCTAAGTTGAGCAAGTGCAGTTTCTGGCAGCGAGAGATGGGATTTCTTGGCCACATTGTTTCTGCAGAGGGAGTTTCTGTGGATCCGGCTAAGATTGAGGCTATCAGAGATTGGCCTAGACCTAGTAGTGCCACCGAGATCAGGAGTTTTCTGGGTTTGGCAGGATACTACAGGAGGTTCGTCAAGGGGTTTGCTACCATGGCGCAGCCGATGACGAAGTTGACTGGGAAGGATGTCCCGTTTGTTTGGTCAGCTGAGTGTGAGGAGAGCTTTAGTCAGCTCAAGGAGATGTTGACTACTACACCAGTGTTGGCGTTACCCGAGCCAGGGAAGCCTTACATGGTGTATACAGATGCTTCAGGCATTGGTCTTGGTTGTGTGCTGATGCAGGAGGGCAGAGTGATAGCATATGCTTCGAGACAGTGGCAGGGCAGTGAGCGTAACCGTCCTACACATGACTTAGAGTTGGGAGCAGTGATCTTCGCGTTGAAGATTTGGAGGTCTTACTTGCTAGGTGAGACAGTACAGGTCTTCACGGATCACAAGAGTTTGCAGCATATCTTCACTCAGCCGATGATGAACGCGAGACAGACGCGCTGGGTTGAGTTCTTGGCGGACTATCAGGTGAGCATTAACTACCATCCGGGCAAGGCTAACCTAGTGGCGGACGCGTTGAGTAGACGGAGGTATGATTCCGCAGTTGAGCGAGATGTGGAGTCTCTAGTTGGCGAGATCAGTACCTTGCGTTTGTGTGCCATTTCGCAGGAGCCTTTGGGTTTAGAGGCAGTGGATCAGGCGGATCTACTTAGCAGGATCAGAGTTGCTCAGCAGAGTGATCAGAGTTTGCTAGATGCGACGAGAGTGACTGGTTCTGAGTATGAGGTCTCTGCGAATGGGACTATCTTGGTTCGTGGGCGAGTTTGTGTGCCTAAGGATGTGGAGTTGAGACATCAGATTTTGGGAGAGGCTCACGCGAGCAAGTTTTCCATTCATCCGGGAGCGACCAAGATGTACCATGACCTCAAGAGGTACTATCATTGGGTCGGGATGAAGAGGGATGTAGCAGACTGGGTTGCGAAGTGCAACACTTGTGCCTTGGTGAAGGCAGAGCATCAGGTTCCGGGTGGTCTTTTGCAGAGTTTACCCATTCCAGAGTGGAAGTGGGACAGGATTACGATGGATTTCGTGGTTGGACTACCTGTTTCGAGGACTTTCGATGCTATCTGGGTGATTGTGGATCGGTTGACTAAGTCCGCACATTTCTTGGCCATCAAGAAGACAGATGGAGCTGCTGTCTTGGCTAGGAAGTTTGTGCGAGAGATTGTGAGGCTGCATGGAGTGCCAGCTAGTATTGTGTCAGACCGTGATCCCAGATTCACTTCAGAGTTTTGGAGGGCGTTTCAGGCAGAGATGGGCACTAAGGTGCATCTGAGTACAGCTTATCATCCGCAGACAGATGGTCAGTCAGAGAGGACTATTCAGACTTTGGAGGATTTGCTGAGGATGTGTGTGTTGGATTGGGGTGGCCATTGGGCAGATCACCTGAGCTTAGTTGAGTTTGCATACAACAACAGCTTTCAGGCGAGTATTGGCATGGCTCCATTTGAGGCTTTGTATGGGAGGCCATGTAGGACACCCCTATGCTGGACCCAAGTGGGGGAGCGCAGCATGTATGGAGCTACTTATGTTCAGGAGACGACAGAGAAGGTCCGTGTTGTGAGGCTGAACATGAAGGAGGCTCAGGATAGGCAGAAGAGTTATGCAGATAGACGCAGACGAGAGCTTGAGTTTCAGGTTGGAGATAGAGTTTATCTCAAGATGGCTATGTTGAGGGGTCCTAACAGATCCATAGCAGAGAACAAGCTGAGTCCGCGATTTATGGGTCCGTTTCCAGTAGTGGAGCGAGTTGGGCCATTGGCTTACAGGCTGGAGTTGCCTGAGATTATGAAAGCCTTTCACAAGGTTTTTCATGTGTCGATGCTGAGGAAGTGTCTTCACCCTACAGAGGAGTTAGTGGCTAGGATTCCAGAGGATCTTCAGCCAGATTTGACAGTGCCGGCAGTGCCTGTGAGGATTTTAGAGAGGAGGGAAAAGGTTCTGAGGAACAAGAGGATTCCCTTACTGAGGATTTTGTGGGATTGCAGTGGTTCTACAGAGGAGACTTGGGAGCCAGAGGCAAAGATGAAGTTGAAGTTCAGGAAGTGGTTCGACAAGCAGGTCGAGGAGTGAGCTTATTTCATCTTTGTAGCCTCAGTTGTTATTTTTGGCTTTGGTGTTATTGTATTTTCGTTTTCGTTGTAACGATATACATTTTGGAGTTTTAATGAGATGCAGTTTTTCCTCATTTTGCCTTGTGTTGTGAAATGGTATTCGGATGTTACACATGTTTGACCAGTTTTGGTTGTGAGACGGTCTAATCTTATGGTTATAGACATTTTTCCGGAATTTTTACTCTAAGGATTGCGATCCTGAATAACTCATCATGTTTTTGGAGACTTCGTTCTCTGGCAGACTCTCTGGGTGCAAGTAGGCCTCAGTTGAGTGTAGCTTATCTGGGTGCAAGTAGGCCTCAGTATAAGCAGTTTAGTTCATCTGGGTGCAAGTGGGCCTCAGTATGGACAGTTTCGGGTTCGTCTGGGTGCAAGTGGGCCTCAGTGCGGACCGGTGTGGACTTGTCTGGGTGCAAGTGGGCCTCAGTACAAGTGGTTTGTGTGTTTTGGATGATGAGTTAGGAGTGAAAATTTCTTGGAACGTGCTTATGACATAGGATTTGACATATGTCTCGGGGATCAGGTGAGGATCTCCAGTGTTGCGGCCTTGCGAGGTCGGGTTTTTGTGGTCTTTGTGACGTTTGGTTGGGATTCGAGGTCGAATCCAGTTTAGTGGGGGAGAGTTGTAACATCCGTAGCCTTCTCTGGTGAGTTTTGGAAGTTGCGTCGGGCGAGCAAGTGTTGCGTCGGTCGACGCAAGGATTTCAAAATCAGACCCGGTTTGATTTAAGTGGTCCGGTTTAGCTGGTTTTGGGCAGAAAAGCCCTAGAACTCGAATTAAAAGGTGCAGCCGCCTCCTTTTTGCACAGTTTTCGAGGCAGAGAGTTCTGGAGAGGAGAAGAGGCGATTTTGTGGAGGAAATCCGAGTTTTAGTGGCAGATCGAAGTGCCGTTTGTTGTCCTTGCTGTTTCCATCGTTTTTCTCCTTTCAATCCATTTTCAAGGTGAGTGCATGACTGTAGGTCCGCAAATCACTAGATCTGGATTGATTGAATGTTGTTCTTGAGGTGTTCTTATGATATAAGGTTTATGTGATGATGTTTGGTTGATTCCTGTGTTAATTTGGTGTTTCTGCGTGTTTTGTTGATATCTCTGTCAACCTGACGGACGTGCGTCGGGCGACGCAAAGCTTGCGTCGGTCGACGCAAAGTGGTCTGCGTTGGTGACGCAAAGCTTGCGTCGGTCGACGCAGCCGGTTCTGTCTGGTTCAATTGGAAATTGATTTCTGGTTCAAATTAAGTGATTTCTGGTTAAAATCTGGTTAAATGGTTTAATTCGAATTTAATTAATTAAATGATATTTAATTGATTAAGAGGCTTAAAATAATTATTTAAATTATTTTAAAATATGGAAAATTATTATTTAATTATGAGAATTATTTAATAATTGAGAAATGTGTTTTAATTATTAATAATTATTTAATAATTGGAAAATGGTATTTAATAATTATTGGAGTTTATAAATATTATTAAATATCTAGTAAATTGCGTAAATGGCCTGTAGGCAGAGTGATTGCCTCACTAAGTATTTATTAAATACTTACGCAACTCCATTCCAATGTGTTGCAGGTAAAAGATTTGTGTGATCGCGGAATCAAGGCTGAAGAGGGGGATGATAGGATGTTTATGTTTTATTGTTTTGCATTATTTGACTTGCTAGTACTGGTGTTTAGGTTGCTAGTATTTCTTTAATTATTTATTTGAATTTATTTGTTGAACTGATTTATTATTTATTTATTTATTTAAATGAATTGTTATTTAATTTAATTATAAAAAAAAAAAATGTTGGTTGTTTCAAGATCCATCTCAGACCCAATGGGCTACCCTCCAATCTTCGGTGTCTCAGTTCGTCATAGATCAGCTCCACAACAAGCCGTCTCCGCTGCTCCTCCGACTCGGCCTCAGTCGAAACTCCCACCGTCTCCGTTCCATTGGCGATTACCTCTTCTGATTTAGGGTTCCCTCTTCATTTCGAGAACCAATGGGCTCTGCAATTCATCTTATAAGGTAAGCCCATAATAAGGCCCATACAGTCTTACGTTCGTGGTTTTTAATAAATACAGTTTCTTTGTTAGTTTTTCTTCGATCGATTTCGCTCCCCTGAGGCTTCCATTACAAATTTACAACACAAACATGTTATGTTTCTTCATCACTGTCTTTTGATTTTCCTTTCTCCATTTAATACTGGCGTCCTAAATGTCATTAAACTCATTTACTCAAATCTCCTCAATCCACGGGCCATCTCTTTCAATATAAATACTTCTCATTGCATACCTGCAACTCACATTTGCCGCCATGGAATCTCCGCTTCAAGAACAGAGTGAGAACGCTGTGTTTGAATTGCTGCGTCTGGGCCAATCGCCACAGCAACTACTCATCCGCCTTCTCCGTTATTGGGCGGTCTTCAGCGCATTCAATCCTCTCCACTTGCGGGGAATTGTCCCCATGCTGATTGATTCGTAAAAAGTCTTCCTTCTACCTTTCTGTGCTAACGATTCACATTAAGATTGTCTTACTTATTTCTTCTCCTATTTTACCATAGTGAATTGCTACACACTTTCATTCATCCAGCTCTGCATCAGAAGCACCAACAAACCTTACCTGAAGGCTGGATTTACAAGCTCTCGCATTTTGAAGTCCGGAAATCGTGCAGACTATATAAACTCACATCGCAGGCTCTTTCTAGCATGTTTACGCCATTAACAAAGCTCAGTCGGGTCTAGTCCATAATCTGTTCCTCGCTCTCCCCACAGAGATATTTTCTGTTCGTAGCCATGACCATTTACTCAGTCTCGCCAACACAAACCTGACTCTGCCGGGTAATCTTTTTAGCAGATCTTTCTTACTTCCTCTCCGATACATTGTAGATTGATAACGACTCAGTTATAAATCAATTTCCATGTCCAAAGCATTAGACTCAGATATTCTCGGCACCATCTGACTATGAATTAGCTTGATCTATAGTGTAGATAATCAAGAATATACGATAGTGAGAGTGAACTTAATTATTTGATGGAGATTTAATGTATCTAAACTGGTATCGGTTAAAGAACATAGAAACATCAATAAACTTTTGGCAATGTTAATATATCATGTTCAGGAACGCTTCAGCTGGACTCTTCAAACGCCACACGGTTCTTCTTTTGACCAGAACATCCATCAGATTCATAATCTCTTGCAGAGGTGACTTTCTCTCATCTAGAAAAAGGTTTTTTTTTTTGTCTGAAAAAGGTCTGAAATTTTGACGTGACTGTGATCTTGCCGGCCAAACAAATTAAGAGGTGAGAAATATCGTCACCAGCAGCATCTCTCACAAGATGTGCGGGCATATCCCTAGATCTATTAAGGGAAACTCTTTAATAGATTAGAGATTGATTTCTTTAAGAGTAGAAACCACAACACTGGCGATGGGATTCTCTCTTTTATGTGGATGTAAAAAGTCTTTCAACACCATGTGATATCAGCCTTTGGATACACAAAAACCTGTGTAGAACCGATCTTATGTTGGTATATCATTGTGTTTCTATTTTGTCGTTATGGTAGAAGAGATGTGAAATTATAAAATTTTGTTATAAATTTAAAAACAAATTTCGATTGGTTTAAAGCCATGAGTTGTTTAAAAAATTATTATAGATTTATAACAAAATTAGGGGTTGTTTGAAGCATCAAGAATGAATAGGAAGCTCTCAAGGATAATAATAATTTAGATTGAGGCTTTGAGCAAATAAGTTAGCAGTTTAAACAAAAATATTATTATTAAGATGTTGGTAAAGACACCTTCATCTTACAAATAATAAAGAATCTATTGAAAAGAGAAAAGGGAACTATTAGCATAAGACAATACTCTCTATGTTCCATATTATAAGCAGTTGGGCAAAATGTATTTGAAAAAGAACTGGATGTATCTGGATGGAATTCTGTCCAGATACATCAATTTTTTTCAGATACATTTTGCCCACCACGCGGTGGGCGGTAGCGTGGTGGGCGGCACATGAAAAACAAGAGATAACACCGCTCTTGGTGGGGAATTTGGTTGAGTTATCTTTCAAAGGTGAAATTTGCCAGATTGATGGATCATGGAAAGCCACAGATCCTCGAGCGGGTCTAGGTTGGTATAATTTCAATACGAAAACGGGCGAAAAGCTCATGGGTACGTATAACTTAAGGCGGGGTATATCACCACTTCAAGCAGAATTTGAAGCATTGGTATGGGCTATGCAGTGCATGTAACGTAAGAATAAGTTAATAATAGTGTTCGAAACGGACTGTTCTGACATGGTCAAGATGGTGTCTAAACCCAAGGACTGGCCAGCTTTCGCAACAATACTAGAGGAGTTTTGCAGATGTAAAACAAAGTTCACCTCCTTTTCCATAGTGCATATTTTAAGGACAAAGAACACGAAGGCGGACAAGTTACCACAGAGTGCTAGAGTTCTACCTACTGATGTGTATTATGTAAACTCTGTTTCTCCGACTTGGATTTCCAAATTGACTTAGAATCAGAGGCTGTTCGACCAAAAATACAAAATAGATATCAAGTTTATGTATTTCTATTCAGAAGGAAAAATGTATATTTGATTAAAAGTTAAAATTAACTCAAGAGAAGTATGAAAGTATTAGAAGCATGAAAACAAATTAATATTTTTCATGCCTTTAACTAAAACAATGTCACTTATGATGAAAAAGTAAATTTAAATCAAAATTTATTATATAAAGCTGGATGCGCGCAACGTGGTTGCGACACGTAGGATTTTTATAATTTATAGGATCGGGACATGTGTCACTTTTAATGTTACATCTGTTAAGATCGTGACATGTATCTTGGAAAAAAAAGAAAAAAATCATGATTAAAAAATGTTAGATAAAGGAAAATTAAATTTTGGGATAAACAGTTTTTTTACTTCTAAAATTTTGGGACAAACAGTGTTTATGTGAAGCAACTATCATCGATATTGATTTATCTCATGGTGAAACTATGTAGCATATTCAGTTTGCCAAAAAAAAATATTTAAAAAGTTGGATACTTCCATATTGTAATGAAAAAAGGAAAAAATAAATTTGCAAGCTTTGTATTTTAAGATAAATATGAGGGATCCATATTCTAACGGAAAAAAAATAAAAAGAAGTATCTTCTATGTTTTACCTAGCCATGAAAAAATTATAGTATCCATATTCTAACGGAAAACGGAAAATTTGTATGCCTCATATTTTAAGATAAAAATGTTCCATATTCTAACGAAAAAGGATAAATCTTTATTGCAGATTTTATATTCTAAAATAAAAAGGTTTTGTATTCTAACGAAAGAAAGAAAAATAAATATTTTTATTTCTCACCAAGCCCTATATAATAATTTAATTGTCGTTTCATCTTTTTCTCTTATCTCTTTTTTTTTTTGGTCGAATCTTTTTCTCTTATCTCTAATGGTGTGATTCCATTTTTTAAGAATAAAAAACTTATGTTTTCCAAATTGTAAGAAAGCAATGGAGATTATTTCACTCTAAATCAAATGGATCGAAATCGAGATTATCGTCGTACTATAGTATGTATTATTCGAAAGTGGAAAATTAGAAATCTTAAGCTTCTATTAAATAACTATTACTATTTATTATACAGCAAAACTGATGTATATTATGTTATTAACAGATTTTTTTTCGGGGTTTCAATACTATTTTAGTTACATTTAAAAGTAGTCATATTTTGTTTAATATTTTTTCATAAAATGTTTTAAAAATCTTAAGATAAACTCCGCGTATACGCGGGGCTTTAGTATATATATGGTAATCAATTCGTTAAAAATTATAATATATATAAGATTACATAAATAGTAAAAACTAAAAGGATAAAAATTAAAAATATAAATGAATGTATTGGGGATTATGTTAATAAATTTAATTAGGAAGAAAAAGATAGTAAAAATAAATGAACAAATTTTAATAAATTAGGCTTTTCAATCAGTAAAAGATTCTTAACGGCATTCTCAATATGATTTTATCTGTTCAATATCGGAAGAACTAGAAACTCGTTTTGAGAAATCAATAACACGAGTACAGAAGTTGTTCTTCTTATTGATCTTAGACCTAAAGGTCTTGTATATATGTACATGCATATGTCTATTAATAATAAAGGGAAATCTAAGGTGAATCTAATGTAATTTAGAAATATGCCTAATTACATATCAATGGAAATATATAGGAAAGATATGGATCTATCCTAATACCCCCCTCCCCTCTCAAGTTGGAGCATACAAGTCTCGAATGCCCAACTTGTACAGAAAAATGTCAAACTCCTTTCATCCCAAAGCTTTGGTAAGTATGTCCGCAAGTTAATCAGCAGTAGGGATGTGAGATGTGACGATCGTTCCGCCGACAATGTGATCTCGGATGAAATGACATTGTGATTCGATGTGTTTCATTCGTTCGTGAAAAACGGGATTTGTGCTGAGGTAGATTGCTGATTGATTGTCGCATCGGATGGTCATTGGCCGTTGATGAGTGATGCCAAAATCAAGGAGCAATGTCTTATCCAATTTAGCTCACATAGCACTTCCGTCATTGCACGATATTCAGCTTTGGTTGATAACAAGGAAACATTATCTTGTTTGCTTTTCTTCCAAGAAACGATCGAGGTACCCAATTGAACGATCCAACCGGTCACTGACCGTCAAGTGAGAGGACAGCCGGCATGATCAAAATCACACCAACCAGTCACATGAAGAGAAGAGGTTGCACGTAATAAAATACCTTGGCCGAGAGTACCTTTGAGATAACGAACAACATGCAATGCGGCCTCCCAATGTTCTTTGCGTGGCTGCTTCATGAACTATGTCAGCATATGGATTGAATAAGCCAATCCAGGACGTGTTGCACTAAGATAAACAAGACGTCCGACGAGTCGTCAATAAGTTTTTGGTTCTGCTCGATAGGAAAGCTTGCAGGTTTACAACCAAGCATTCTAACTTCGGTCACTATATCTGTGCAGTACTTGTGTTGACAGATGTAGATGCCATCGGGACAACGAGCTACCTCAATACCCAAGAAATACTTCAATAGACCACGATCCTTCATATGAAAACCTGTTAAAAGATAAGACTTGAAATCAGCAATGGCGGACGGAAAATTTCCAGAGATAACGAGGTCGTCGACATAGACTTAAACCCGCAGTATATTGCCATCCTTCTTAGAAACAAGGAAAGAATAATCGGGACGTGATTGAGTAAAACCAAACACCTTTAACGCCATCGTTAGTTTTGCAAACCAGCACCGTGGTGCTTGTTTTAAACAGTAGAGAGATTTGCGGAGGCGACAAACTCTCTTGTCCGAGTCGGAGCGAAAACCGGGAAGAAGCTTCATGTAGACTTCCTCGTCCAAATCGCCGTGTCAGAATGCGTTGTGGACATCCATCTGATGTTCCTCATAATTTTGTTTCGCTGCAATATCGATAAAGCTTCGAACCGTAGTCATCTTGGCAACGGGAGCAAATGTTTTGCCATAATAAACTCCCTCGATTTGATTATTTCCAAGAACAACGAGTTGTGCCTTATATCGTTCAAGAGAGCCATCATATTTGAGTTAAAGCGATAAACCCACTTGCATCGGAGAGCAACTTTTTTGTGAGGTAAGTCGACCTAATTCCATGTCCGGCTCAACTCCAATGCATCAATCTCTGACCGCATAACATTGTTCCATACTTTCTCTTTCATGGTGTCTTTAAATAATTGTTGTTCAACCAGAAGAGAAAGAGCCGCCACGTAGCTGCAATGTGTTTCGGAAAAGTGTTCAAAAGTATGATAATTAGAGATGGGATATGCCGTACCTGAGGACTAGGATTGAGGGGCCATGAGAAGAGTGAGAGAGACTTTATTAACGAGAACTGTATTAACTATGTATTCGGTGAGTCGAGTCGATGGTTGCTTGGAACGCAAGCCTCGTCATAGCTGTTATGTCGGTAACATGGACGGGACGTCAGGAGCAAGCTCTTCATTGCTATCAGAATCAGACGTCGTGTCGTGGTCAGAGTCAGTCGAGGTCGGCAAGATAGGAGATTTCAGAGTGGGTGGTGCATTGTATTTCTTCGTCAGCAATAGTCGTTACCGGTGGAGTAAGAGCCGTCGAAGGAGGGTCGATTGTGGAGGGAGAAATGTCAAGATATGGAAAAATGTTCTCTTGAAACAGAACATCTCGTGGCATTAAGACAGTCTCCTTCTCAAGATGATATAAGCGCCAGCCCTTCTTACCAAAAGGATATCCGAGGAAAACACAACAACGGCTTCGAGAAGCAAATTTATCACCATGATAATCGAGATTGTGAGCATAGAAGAGAGCCAAATACACGAATCTGATCATAGTTTGGGGGTCGTTCATAAATAATTTCATACGGTGTCTTATCGTTAAACAGCTTGGTCGGAGTTCGATTGATCAGATGACAAGCCGTGAGGGCACACTAGGCCCAAAACTCGATCAGAAGGCCGGCTTGAAAGTGAAGAGCGCGAGCCACATTCAGAATATATCGATGTTTTTGTTCAACTCGTCCATTCTGTTGAGGGGTCTTGACATAAGAGGTCTCATAAATAATGCCTCGTGCTCGAAAATAAGTAGAAAGACAGATGAATTCGGTTCCATTGTCACTTCTAAGTATTTTGATATCTTTGCCAAACAGTTTTTGACAAGAGCAACAAAATCGCGAAATCGATTGAAGACATTGACTTTGTTCGGAAGGAGGTAAAGCCAAACGGCTCGAGAATAGTCATCGACGATAGTTAGAAAATAACGTGAACCACAAAGCGCCGAAGTACGATATGGTCCCCAAAGATCACAATGAATCAATTTAAAAGACGTGGTCGCTTTATTATAACTATCAGGAAAAAAGAGTTTTGTGTTTGCTTGGACCGTAATCAAACATCACAATCAGAAAAACACGATCATGAAGAACTAGACTTATAACGAACACCATGGAGCAATCCTACGACTCGAGAAGACGGATGACCCAGACGGCGATGCCACAAAGCACCCTCATCGCCAACACTTGTCTAGAAAGCAACAACAGTCTCTAAACCTCGGAAGTAATACAGTCCCTCACTCTCACGGTCACCCGCTCCAATTAGCGTCCTCGTGGTGCGGTTCTGTAAAACGATCAGTAACTTGTCCAACAAGCGAGTGGTCGGACATAAGCTGTCCAAAAGAAATCAGATTCATGTGAAAACCCTTCACATAATACACATTCTTTAACTCAATAAGATATGTCAATCGAATCGTTCCATGTTGATTAGACAGAACATTAGCCCCTGCTGGTAACTTAACCGAGACAGGAGATACCGAGTTTAAATTGTTGAGAAGATCTAAACGACCAGTCATGTGATGAGTATCCCATGTATCCAAGATACAAATAGGGTCAGCTTTCTTACCACTAAGACGTGTAGGAGCGAAGTGGTATTGCTAGGGTTGAGTAGTTTCACCACCACTGTGTATCAGAGAAACGAATCAATCCTTGTCGATCAGCTTCGGTAAGCGCCACGTTAGCGCCGATTTCCATTGAAGTACCAACAACTTGTGTAGAGTTGGCTCTTGCTCCGGAGTTTCTTACGCCAGAATTCATGTTTTCATGTCCTCCTTTGACATTGATTCTGTTTCGAGGTTGCTCTCCCCACCATTTAAGGAAACCTATGACACGGAAACAAGAGTTTCCCGTATGTCCTTTCCTGCCGCAACTGGTGCATGTCGTATTAGCGTCAGGGTTGAAGGAGTGTGGTCGTTGAGCACCGTTGTTGTTTCGAGTTTTTGGTGATGAAGTTTGTGCAGCAAACGTCATCACCGGTGTGTTTTCAACTCGTGTAATGAGACGTACCATTTCGTTCTGCACTATGGTTTGGTAAACCGTATCGAGGTCGAGTAACGGGATTTGAGCGCAAATTTGAGATCGAACTGATCCATGGATGCCATCGTCAAGACCGAAGAGGAAATCATGCACACAGATAGTATCACATTCGATTTCGTGGGCTGTCTCCAGTTTGCATTGACACTTTTCACAGCTGAATGACTTGGTAGTTAAGCATTCAGCCATAGAATCCCAAAGTTTGGTCAATCGTCCGAAGTAATCTTCACTTGTGGATCCCATCTGACGATAGTTTGCTAGAGATCCACGGAGTTGTTGAAAACGAGCGCCGCTCTTGAGTGCAAAGCGCTTCTTGATGTGATCTCAAAGATCCTTAGCTATTTCCTTGTGTGAGATGTTGGAACGTAGCTTAGGTTCGATGGTCAACTTGATCCATGTGACCCGTGACCAACAAGTGATTGTTGGCCTGCCATTTTTCAAGGTCGAGAGAGTTCACAATTTTCGGGATGCTTCCATCGACGAAAACAAACTTCTTTCGAGCGCTCAAAGCTGCACGTAGGTTTTGAGCCCATTCATCGTAGTTTCGTCCATTGAGTAGTGGTTGAGAGATCAACCAATGCTCCAGGATTATTGTCGTTCGTCAGGTCATATGAAGAAATCGTCTTTCTGGTCGGCTTCAAAGGAGAGTTCAGAAACACAGGAAGGTTCAGGAGCATAGGAATATTCGCAGCAATATTCGCCATAGTGTCGTCACCGTCGAGAGCCATCGTTTTGCGTGTTCAGAAAAAGAGATCGAGAAGCTCTTAGAAGAGAAAAGCTTTCGAGAAGGTCAATAATTCGTAGGAAAGAAAGCAAGAGATCAAAGAAAACAATTCAAAGTTTCGGTTTTTAGGGTTTGTGGCTCTAATACCATGAAAAATCAATAACACGAGTACAGAAGTTGTTCTTCTTATTGATCTTAGATCTAAAGTTCTTGTATATATGTATACATATGTCCATTAATGATAAAGGTAAATCTAAGGTGAATCTAATGTAATCTAGAAATATGTCTAATTACATATAAATGAATCTATTGTAATCTAGAAATACGTTTTACCACATTTGTTCTCAATATAATTGCAATTTCATTTTGTGTTTTTAATTTAGAATACAACCTCTTTACGCAGGCCCATTTATTGTAAAAGGGATTTTAATTTTTTTGGGAATAAAGATTTAAATTTCAAATAATAAATAAGGTCACTTTAATTCAATGTTTTTAAAACCGGACCGGATGTCGAACCGGAAAGATCTTCGGGTCATGGGTCAATGCGGTCCAACCGGTTCAACCGGGTTTTAATATAAATTTTATTATATATATATATGGCAATTAGTATTTACGTGTATATTAACAATTAATGTGATTTGCTTACTTTCAATAAAAATGAATAAAAAATATTATATGTCATAAAACCCTACCCCTTTTCCTTTCCAAACAGCCCCCATCTACCTCTTCTTCTTCTTCCTTACTCCTTTCTCTTTCTTCAAGTTTCTGTCAAAAATTTCTTCTAACTTTATATTTTTTCTTAGATCTTTCAGTTATTGTTTTCTTTCTTAATATCATATGAAAACTGATAAGAGAAAATCAACACTAAAAAATACTTTAAGTATGAAAAGACATAGTTTTGACTTTTGATCTACATGAATCGGTGTGATGAAGCTTAGAATGGACAAAAATGATGTGCATGATAACAAAACCGGGTTTACTGATTACTCAAAACCGGCCGGTTTCCGAGTTTTTGCCGGTTTTTTACCGGTTTTTATGGGTCAATTGCAAATACGGTTTTTCCTTAAAACCAAACTGGGATAGGCACCGGTTCCCGGTTAAACCGGTCGGACCGGCCGGTCCGGTCTGATTTTTTAATCCATGCTTTAATTACATTCTTGAAGGTCATATTATAGATATAGAAAAATGAGTCTTTATTCCCTTTAAAATTGAACAGAATCCTCATCAAAAAGCTTAATTGTGCAATCTTCTTCAGCAATAAAAACCAATAATACCACGGTAGTAAAATTTAAAAATCAATTTGCTGCACACCTTTTAAATGAAACAAGTTTTGCTGCCCACAGTTACTATATATATTTTGGGGAACTAGCGTGCCTTGGGGTTCACCTCAGTGCCAAAGTTCATGCTCACTTCATTAGAACTCTTTGCATCTATGCCCAGATTCCCTCTTCTCCTTGAGTTCTCATATGTAAGACAATCTTTTAGGTCATTTACCACTTGAGACATGCTTGGTCTTCTTGCAGAAGAAGCCCTAACACAAGACATAGCTAATTCAAGAGCCTTCCAGATTGAATCGCTGTCATAATCTTGTTGGAGGTTTGGATCTATTATATTTTTAATATCTCCTTTCTGAAGGATAAGCCCAACCCATTCTGCTATGTGAGTCTTTTCACGGGCATGATCTATTATAGGACGGTTTGATATGATCTCCAATAGTACAATTCCAAAACTATAGACGTCACTCTTTTCAGTCAGCCAATTGGTTTGATAATACCTACAAAACAAGACATGGGACATAATCATATTTATTGACATTAACTGATAGCTTGGCTTGGAAATGCTCGTCCAACAGAATGTTTGAACTTTTGACATCTCTGTGAACCATTGCCGGTGTACATCCTGTGTGTAAATACTCTAGTCCTACATTTTAAATTAATTTATTTGAATAGTTTATAGCAAAATATGAATAAATTAATACGCTGAAGGAAAATGTTACATGGTCTAATGTACTGTTCCGATTCATAATATGAGGCAAATGTAAAATATGATTAGGAGTAGTTAAGGATGAACCTTGTGCGGCATCCACAGTTATTATTAGTCTAGTTTTCCAGCTCATGACAGAGCCACCCCATTTCCCTGAAAGGTTTTCAACATAGGAAAAGTAAAACATACAGTATATGATTTTTGTTCCCAAAAAAATAAAAAAACTATTTAATAGTTATCGCAAATTTCTTTATACATGATGTTAATTTTGAAGGAGGTACCTGACAAATGTTGTTTTAGGTCTCCATTAGGCATGTACTCATAGATGAGACCTAAGTGCTCTCCTTCGTCACAATATCCAACAAGGTTTACCAAATTTATATGGTGAACTCTCAGAAGAAGTTCAACCTAACCCAACGATTCATCAGTTTTTTAATTGTCTCATAAAGATAAACTATATATTTATATATTAAACTATATATTTATATACTCATTATGGGGCAAGTACCTCTGCCTTAAATTCCTTGTAGCCTTGAGCTGATGACTGAGATAGCAACTTAACAGCCACTTGTTCGGCACCATTTAAAAGACCATGATAAACGACTCCAAATCCTCCTTTGCCAAGAACCCTTTGAAGTTTATTTGTCATCGCCATAACCTCAGCATATGTAAACCTTCTGTTTTTCGTTAGGAATGATGGTTCCGATTGATTAGGGTCAACATCCTCTACAGACACACTTTGTTTAGATTGTTTACCTGAATAATTAAAAGTTTGGTTATTTAACTAAACCCTTAAATTTTAACTTTTATAAGTGAGTAATGCTTGAAACTGACCTGAAGACACCTTCTTCTTCCGGATCAAGAAAATGAGAAGCAAGATTACTATGATAACAACGACAGAAGTTACTGATGCAACAACCGGTATTAGGAATTTGTTTTTTTCCTTTTTAATGCACGAACTAACTACGCAAAGCTTTGGGTTTCCGTCAGTGCTACACACACAAAAAATGCGGTGATGAAGATGTCAGTCGCTTAAAAAACTTTCCATTAATTCTTCAAAACGAGATGTACTTGATAAAAGCTTACTCTAACAAAAGTCCTTCCTTTATCCTATCGAGAAGGGCTTGAGGAACTGAACCACTTAAATTGTTTCTGCTTAAGTTACTGTTAGAGAAGCAAAATAGAAAGAAAAAAAAAGTTATATATATTATATATACATCCACTGAAAAACATAAGTGAAATATGTTCATTTATATATCTAAACAACATACATGAACAACAGTGATTTCATCTTGGCAAGATATGTAGGCACTCCTCCGGTCAATCTGTTGTTAGATAAGTCCCTGAAATTTGTACGAGTTAATTCAAAATACTATCCAAATGTTTCTATGACATAAAAATTGTTCTATATTAAATAAACCAAGAGTGGAGATACTCACAGTTTTCGAAGCTGCGTCAGATTTTGTATACTTGGCACTATGCTCCCGATTAATCCATTTGATGACAAGTTCCTAATTAGATGATCATAAACTCATTCAAAATGTTAGATATTCACTTAGACACACAATTTTCAAATCTTACAAGGACGTGACTCTTGGCGCCAGACTACTGTATTCGCATGTTAGATTTTCCCATGACAGGTCTAAAGGCACACACGGATCACCTTGCCAACTGATTTTAGTTAGCCTATAAGTATCTTTGATATTCTTGATTACGGCAACTGACATAGAAATTTGATGACTGTTATGACTAGAATATGAAAGAGTAGACTTTAGTTAAACGTTTTGTAAAAACTAAGAAGTGAAATTTTGGGGAGATATATACCATCACTTGCGTTTGTTTCCGCATGTGGGAACTCAATGATACTGTAACCCTCCATAGCGTTAATCAGAGGTGGGAGAGTTGATTTCTTAGTTCTTTCAAGCCGCAATCTGCATTTCCCATCGGGACATTGTACTGATGAAAATGTTAGAGTACGTTGCTCTAACTTGAGAGGACTGAAAGCTGTATAGCTTGAGTTTTCGTTGAGGTAAATGTCAAATTCCCTGGTTTCGTTGGCTCCTAAAGCTTGAATCTCAGCGAAGTGAAGGTACAAATAAAATGCAGCAGTTGGGGGTAGGGGTTTCGTCTCCCAATTAATTATTAATGGCCAACTATCATTTCTAGGGGATGCCGCTGTCCTGAGAGCAGGTTTTGGTGTTTCGTAGATTCCCGGATTGCTTATATGGAGTGTGGTGTTTAAAATGCTAGAAAAGCCTGAATAGGCATACTAAGTACGATCATGTACATCATCAGGGTACCTGGAAAATCGTGTATTAAGCCCATTTGTAAAGTTAAAGAACAAAAAAAGGGTTGTATCTAGTTACAAGGTTATTTGAACAAAAAACAAAAAAAAAAAAAAAAAAAAAAAAAAAAAAAAAAAAAAAATCTAGTTACAAAGGTTTGTTTTTGGGGAAATTATCCCAAATGGTTTATTTTTAAGTTTCTGTTCCAAACGTAGTCTCATAAGTCTTTTTCTTTTTCCAATAATAACATAAATTCAACATTAATAATGATTAAAAATTCATTTCTAAACCCTAAAATTTTTTTAGAAAATGGATTTAAACATAGTGTTTAATTTTTAGGGGTGATTAAGTTAGGGTAAAAAAATGTTTCACAGTATAATAATGTGTGCTATTTTTGAAAATTTTAAATTTAATATGCTAAATTTGGAACAAAAACTACTTGATCGTTTATGTACTTTAGGATAATTTGTCTTTTTTTTTTGCCTTTTAAGTATTTAAGTTAAGAACTAACCGGACCTTTTTCTTTTTTTTTCCTTGAATCAAGTATACTTAAAAGATATGTTAGAATAGAAACTGATAGCAAGTACATGTTTATGAAATTTCATATCAAAATCAATTAGCAATGTGTGGAGTAATCTATGGGTTTTCAGAATTAGTTTTATCGGCTCTTTTATCTCAACGTTTAGTTTATAGTAAAAGCAATTTCAAAACCCTTGAAGGTGAAGAGATTGTCGTAAAAGATATGCCTACAATAAGTCCAAAGTAGCTCTCATGGAATGTCTCAAGACGGAGTGTGAGAGGAATCGAGTTACCTTATATAGTTATTTGAAGCATTAAAATAAATCCGGAAAGAGCTAGTCAGCGAACCAAGACGAGGGACATATGTATCATTTCTCAGTGGTCGTATTTCTATGGTTGATATCAATGGCACTGTATTTCCTGTCTTAACAAGGCAAAGCTCCAAAGAATTTGATCGTGGAATGAAGATGACTTCTAACCTTGAACCGTTTATGTTTTCTTCCAAGTCTACAGTCTGCCACTTATTAGGACCAAGGTAGAGATCGAAATTTGGATAGGTGTTATTACCATCATAGTTACCGTACAAGAAGTTGGCTCCGATGAGGTAAGTTGTGCCGCTCGTCACATTTAGACCATAACAGTTCCGTTGTCCTTCTGGAAAGTATCTCAGAGTCAAATATGGTTCTATGTCAATTTTGTCGAAAGCTTTGTCGACTCTACCACTCTTTCCCGTCTGGATGAGAGATGAATCCGATGTGAATACTAATCCACTAACGGGATCAGTATAAGGAGATACATCAATGGGCATGCCACAAGCCAAACTTATGAATCCTGGTCAAACATAAAACCGAACAATGGAGAAAATAACTAAGAAGCATACAATCTCTATTGATATAAAGTTGTTTTCAAGACAATTACCATCCTGGTTCTGCGGTTGAACAAAGGTGTATGATGGAGAAGATCTCAATCATGGCCAACAAAACAAGGCTCCTCATTTTCTTTCACTTTCTAGTTTATTTGGGAAATCAAGAACATACTCAAGAGTAATGCTTCTTTTGAAGGTTTGGCATAAGATTTCCTGAATATCATATAGAAATGTCAACGCTACCAAAATGAAAGAATTAGTAAATGGGAAAATTTTAAGACTCGGCGATGTCACGATAGCCTCGGCAGTCCTCCCTGCCAGCTTGTAGAAATAATTTATTGGTTTTCTTAAACAAGATTGATATCCCATTATCAATGTATATAGAACTCAGCAATCAAATATCCAAACATATTTGGCGCAATGTTATGTTATAGGAGAGTTACTCACACAAGCTGGATTTATTTTATAATTAATTACACCTCTAGGGAATTTTTGGAGCCGCTGAAGATGGGAGAATATTTCACCACATGCCTGTACTATCTTCTAACTTGCAACTCTTTCCAAACGCCGTTGTTTATCAAAAAAGAACATTATTTGTTCTTTTCATGAATGTTCTTGCCGCCTCCATTTACAACGGCCGAGCTGGAAAAATATTTGGTTTCAGAAATCTTTGTATGTGAGATTGAAAATGGACGGTCTTCACCGACTAACACTGGCGCTGCTGATTGTGACTTTTTCCGGTTTACATATTGTTCAAGCTCAAGATCAATCAGGTATGTGTGTGTATTCTAATGGTTATTAGTTATAATTAGGCATTCCTATTAATCTCATGTTTTTCATTTTGATACATGCATTAACATTTAGAAAAAAAAAAAAAAAAAAAAAATCCTTAGGCTTGTCGGTCGAAGATGTAAGTTCTTGAGGACAAAATTTGTTCATTCACAGATATTTATTTTATGTCTTTCAAAGGATTCATCAGTTTGGACTGCGGGCTACCTCCTAACGAGTCTCCATATGATGAACCGTCAACTGGATTAACATTCTCATCTGACCATGACTATATCCAAAGTGGAAAAGGTGGTCGAATCGGTAAAGAATGGGAGTACAATTATAAGCAGTGTAACATGTTGAGATTTTTTCCAGATGGAATACGAAATTGTTATAATCTGACTGTCAAGGAAGGCACCAATTATCTAGTTAGGACTGGATTCGCATATGGAAATTATGATGGCCTTAATATATATCCCAGGTTCAATATATACGTCGGGCCTAATTTATGGACGATGGTGTATGCGGCCCGCCAAAGAGAGTTTGAGATCATCCACATGGCAAGGTCAAACTCCTTGGATATTTGCCTTGTCAAGACAGGAACAACAACACCGATTATATCGATATTGGAACTACGGCCTTTAAGAAATGATTCTTATTCCACACGAACAGGCTCCTTGCAACTCGTTCAACGGCAATTCAAAAAGAGTCGTGACTTACGGTATGTTAATAATTTTCTTATATAGTGGAGTTAAGTATTCAACACTTTTACCTTGGATTGGAGTTAAGTTTTAAAGACGATCACTATTGTGCCAGGTATCCTCCTGATGCCTACGATCGTCAATGGAAATCATATTTAGAGTATGGTGAAATAGAAATAAACACAACATTGACTGTGGATGTATCTAATCCATTTGGTTTACCAGATCTTATAGCTATGTCGGCTGCCATTCCGGAAAATGCCAGTAATGGATTGACCTTTACTTGGTCTCCTGAGAAACCCAGCGACAAACATCTTGTCTACCTTCACTTTGCCGAGATTCAAGACTTGCAAGCCAATGATACTAGAGAATTTGACATCTTATCGGAAGAAGTCATTACCTATCCAGCATATAGTCCAAAGAAGCTACAAGTTGATACCTTAGTCAACACATCACCCAAGAAATGTAGAGATTACCCGTGCGTATGGAAGCTGGTTAGAACTCCGAGGTCAACCCTTCCACCACTGTTTAATGCTGTAGAGGTTTACAAGGTGGTGGAGTTTCCATATTCAGAAACATATTCATCTGATGGTACGTCAACTTTGTTTGTTTTATTCATACTCTGTATAGTGATATAAATAGCATGTTTTTTTCAGGGTTTTTAATTGAGTTGAGATTTGCTTTGGGATTAAAAAATATTGTAGGTTCTAGTTGGAACTCAGGGTATAAACTTGAGATTACTTTTTACGGGCCAATTAATTTATTTTGTATTGATTTTTAGATGGAAGTTCATGAATTCTTAAACTGTCCATCGCCTTTTGCCAAACTTTTATTTTCCCAACTTGCATAAAAGTTGGCCGTTTGACCCATTCATGTGCCAGTTGCTGCTATGAAAAATATCCAAGCCGCTTATGGATTGAGCATAATCAGCTGGCAAGGAGATCCTTGCGTCCCCGAACTGTTGAAATGGAAAGGTGTAGAGTGCAGCTATACAGATAAGTCTATTCCACCAAGAATCATTGCTTTGTAAGATCACTGACTTAACAAAAAAAAAAAAAAACGTTTTACAGCCCAAACTACTGTATATGAAAATATTATGGTCTGTCATTTATGTAGAGACTTACCATCAAGAGGGATAAGTGGGATCATAGCACCTGACTTGCAAAACTTCACAGAGCTACAAAGATTGTGAGTGTCTCCTTCCTTTAGTAATATCTGGGTACCAGCTTTCTTTGATCTTAATTGTCATGATTTTGTGCAATACAATTAATGAAATTAAAAGAAAATTAAGAAGGAATTGAGATAGTTAGTAAAAAGAAGAAGATATGGAAAACAAACTTTTATTGCATTCGTCTCAGGTACAGTTACGTTTTGAATAGATAACGTCATTGGGTAAAAAAGTGACAGTGAATATGGCGTTTTATATCTTCGCTTACAAATTTTTGTTGATTAAATTGTCATAATTTCGTTTACATGCCCTTTGGCCTTTTATATATTATCAATTTATCAGTAGATTATGTTTCTGTTGTGTATAAACGGGGTTTATTTTTAGATTTTTGAAACAATAACTAACAAGACATATATGACGATTTGGTAAGTCTTGTTGGATATTGTTTTGAAGGAGACCATCTGGCCCTAGTCTATGATTATACAGCCAATGGAGACTTAAAACAACATTTGTCAGGTAAATCATAATAGTTCATTATTGGGTAGCTATGATCACTGATCATACATATATATATATATATATATATATATATATATATGCCATATTTTGATGGTACATATGTTGATTTAGAAGGTATGATGTTAATTGTGCCATGGTAAAGTATAGGAGAATACGGTGCCTCTACATTGAACTGGGGAAGTAGATTAAACATTGCAGCAGACATTGCACAAGGTTTTTAAGTTTGGAATGTCTAATCCCTTTTTCTTGCGTGTGTTCTTTATAACCTAAACCGATTTATTTCCCTTCCAAGCTCTTAAAGGTATTTCAAACTGATCATAATGGTTTTCGTGTGCACAGGACTAGAGTACTTACATAGTGGATGTAGGCCGCCACTGGTTCATAGAGATGTCAAAACCACAAACATAATTATCGACGAGCACTTCCATGCAAAACTTGTTGATTTTGGGCTTTCAAGATCATTCCAAACTGAAGGTGAAACTCATATATCAACAATTCTTGCTGGCACTCCCGGATACCTTGATCCAGAGTAAGCTTTATGTTCACATCTTGTAAATAATCAAAAGAGTATTCCTTCTTCACTTAAGACATTTCATTTCTTCTTCTTTTTTCAGATATAACCGAACAAATTGGTTAACCGAGAAAAGCGATGTCTATAGCTTCGGGATTGTGTTATTGGAAATTATTACAAACCAACCTGTGATAGATCAAAAGCGTGAAAACCCTCACATAGCTGAATGGATGGGTTTTATGCTTACCAAGGGAGGTATTGAAAATATTGTGGATCCAAGTCTTGTTGGAGATTATGACTCTCGTTCAATGTGGAAGGTTCTTGAACTTGCGATGTCATGTGTGAATCCTTCTTCAATTGGAAGACCCAACATGTCCCACATTGTTCATCAATTAAAAGAGTGTCTCGTTTATGAGAATTCGAAGAAAGGAGCTAGTACAGAAGTGGAATCAAAGAGTTCTTTTGAACAGAGCATGGATTTCGCAGCAGAAACCTGATACACTCGTGTTTATACCTATTTCTACTATGGTTTTCTAATAGTTACGAAGTCTATAAAGAGTTGATTAATTGGGATTAAAACTTAAGTTTCTGAATGTAAAAGTTGCACTGCCACTCTGTTTAAGACAGAGATCACCTGTCTTATCTTTCATTTTGATATATTTTTTGACAACAAAGAAAATAATTCGTCTTATGAAAACTTAGGAACTAAATTATCTCTTTCTCTCTAACTGTCAACTGCCAAAAGAACATGAGTGACCGAAACACATTCACGTTTTAAGTGCAGAGATGCCAAATTTCTAAAATCTTACTTGCTTCTAGTTCTTTTTTTGTCTCTCAATAATTTATGTCCGTTGTGAAAAACTGATAGATCCTAATCTGAGTTCACTTATCATATGAGTTCACTTATTCCTAGTATCAAATTATGATTTTTTCATATGCAAACACTGTTAATGCTCTGTCACAGATATTGAAACCCTTTGAAAACTTAAGAACTAATATTCAGTGTCCTTTAGCATTGCTCTTTGGACTCTCTATCTCATTTGAATAAAAATAAAATGTTTCTATAAAGAGTAGATTCAAAGTTAATAGAAGTTTACTTTCTCTACTCTTCTTTATGGTTATAATAAAACATCTCTGTTACATTTTCATGCTTATGTTTCTTTCAACCTCAATCAAACATAAGATTACATTTAATTAAAATAACCCATAGAGGAATAAAGGTTGTAAGCACGTCGTCGTCATGGAGACCAATTATCCTGGTTGTTTCTGTTCTGTCAACAACTTTTTATAATCAAATAGTCAAAAGTCAACGATCAACCTTAATCTTGACTTGAAAATGAACAAGGAACTAAAGAGATAGGAGAAAACTGTTTGCTTCTTTGTCTGAAAACTCCACACACACAAAAAATGGAGATTCTTCAAGGACGTTTGCTAGCTTTGTTCATTGTGGCATTTGCCACTACTACTACATATCTAATTCAAGCTCAATCTGACCCAAAAGGTACACTCTTTTAATACAATTTGCACTTAAAAACTCTTAAAATTTTACATTCTCTTTGTTAGTTTTAATATATTCCACATCGATCTATATTTATGCCTTCTCTTACTAGAATTCATCAGCTTGGATTGCGGTTTACACCACGCGGTATCTCCTTATACCGAACCATTAACCGGATTAACATACACATCCGACGCCAACTTCACTCAAGGTGGTCAAAGTGGTCGTGTCCAAAAGGTTTGGGAAGAAGCCTATAAGCCATTCACAGTTCTAAGATATTTTCCAGACGGAGTACGAAACTGCTACAACCTAAAAGTCACTTTAGGCACTAAATATCTTGTCAAGGCTCTCTTCCTCTACGGGAACTACGACGGTCTTAACGATGGCCCTAAATTCGATATTTATCTAGGTCCTAACATATGGACAACGATCGATCTAAAAACCTCTATAGTTTCTCGAACGGAAGAGATCATACACATGACAACGTCAAGCTCTTTGCAGATTTGTCTTGTTAAAACAGGAAAGACCACACCAATAATTTCAGCCTTGGAGCTAAGACCCTTGAGAGATGACACTTACAACACTACGAATGGTTCTTTGAAGCTCTTAAAACGCTACTATGCTAGCGATTTTCTCGGTCCCTTAATAAGGTAACTTTAGATTTCTTGCTACACAAGCAACATAGTTTTTTTGTTGTAAAAGGTTAGAAATGTTTTGTTTATTTGGTCTAGGTATCCATCAGATGTATATGATCGTGAATCGAAGCCAATAAGTCTATCTTTTGGGTTGAATTTTGTAAACACAAGTCTCAATGTAAACACTTCTACACCTTATTCTTCGTTTGTTCTATGCTCGACCACCATAGAAGGCTCTTTCTTGCTATTGTCATTGACGACAATTGACAAACAATATATATATTGTGAACAAAAGACTTATTCTTCGGTTGCTCATGTATTTGAAACTTTCTCTTCAGTTCTCAAAAATAGGCTGCACTTGTTATAAAAACAATTTTTTTGGTTTGAAATTTTTTACACATTCAATTGAATTAAAAAGAAAAATTACAACAAGTTCATTAATTTCAAATATTGCAACATGCATAACTGGTAAATTGGTAGTAGAACACTTAAAGGTGCATTCATTTGGCAAACACTAACGTACTTTAGGGATCATCCTCTCATTGTCAATCAATATCCATGTCGAATTTCATATACAACTCACTGAGTCCATTTGTCGACTCTCTCCTGTCCTCGAAGTTTCAGATATAAGACACTCTTTTAGATCATGAACAACTCGAGACATGTTTGGTCTACTTGCGGAAATATGACTCACACATGACATCGCTAATTCGATAGCCTTCCAGACAGAGCCAATGTCATAATTTCGGTGGAGGTTTGGATCCACAATATTTTCAATATCGCACTTTCTTATCATAAATTCCACCCATTCCACTATGTGAGGCTTTTCACGGGATTGCTCGATTATAGGACGGTTTGTGATGATCTCCAACAGTACTATTCCGAAACTATATATGTCACTTTTCTCTGTCAACCAATTTGTTTGATAATACCTAAAAAACAAGACACGAAAGATGGTTTCTAGCTCTTGACTATCAAAAGGGATGGTACTAATGTATTGACACATATTATAAAAAGTAAAAATACTCACTCGGGATCAAGATAGCCTGGAGTGCCGGCAACAACTGTTGATACATACGTTTCACTTCCAGTAGAAAAAGATCTCGAGAGCCCAAAATCCGCTAGTTTCGCTTGGTAATGTTCGTCCAAAAGTATGTTTGTACATTTTATGTCTCTGTGAACCATTGCTGGTTTGCAGCCAATGTGCAAATACTCCAATCCTATGAAATAGATTTAATGTCAGTAATTTTTTTGTTCTCCCTCCATTTCATAATAAATGTCATTTTAGAAGATTTTTTAAATCCATAGAGGATTATTTGATTCTAACAGTGCAAGTATAGGCGAGCTGCCGGACAGTTCATTCTCATCCAATTACTAATTCATTTGAAACAACTAATACCACCGAAAACCACAATATATGCGTACGTACCTAATGCGACATTCGCAGCTATTTTTAGTCTAGTTTCCCAGCTCAAGACGAATCCACCTCGGTTTCCTGTATCAAATCATAACCAACTTTAAGGTTTCTCAAAATGTCATCTTTGTTTCAAACAAAATTTTAGACAAACAAAATATTAACATTACATTTTTCAGGTTGTTTTTACCTGAAATATGTTGCTTTAAGTCTCCATTTGACATGTACTCGTAGATGAGAGCCAAGTGGTCTCCTTCATCACAATACCCAACAAGACTCACCAAATTTATGTGATGCACTCTCATAAGCAATTCCACCTAATTACCAATCATTCATCAGCTCATTACTACTCGTTTAAGAGTAAGAATAAGATATATATAAACACCAATGAATCATCGATAAAAAGAGTACCTCTGCCTTGAAATGCTTATAACCTTGGGATGATGATTGAGAGAGCAATTTAACAGCTACTTGTTGCGTTCCATTAATACAACCATGATAAACGACTCCAAAACCTCCTTCGCCCAAAACTCTTTCAAAGCTATTCGTCATTTCTTGAACCTCAGTATAAGTAAACCTCATCTTTTTCGATAGAAATGATGGTTCTGACTGTTTAGGAAGCCCAATATCTACATAGTGAATTGTTATGGTTTTTGTTTTTTTGTTTTTTTTTTGTCAATAACATGGATTTCACCAGTATTGAATCTAGATGGTAACAAAATGACTTAGTAGTACAAACATCTACTGATTTAAATTTTTGGTTTTGCAAATTTATCTACTGATTTAATTTTTTTTTACTAATGATCATGGCTCGAGGGACTTACTAGAAGGCACCTTCTTCTTTTTAAAAACGAAGATGAGAGCCACCACCACAACAACAACGAGCACAGACGCAGCAGATGCAATAACTGGTAGCAAGAATCCCTTTTTCTCTTTTCGGTTGCATGAACGAAATCTGCATAGGTCTGGATTTCCTTCGAGTCTACAAGGAACATGTGATATTTCAGTTGTTAAATCTGCCGAAGGCATATCTTGCCACCAATAAATCAATATATGTGGGCATCCTAATTAATATTTTTAAAAGTGGTACATTTTTGAATTGATAAATGATGTAGTGGGAAAAAAAAAAAAAAAAAAAAAAGCTTACTTTAACACAAGTCCTTCCTGTACTCTATCAAGAAGAGGCTGAGGAACTGAGCCGCTAAGATTGTTCCCACTTAAATTTCTGTTGAGGCGAGGAAACCATATATATCTATATATATGATCACAAAATCACAGTCAAAATGTTCATTTTGATTCCCAGAATACTTACATTAATGACAATGATTTAATATTGGCAAGAAAAGCAGGCACATTTCCACTGAAGCTGTTATTAGATAAGTCCCTGCGCAAACATACACGATAACGAGAGGTTGGCATACATTAGATTTATTGGTTTGATGAGTCAAGAAAAGGAAAAACTTACAGTTCTTCTATTCGCGTTAGATTCTGTAATACTGAGGGTATGCTACCAGTTAATCCGCTTGATGACAAGTTCCTAATATGCAATCAACAAAAAAAAAAAAAAAAAAAAAAGGTGTGATAACAAATCTCTGTTTATAGTATGAGAAGAAATATCCAGAAGAAACAAATTTCAAGTATACGACAAAGAAAAACAAAATGTGTACGAAATAGTGATCATACAACGAAATGATTATTGGAGGATCAGACTTATTAGTGTAGCTGCACTTTATATCTTCCCACTTTAGCTGTTCAGGGACACAAGGATCTCCTTGCCAGCTTATTATGTTTAATCCATAAGTTGTTTGGATACTCTTCATAGCAGCGACTAACACAAAAGTTGAAAAAGCCAATAATTAGTAGTTACAATGTTGAGTTTTCTAGTTAGGTACTAAGGAACAGCGATGTACCATCGTTTGAGTTTGTATCAGCATATGGAAATTCCAGAACTGTGAATGCCTCAATAGCGTTAACAAGTGGAGGTAGAGTTGACCTTTTAGTTCTTACTAGGCTAAAAAAGCAAAATGCTTCGGAGCATCTGGTTGGTAAAATGTTGTATTTGGTATCTGACTGTAACCTCTTAGGACTATAAGCTGTATGAATAATATTATTCTCCAGCATAATGTCGAACTCCCTGGTATCATTGGCACTTAAGGTTTGGACCTCAGTAAAGTGAAAGTATATAATAATTTTGTTACTAATTTCTTTAGTAACAAACATCAAAAATAATAATGGCTCAGTGACATTGTTGGGTGTAATTCCGGCCCTACTTACAACATCTGGTACTTCAAAGGGAGACGATGAATTCAAACTGAGAGTGGTGTTTACATCTATTGTGTTAGACTCAGCAGTTTGATCCCATTTGCGATCAAAAACATCATCAGGATACCTAAAACAATATAAATGTAATGAATCATGTTGCATTGTTTGTTATTGTATTTTCACACGGATTCTACTGGATTATACATATATACATACATCCTGATCCAGTTTAATGATAGATAAATTTTAAGAAATACACCTCTTGAGGTGCAAATTTTCAAAACTATACCTATAGTGTGGAAATTTTCAAAAATACATTTTTTCCTAATCTTATATATGTTTAGGTTCACTAATCATAGATTAGGGTTTAGGGTTTAGATTTAAGGGTTCAATGTTAGATTTTAGGGTTTTGGGTTTAGATTTTAGGGTTTAGAGTTCTTTTACTCAATGAAAAAAATGTAGTTTTGAAAATGGACATTATAGAGATGTATTTTTGAAAATTGGCACCTCAAGAGGTGTAGTTCTGAAATTTCTCCATAATAGTATTTTCAAAAAAATTCTTCTAAAGTTATAGATAGAGTTCTAAAAAATAAAATCTCAGTTTTAAGAAAAAGCAAGCAACATTATATTAATATTTTAGTAGATCTCTTAGTTACATCTTTATATAAATTTTCTTACAATAATTATAAATTTATGATATTAATGGAACCGTATATTTACATAGGAATTTTGTTAAACTTATTAACTTATCTAATTTTTTTATTAAATATTATTTGGTGGATTTTTCAGCAGGATTTTATAAATGAAGAAGAATAAATAGAATTACTGAAAGTCTCGAGTTAATATACCGTATAAATCCGTCAGAATTGCGCTTACAGTGATTACGGATATATAGGCTCAATGGACCGAATTGTGTCATATAAGAATCATTTCTTAATGGCCGTAGTTCCAAAGTTGATATCATTGGTATAGTTTCTCCTGTCTTGACGAGACAAATCTGCAACACGTTTGACTTTGACATGTAAATGATCTCACGATCAGTTTCATTACCGGAATTCAGATGCACCGCAGTCCACAAATTAGGCCCTACATGCAAATCAAACTCGGGAATCACATCAAGGCCATCATAATTTCCATATGAGAACCCTGCCCTTATAAGATAGTTGGTTCCCTTGTTTACTGTTAGACTGTAGCAGTTTCTAATTCCATCAGGAAAATATCTGAGATCGTTAGACTGTCTGGAGGTATAGATCTTATAATCATCCCCAATTTCGCCATGTTTACCACTTTGGATGAAATCAGCGTCAGATAAGTATATTAATCCGGTAACTGAGTCGGTATAGGGAGACTCATTGGGTGGTAAACCGCAGTCCAAACTGATGAAACCTGGAAAGACACGAAATGTATGAGTGAAGATAAAGTTTCCCTGAGGAAGACAACCACAAGTAAATTTAACTAAAATTATAGAACTAGAATGCAGATACCTTGCTGATTAGGTTGACCGTGAACAAGATGTACAATTACAAAAGCCCCAAAGCTCAACGCCAGTAAAAGTTGACGACAAACCACCATTTTCATGTTAAGACGCCAAGTTCTTGATACAGAAGAATTTGTCGTGTTAGCCTGGAAAAAAGGAACAATAGGATAGAATGTATATATTTATCGTGAATGAAAATTAAAGCTTCACGTTGACACAATACTTTGTCACACTCACATCTTACAAGTGGATGTGGAAAACTCCAAAGTAATCGGGTCATCATGTTGTCCCAACACGTCTAATGTGGTCTAACTATAAATATTAATTTATAATTATATCTAATCTAGTGGGAAAAGGTCACCCATAAATATATCCAAGCTTTATAAATGAAGGGTCCATAAACGTATATTAAATCCACAAAGTTGATCTTAAACGAAAGGCTTTCGTATAACATTAAGCACTTATATGCCAAAACACATTCATGGAGAAAATCATCTTACAGATGACGAGTCTCCTGAAACTAGATTCACATTCAACACCAGATTTGTTGGTTTCACGATCTTTCGTGGAATGTGTCAATGGAAATAATATTCTTTTGATATACATTTCTCATTTTTCCGATGTTGGGAGTAAACAATATCTTGACAGCTTTTAACTTTGATTAAAAAAAAAAAGAGAACATCAGTCCCACAACTTGAGACGTGCTGGGAGGAGTTACACGATTTGGTAATACTGGAGAGCCACACCATGTAGAGGCGTTTAAAAACGTACAGTCCCCTATATTCTTTTCATATACCAGATTGTCTTTTGTATCAATAGTTTGTATGTTAGCTTGAAAATGGAATGTCATCGCCAACTGTTATTGGCGTTGAGCGTTGTGACTTTTGCCATTATACATCTTGTTCAAGCTCAGCCTGATCAACAAGGTAAATTTTTATACATCTTTTGTTAACAATAATTTTAATTTGCTTCATTATGTTCACTTTTTTACTGTTCTCGTTCTATCTGTCAAGATCATTTATCGATTGTTTCAAGTTGTATACTTGGTAACTATAGGATTCACATGATGGCTGTAGATCTTTGAATATTATCTCCTTGTTTAACACTTTTGATTGTCTCTCTTTAGCATTATTGACGTATGCACTAATATTGAATGTATCTTGAATTTACATCAATATAGCACTAATATTTCATGTATTATCAGGATTCATCAGTTTGGACTGTGGTCTGCTTCCTAATGAATCTTCATCTACCGACTCAGTTACCGGATTAACATTCTTATCGGACGCTGCTTTCATCCAAAGTGGTAAACGCGGTATAGTTAATAATAGGGCTCTTACGACCTCTAACTATAGGCATTACAAAGATCTGAGATATTTTCCTGATGGAGTACGAAACTGCTACAGTCTGACAGTAAACAAGGGAATCAACTATCTTATAAGAGCTGGGTTCTTATATGGAAATTATGACGGCCTTGATGTGTCTCCAAAGTTTGAGCTACATGTCGGGACTAACAAGTGGATTGCAGTGGATTTGAAATTCGAAATAGATCGTGAGATCATTTACATGACAAAGTCAAACTTATTGGAGATTTGTCTTGTCAAGACGGGAACAACTATACCAATGATATCAACTTTGGAACTACGGCCACTAAGAAATGATTCTTATATGACGCAGCTAGGCCCCTTGAATCTAATATATCGGAGGACATATACAAGCGATCCATACAAGGATATACGGTATGTAAAGTCAACTTTAAACCTTTATCATTCCAAAAATAGAAAAACTTTAGATGCTGAACTGGACTCTCTTTTTTACTTATTTTTATGGATAGTATAATTCAGGTTTGTTTGCGGAATGAGCTTGGACTTTAAATGTTTTGAATTTTGTTTCATAGAAAAAAAATATCCATCGTAGTTTGCTAGATCATTACGTACATATCTGGGTTCGTAAGAAAAAACCGGATCCATCATTTTTATGGCCCTGGGATTGAGTTTATTGTTTTGTTTTTTTTATGGTCTTACGAATGATAATGTATGATTTACATGTGATATTCACCTCGCCCCATGTAGTGGCGGATCTAGGATTACATTTTACCGGGGTCAATATATTTTTTAAATAAATTATCAATATAAAATACGATAAATAAAGTGATAAAAAACAATATATGCATAAATTTTTACGAGTTTCTAATATCTCAAAATACTTATAAATTTATAATCATTATTTAACCATATAAAATTTTCAAACCAAATTTTGAAAGAAATCTTATTATATAAAGCTGGATACAACGTGGTTTGCGACACGTAGGATTTTTATAAAATATAGGATTGCGACATGTGTCACTTTTAATGTTATATCCGTTAAGATCGTGACACATATCTTCGGAAAAAAGAAATTTATATTTTAAATGGTAAATTTTAACATCTTATAATAAAAACGAAATTTTATATAATAAAATGAAAATAATGTAAAAAAATTCCTATTAGTGTATGAAATAGGTATGTAAACTAAATATCCTAAAATTGTATGGAATAGGTTATATAAACTCCTATTTAAAAAAATCCTATTAGTACATGTAATAGGTATGTAAACTAAATATCCTAAAACTGTATGAAATTGTTACATGAACCCCTATAAAAAGGAAGAAATAATTAAAAAATGTTACATCCAATAAGAAAAGGAATAAAAAAACACATTCCCATTACGAAAATGAAAAAAAAACAATATATAACAAGCTATATTTTTTAAGTTTCTTTCTCATTAAGAAATAAAATTCATGTCTTTAAAAGTTAAAGATATCAATGAAGAATACTTAACTTTAGATCGATACATGTGTCTAATATTTGATGAAGTGATGACATGTGTCAACACAAGAAAATTGGAAAAATGTAGTAACATAAATAAATAAACTAACAAAATAATATTAAAACAACTAACTAATAATGAAAATGAAAATTTATAATGGTCAGAGGCAAAAACAAAATGAAAAAGAAACAATATAAATAGAAAACTAACAAAATAACTATTAAGGAACTAAATAAGATTAAAAAAGAAAATTTTATAATGGACTGATCTTCTAATATTATATAGTTTAATTTTCCATGTTTTGATACTAAAAAATATTAAAAATAAAGATTTCATCATGGAATAATCAAAGTTTCATAAAATAATGAGTCGATTAGATTTAGACACATGTAAATCTTTCTATTTCATATCATGAATTCAAAATAAAAATGTAAAAGACTACATATCTTTATTTAGAGATTTGTTATCGGGTTTTTAATATTATTTTCTTATTTTTAAAATTGAATTTTGTTTAATATTCTTCCGTGATTTAAAAAAATAAAAAAAATAAACCCGCGTATACGCGGGGCCTAATCTAGTAACTAATATACATGAATTTCTCACCTAAAATTCAATGTAAATTGCAAATATTAACATATTAAAACGTAAATGTGATGAAATTTAACATTTAAAGAGAGATTATACAATAAATATTTTATAGTCAAAGATAGAAATTAGTTAGTTGTTTTTCTTTTCTTCCTAAAGAATAAAGAAATAATGAAATTGTATTTAGAAACAATAAGTAAGAATGGAAACGGGGTCAAACATAATTTTCTCAGGGGGTCACTTAATGAAACTTGTGGTAATTAACACACACAATACTATCGAACTATAAATAGTATTGATACTTGTTTTTTTTTTGTTTCTTTCCCTTCTTCATTCCTATCCATTTCTATAAATAGTATTATTGACGTGATACTCTTCCACACAGAAAATGCAGTAACAGACGATGTAAGATTCTTTTATATTTGCATGGCTAACCCAAATTTGATTTCAGGTATCCTGATGATGTCTATGATCGCAAATGGAAAAAATATGGCTCGGGCGAAAAAAATGTTAACACCACTCGCAATGTGACATCCTCTAATGCTTTTGCAGTGCCAAATGCGGTAAGTAAGTCAGGAATTACACCCGAAATTGCCAGCGATCCATTGGAATTTGCCCTGTCTGCAGAAGGCGATAGTGAAAAAGTAAATGTGTACTTTCATTTTGCCGAGATCGAAACCATAAAAGCAAATGATTTTAGGGAATTCGACATTTTAGTGGATGAAAAAGTTATTCTCAAAGGTTATAATCCTAAGGTTTTAGAATCGGAAACAATATACAACATAGAACCACTAAATTGCAGCTCGGCCTTTTGCTACTTGGAGCTTGTAAGAACTGAAAGATCAACTCTTCCACCACTGATAAATGCAATTGAGGGATTCAGTGTTTTGGAATTTCCAAATGCCGAAACAAATCCAAACGATGGTCTGTCATTGTTTACTCCTTTATATATCTTAATTAGGAAGCGTTAATTAATGTTGCTAATATATGCTAATTCTTTACTATCTCCTTTACGTCTGTGTTAGTCGCTGCTATGAAGAATATCCAAGAAACTTATGGATTAAAAATAGTAAGTTGGCAAGGAGATCCTTGTGTCCCTGAGCACCTAAAGTGGGAAGATATAAAGTGCAGCTACACTAATAAGTCTACTCTTCCAAGAATTATTTCCTTGTGAGTTCACTAGTCTATATCATACAACTTTTATGTTAAACCTTAAATCTCTAATGTATCTAATTATGCTTGAAATAATTATACAGAGACTTATCATCACGCGGGTTAAAAGGGGTCATAGCACCGGCCTTTCAGAATTTGACCGAACTTCAGAAACTGTAAATTAATGTTCACCTTTTTTTTGTCCCTAGTCTCTTACAATAACGATTTACCATCCACAAACGCACGAACTTAACTCTACACATGGACAGTTTATCACGGATTACTTTAGAGCGTACATTATTTTCTCTCCAATATAAATTCAGAAAAATGTGAAAATTAATATACTAGTTTTCTATACGTTAACAACAAAGTATTACAATATATTTTGCTACCGCTAATGTTTGTTTTCGCACAAGGCATGCATAAGAAAACAGAGGACTGATTATCTCGTTATTGTATTATGTATAGTAAAACGAAACTGTAGTTTCCATCCTATAAACGGGAAACGACTTTTTAACATTTTCATTTTTTTTACCTTTATAAGATTGTGTTAAAACGAGTTGTATTATTTCTCCTGTAAAACGGTAAATGACTTTTCAACATTTTACAAACGGTAGGGACTTATCAAGTAACAGTTTTACTGGAGGAGTGCCCGAATTTCTAGCCAGCATGAAGTCATTGTCGGTCATGTAAGTTGATGTAAACAAACATATTTACCACTTTTCTCACTGTATTATTGTCATGCAATTTTTTCTCGTCCTTGACAGAAATTTAAATTGGAACGATCTTACGGGTCCTCTACCTAAAATCTTTCATGATAGAGAAAAGAATGGGCTAAAGCTTACGTAAGATTTTCACTTTAATGTTTTTTCCATCAACCCTCCACCCTTTTAGTTTAATTCTCATTCAACAACATTTATGCTTCTAACTCTTAAGGGTCCAAGGAAATCCAAAGCTTTGTGATGATGCCTTATGCAAAAATAACAATCAAAAGTACGTTTTACCAGTTGTTGCATCAGCTGCGTCCGTAGTCATCATTGTAGCTGTGTTGATTGTCATTCTTGTTTTCAAAAAGAAAAAGCCAACTGAAGGTACTTAATAATAAATCGTATACTAAAGGATGCCAAATCAGTTGTTGTAACATGCATGATGACACAAAGGACGCCTAATCACATGAAGCTTTTCAATGTTGACACATGATTCTTTCTTTATCTATAGTTCAGCGCGAGTTACCAACTAGGGAGTCCATAGTTACGCAGACAAAAAGGTTCACATATTCAGAGGTGGCAACACTGACAGACAACTTTGAAAGAGTTCTTGGAGAAGGAGGTTTCGGAGTAGTGTATCATGGTTCTTTTAATGGTGCACAACCAATAGCTGTTAAACTACTCTCTCAATCATCAGTACAAGGCTATAAGGAATTTAAGGCAGAGGTATGTTGGCGTTAATACACAATATATTTAAAACATTACCAATGGATCTTCGTATAACAACATGCTTTACTTGGCTGGATGGTCAGGTTGAACTCCTTCTGAGAGTTCACCACGTAAATTTGGTAAGTTTGGTTGGATATTGTGATGAAGAAGGCCACTTGGCCCTCCTTTATGAGTATGCACCCAATGGGGATTTAAAACAGCATCTCTCAGGTACAAACTTCAATACACCACAGTTTGAAATAGGAAGCACTCAAAAATATTGATATATATCATGTGGTCACACTTCACAATATCATCACTTTAAAAAACTTCACAATATCATCACTTTAAAAAACTTCACAATATCATCACTTTAAAAAAAAAACATATAAATATTACTCTATATATATTCTCATGGCTAAAATGTTTTTCAAACTATAGGAGAACGTGGTGGCTCCCCCTTGAAGTGGTCAAGTAGAGTTAATATTGCCATCGAGACTGCACAAGGTCCGTGCAAAGTTTAGCATTCATCAATCCTTTTGCATTGATCGTCTTATAGAACAATTATAATTGCATAAATATAGGATTGGAATACTTGCATACGGGTTGCAAGCCTCCAATGGTACATCGTGATGTAAAAACAACAAATATACTATTGGATGAGCATTTCCAAGCCAAACTAGCAGATTTTGGGCTTTCAAGATCTTTTCCATCTGGAGGTGAAACTCATGTGTCAACAGCTGTTGCTGGCACTCCTGGATATCTTGATCCCGAGTAAGAGTTTACATAAACACATTAATTTAACTCCCAAGTTTTCTTCCTTTTCATTTGAAAAAAAAAAAAGAGACAATTTTTTTTCTTGTAGATATTATCGAACAAATCGGCTGAACGAGAAGAGTGATGTCTACAGCTTTGGAATTGTATTATTGGAAATGGTCACAAATCGACCTGTAATTCAGCAAAACCGGGAAAGGCAACACATAGCAGCATGGGTGGGACACATGCTTACCAAGGGAGATATTGAAAACATTGTTGATCCGAGACTCGGTAAGGATTATGAGCCTACTTCCGTCTGGAAGGCTCTTGAGATAGCAATGTCGTGTGTGAATCCTTCTTCAGAGAAAAGACCAAACATGTCTCAAGTTATTAACGAACTGAAGGACTGTTTGACATTATGCAACTCAACTCAAGTAGGGATAGGAGACATGGGCTCGAAGAGTTCCGCTGAATTCAGCACTCGCTTTTCCGCTGAAGTTTCCCCTAACGCACGGTAAATTCTGATGACAAGCCCATGATAACTAAGAAGTTATGAATTCACTATCTTTTTATTTTTTTGCAAGGATTATATCCTCGTGTGTCATTTATTGGTATGTGTGACTATATTGTGGTCCTATATGTATTACAGTTTTGTGTAAATTCTGATTTTGATTTTGATTTTACTTACTGGATCTGTGGAACGGGTACGTAACAACTTGATGCGTGATAAGTTTTTAAACCATAATTCTAACCCTAAGTGCAAGGTTATGCAAAGTAGTATTAGGGTTGAATCCACAACGAACAATACGCACCACACTTAGCAAAAACACTTTGCTAAGGCAATTTGAGAAATGAGATTTCCCACACCTAGAAATTCTAGATGCCAAAAAGGGAAACAAACTAAACAAGAAACAAACAATACGCAATAACAAAACTAAATGATGGATTAAGGTGTTGATTGGTTCACCCGCTGCTACCCGCAAACGTAGCTTTTGCGGGTAGTAGCGATTATTAGCGTTTGACAACAATCACCGCTTTGTGCCGTTTCAAACCGCTCCAGATCCCTCAAAATCAAAAGCTCATTCCCAACAACGTTTGCGGTTGCGGGTGGATAATTAAAAAAAAAAGTAAAAACAAAAATTTATTTTAAATCAGAAAATAAATAATAATCTTTATTAAAAAAATAAGATTTGTATAAATAAAAAAAATTAGTACTTTTAGTCAATATTCATTAAAATCATATCATAATTTCATATTTATAAATTCTACAAATCAAAATTCTCTTGATAAATGTTCTTTTCATACTAATACATATATATCTAATAAATAAAATTGTAATCTAAATTTAATTTTCACATTAAATATATATTTTTTAAAATAAAATCACTTTTTATCTAAATTAGAGAAATTAAAAGATAGACGTAAGTATTATACACATATTATTTTTTATAATTTTTTTATTTTTAATTATATTGAACCATAAAATTTAAAATTTTCATTATAATATGGTTTGATGTTTTTATAATTATATAATGTGTTTATATTATTAATTTATTGTATAACCGCTATTGCATCTGCAAGTCAACCAGTCATAAGTATCCCGCAAACGCATTTATTTTTAATCGTTATGCTAAACGTACAAACCGCTTAATAATGCTATTAATCACAACCATCTGCTTCCGCAAACTCTCGCACCCACAACCGTAACTGCAGCGGTTAAACGAGTCAGACCCTAAGTGAAAGAGTGATAACGCAAAATAATAAAGGAGAAACTAGATTAATGATTACGATGAGTGTGAAAAAAAATTGCTACATAAGAATAGATGTGAAAATTTTCTTCATTCAAACTTGGATCTAAATAATATACCCAATATTCAAAAGGAAAAAATATGGACTAAAACTTTGGTGTAATGTGGAAGATCTCCCAATGATTGACTAAATGACTTTTACACCAAAAGACAAAAGTTCTGAGTTTCGTTTCTGTAGTTTATGAAAGACAAAACATATGAAGAAATTTTCAAGATTGGTGCAAAAAAATTATTTATGGTGAGTCCACATATAGATAGATCTCTATCTGATAGTTAAATTATCTGTTAAAAATTGTCTTTGTAATTCTTATTTGAGACTTCATAAATTAAAACTTTGGTCTAATAACATTAAGCTAAGTATTTATAGAAAAAGGAGAAACATATTGGGTCAACCCAAAACAACCGGGTCAAACCTCAACAATTCATACCCCCAACTATTTTGAGAGAGGTGTCATTAAATACCTGAACAATTTAGGTGTACTACTACCAAAAGTTTCAGTTTTTTTGCCAAAACCAACATTAACCCGAATTTCATTACTCAAAACTAGGGCTTGGCCCGCGCGATGCGCGGGTAATGTGTATTACTATAAATTTAGATTTTCAGAATTATTACATTTATTTTATGCTTATATAGTTATCATTTTTAAACTCTATTAAAATAGTTATAAATTATTTAAGGAACATAGAATAAATATCCAAATCAAATATGTTGTTTTAAGATTTGAGAAATGATTAAATGTTAAATCTTTAGTTTTAAACAACATGAACATAAAGAGACAACATCCCTGCCCATGAAATGGAGAGGCCAGTGAGAGAGAACAGCGATAAAACAATGAAGCGAGCTACTCGAAATGAAATGTCTCCTTCGTAGCAATATTACAGTGCAAGTAGTGCTGTTATTTTTCTGAAAATAGTTTTTTTTTCTTTTCTATTTTTGTAAAGCTTGTTTTAAAAAATCATAATAATATTATAGTTTCTCTGACACACTGTTCTTTTGTTTATCCGGATTTTCTTCCATCACTCATGTGAGATGACAACTTTATTATGTGATTTATATCCTCTCTTTTATAATTTAGATTGCAATTCCAATATTATACATAGATTTGGTAGAACTGTAGTAAACCTCGAATCAACATCTAACCTCAAATAAATAATTATGAAGTGTAAGGGATTCCTTAACCATGCAGCCCTGCAAGTGATCCCGAGAATATATTATCATCATTAATTTATTATTCTCGTCTAGCTGCAGCTAGAACATCCCATAATAAAATTTGAAACTTCGTTATAATGACATAAGATAAATCGGTAGATAACCTTAATCAATAGTCTGTAAAAGTGTTTCACGAACTTAATTATAATAGGACTAAGTCCGCGCGATGCGCGAATTGTATTCACATGCAGTCAGAATATAAATATATATTACTACTTATTTTTCTGAAATCAAATTCATTAAAATATTTTTCATGTGCCACAAATTAATTGTGACTACTTGTAGCACATTGAAAATCTTATACACTAACCCTAAATCCAAAATTCTAAACCATAAATTTTTACTCCAAAATAAAAAACATTAAATCAGAATTGGCAAAAAGTATTTAAAAGTCATCTCAAACCCTTATATCTAACTCTTACATAAAATAAATCTAACACTTATGAAAAATCATACATTTTTATATGATTACATATTTTTTTAGAATGAATATATTTTGTTAACACTTATAACAAATTTCAAATAAAATTATATGATAAATCTTAAACTCTAAACCCTAAACATAATTAATGATTATATATATATAAAATTCATAATCTACACTAATGTATAATTAAAAATGTATTCAAATCTATTTTTCGAAATCACAAATCTCAAATCCCTAATACAAAATCTCAAATTCTAAAACTAAAATTTCAAACCCTAAATTAGTAATTTATGATACCCTCAAATATAAAACCTAAATCCAAAACTGAAACCAAACCCAAATCTAAAATTGAAATCAAAATATTAAAAATTACTAATCAAATTAATTATGAGTGAAATATATTATCAAATAACATTGCAAAAATATACTATGTAGCAACCATCCACTGATCCACGTCAAATATTGATCCCTAAAATTTCAGACTTTCACCCAAGATTTTATACGTTTTGGAAAAGTACACGACAAACCCAACTTTTCTAATTTCTAACTATTTTTTCTTTTAAAAAGAGAAATAAAATTAGTCTTTAATCTCTATAATCTACGTGGCAGTCCATAATTATGGAATTTCCTAATTATCCCATCCCATTACGATCACCAGTCTCGACCCGCCGGCGAAATTGGCTCCAGTGATTTCTTTTTAAATGTTTTCAACTTTTCATATTCAAACTTCCAATACATAATTTTTGTTGCTTTTGTTTTGTACCTTAACTTTTGTCTAACTGCATATAGGTCCTTTTTTTGGTGAAGTAATAAATCGCTGTAATCTACATTGAAATTTTCCATGACAAAAACGAAATGTTTAAGAAAGTATGAAAATGCAGAATGTGTTAAAAAGGATTGATTGTGTAATTAATTTTGTGTGTGTGTGTGTCCACAGCTTAACGTAATATACCGGTCAACACGTTGAAATACAGAAAGTCAGAAACTGGAATAATAGTGGTACAAACCAAGTCGGTTTAACATGATTGGTTATCATTCTATTTCCTCGAAAACCAACCCAGATTGATTTCCTCAGAATCGTGAAGGAAGAAACAAGATGAAATTACCAATTCTAGACCACAATTTGATTTTTTCTAGTCAACTAGACCACAATTTGAATCAAATGCAAAACTAACCTCTTTGGGTAGTAAAATTACCCCACAAGCCCTCATGACCAAACAAAAAAACGCATGCCTCGATTACGATTATAACCTCCGGAGCATGTAGATCTACCCGTAGATCTACCTGGTAGACAATGTTAGAGGTCTACCTCGTAATAACATCTTAAATTTTAATTAACAATTAAATAAAAAATATTTTTATACAAACACAAGTATGAATAATTCTAATATAGACATTATCATATACAAAAAATATGAATGCATACAAATGAATGATTTATAGATAAGCAAAGACATATAGGTTAATATCTATAAAATGTGTGAGGTCTACCGAGTAAGTCTACTATGTCATTAAAATTTAATTTTAATTATAAAAATTGAAAAAAAATATTTTGATGAAAATTATTTATACATAAATACAATACAGACAACTTGCATCTATATAAAATATAATTTCATAGATTTGAACCAATTGAACTATAAAAAACAAAAATTAGGTTAAAAGCCTATAAAAACCATGAGAGGTCTACCAAGTAAGTCTACTAAATAATTAAATCTTAAATTTAAATTAAGAAAATTTAAAAAATAATTTGAAATATTTGTTTCACAAATAACGAAATAATAGACATTTAACATCTATTAAAAATAAATTTCATAAGAAATCATGAATCTATAAATATCATATGTAAATAGTTCATAAGGATAAGAGTTTGAGTAGATTGTTTAGGAGTTAATGGGGAGAGTTGTAGGGTTTTGAAAAATTTTAGATGAAGAATTGTTTTTGGTTGGTTTTACGATTCAATGTTTGTTTATTTGTGATATACACTGTAAATTGACAATATGGCAAGCAAATCGTTGCAAAATTGTATCTAAATTATTCGATTTAGGGTTTAGGGTAAAGTAGACCTAACAAGTAGACGGATCGCGTAGACCGAAGTGGAGGTCTACCAACCGTTTTAACCTAGCGGGAATCCCGAAGTTTCAAAGCGACGGCTGAGATTGAAACGACGTTTCGGTAATTTCGTGGTAGACCGTAACGGTATACCTAAGCCGGAAATAACCGACTCAATTGTTTGCGTAGAACCGTAAATTGAACGGCTGAACCGATATTAATTGAAATAACCGGCTAATTTCTTGGTTCAAACCGATATAACGAAACCAGTTAATCGAACCGACGTATATAAAGCGGTTTTAACCCTGAGCAGTTAATTTCTAGGTTTTGTTAGAACATTGCGAGTCGGCGCTCTCCAGAGGCGATTTCAGGCGATTTCCGTGTCCGACGCCGTTTGCTCCGCCGCTATTCCTTTTCCGACCCGCTATTCCGTTTCCGACGCCGTTTGCTCCGCCTCTGTTTGATTACGCCGGTAATATCTCCGCCCTATACCTCGCCCTATACCCCTAGTGTCGTTAATCTATCTCCGCTCAGTCATCTAACCGTTTTATTGTTCATATTTGGTCCGCCGTCTGGTGAACTCGTCGCCGTTGTCTAACAGAATCGGAGCGCTCCACATCGATCCCATTTCCCGGTAGTAACTCCGTCACTCACTCCTCTTTCTTACCATTTTCGCTTTGTATAACCACAAATAACCTCACCGCCGAATTCATGTGTCGTTTTTGTAGTTAGATCTCGTCCAAGATATCGTTCCTGGTGCTTTGCGATAAGCGCTTAGAACTGTCGTCGTCGTCGAGAGGTACAACAATCTATAACATAACCTCTACAACTCATATATGTCTTTCTTCTTCGTGATTCGGTAGATTTCGTTTAGGGTTTAGTAGACTTCGTAGTAGACCTTCGTAGTAGACCTTCGTAGACCTTAGTAGACCTTCGTTTTTGCCTTCTTTGATTTTCCTTTTATGTTCGTTGCAGAATGAAGAAGCCTACCTTTCCAAGGAGGTTATACACAAGAGGGGCTGAACCGGAAGCCCAAAAGAGCATCTCCTACGGCAGCAACGACAAAAAGCTATTTGCTGCCGTGAAAAAACTACTGAGTGATGCCGAGTGGGAAACACTATGCGACTCGCGAGTTGGTGTCTTCTGCAAGTTTCACGACCTCGACTTCGTGGTCTTCGAAGTTGGTCCACACGATGCTCTCATATCAGTTAGAGTGCAAGAAGAAGTATGAGATCTGGGTTGCGGTTGCGGATAGCCCAATTAGATTTTCCCTCCATGAGTTTGAGCATCTCACCGGCCTCAACTGCGACTATGTGGAAGATATTGATGACCCCAAGTGCAAGGTTACTCTAGAGATGAGAGCATTCTGGGAGAAGCTCGGAGTAGATGTTGAGCTTGGTCCGAGTCAAGTGGAGATCATTCGTGCATGCGAATGGGCAACAGACTGGCCGAGTGAGGACAAACTTAGGCTTGGTTACTTGGCCATCTACACTGGCTTCATTGCTGCTCGGAAAAACACCTCGCACACTCCTGTCAACCTGGCCAGATTAGTGATGGATGAAGAGGAGTTTGAGAATTATCCGTGGGGGCGTGTAGCTTTCAAGAACCTGATCGAAGCCGTCAAAGAAGCAGAGCTATGGAAGTCCGGGTATGTCCTGGATGGGTTTGTTGAGGCTCTACAAGTATGGGCATATCGTTTCATGCCTGAATTCGGAGCGGGTTGTGGTGCGCCCATACGAAACGCTCCTGACATTCCGCTCTTGTCCTACAAAGGAGTCCAGGGTCTAAGGAACATTGAACTCACGATACTGAAGCAGGTACGATACTGAACTCACGATAGGCAGTAGACCATTTTGATAGCAGTAGACCATTTGGTAGACCATTTGGTAGACCATTTATTTACTTTCCCTTTCGTGTGTAGGTGAACTTTGATCACTGCATAATGGTGGAGAGAGACTTCGTTTACCCAAAGTGGGATGAGGATAAGGAAGACCCGCGTGTAGATGAACTCATCAACGCGCTGTATGGAGACCTGGGCCGGTGGAGGTGGAAGCCGGCGGACTGGAATCCTCAAGGTGTTCTGGTGAAGAATCCTATACCCCCGGAGTCTGCGAAGAGGAAAAGAGCCTCTGCCCTGGAGATGAAATGCAGAAGAGGCAGTGTCCTGAGAGCGTATCCTCTGCTGAAGATGGCTTCAGTCGCTTCGAGGAGAAGATGAAGGTTCTGTTTGAAGATGGCTTCGGTAAGTTGTCTGCGGCGATGAAGTCTGGCTTTGAACAGTCTGATTCCAAGTTCACCATCCTGACTAGGAAGGTGATCCGCATAGAAAAAACAGTCCAGTCTATGCAAGCAGCATCAAGGCGTCCAAACACCGAACCTGTGGAACCTGACGCAGATAATGAGAAGAACGAGCCGTCTGTTGAAGATGGTCGAGCCGAGGAGAAGGCTGCGAAGGATGCTGCTGTTTCGGAGAAGGATGCCACTCCCAGGAAGGATGCTACAGTCTCGGAGAAGGATGCCACTCCCAAGAAGGACGAGTCGTCAGGTGAAGAGGAGGAGGAGGAGGCTGACATCGGCGAGAAGATTGGCGATAACTCCACCGAGAAGGCTGCCACTCCTAAGCAGAGAAAAGCTCCAGCTCGGGTTAGTAACAAACCCTCTCCTACTATGAAGAAAAATCAGCCTGCTGAACCTACTAGGATCCTTCGAAATAGGAAGCAGAACCCCAAGTACAAGCAGTAGATTTGTCTGCTGCTGCTTTTCTTGTTTTATCATAAACTTGTGTGTTTTAACTTGTTTCTATATTTGTGAATCTTTTTCTGCGGAAAACAATGAACATATCTGTTTTATATGTATATCTGTTTGCTACAAGTAAAATATTTTGATGCAAGCGGCGTTCATTGTCATTTGCAGAAACAACAAGTTTTATCTCCATGCGGTAGTGACAATGGCGTAGACCCGGACCTGGTTTTCGTGAAGGAGTATACACCAACAAAAGCTGAGGAAGTGGAAGAGGCACAGAGGATGGCATTAAAACAACAAGCAACAATAGATATTGCACGTGCAAACGTACAGAGACAGCGACAGCTGGCCGCATCACAAGTGTCTCCGTTTATAGGAGATAGCACAGTGAAGGGAATCATTCCTAACAAGCCACGGCTTGGATATGGATATGATCCCAACGAGCCTGTGGATAAGGACAGACTTGCACGGCTGAAGAAAGATTTCAAAGGCATTTTGTAAGTATTTTCTTAAACTTCCTTGGTTTGGGCAGATTTATAGCTTGTTTGATTACCAATTGTGATTTTTATGTTTTGTATCCAGCGGCCCGACGAAGTTCAAACTCCACATTCCACTAATGTGGTGGCATGAATTGGTCACGCAGACGGAATGGCTCGCGGATACGGTAAGTAAGTAGACCTATATGTAGACCATTTTGGTAGACCATTTGGTAGACCATTTTGGTAGACCATTTGGTAGACCATTTTGGTAGACCATTATGTTAATGTTTTCTTATTTACTGTCTAAGAATTTCGTATCTGTTTTCAGCACATGGACGCAGTAATGAACATGTTTCGTCATCGCATGAAGTTGCACCCCGAGTGGTTTAGGAGTGACCGACTGTGCTTCTGTGATAGTACTCCTAGTATGCTGTGGCAAAAAGACAAGTGGAAGAGGTTTTTGAGTACAAAGCCCGATGGACAGGGACTAGGAAGGTGGGTCCCGGGAGGTGCGACCGATCTCTTCGAAGGGAAAGCACCACGTTTCTGCCAAACCTTGAAGAAATGGGAAGTAGATATTGATGAGATCTACATGCCATGGAACGTCAAAGACGCTCATTGGGTGGCCTTGATGGTTTCTATACCGAAAAGGCATATTACTGTGTGGGACAGCATTCCAGGATGTCTATCGGAGAGGTTGTTAGCCAAAGCTATCGAGCCCGTTGCTGTCCTTATGCCTTATCTACAACGGCTCATGGCTGACATCGGCGATAGGTATAAGTATCCACTCGACCGTTACACCCACGAGTATATTTCCGGAGGAGATGTGCCTGCGCAAGACAATTCGAGTGACTGTGGAGTCTACTGTCTAAAGTTCATCGAGTATCATAGTCTTGGGAGGCTTTTTCCGAAGACGCTTTGTGGTAGGAACATGAAAGCTATAAGAGCAAAGCTTGCAGCGGACCTATATCACGAGATCAACTGTCGCGGCCCTCCAGAGCGTAACTGGGAGGATCTGGACAATGACATATAACTATCTAGGTAGATCGGTATATATCAGTTTTAGGCTGGGTGTGTTTTGTAAAGCGCTCATGGTACCATATTTTGCTGTGTACCTAAACTCGACGCTCTCATTATTTTTTGGTGTAAAATATAACTACCTAACCCAGCTAAATATATAATATAACTGTTTTCGGATAAATTCAAATTCTTGCATGTTTACTAACATGGACGTACCCCGTCAATATCAAACAAAATGAATAACATAAAACATTAGTAACTCAAAACAGCTAAAGTAGACCTCTTCGGTAGATTGTTGTAGTAGATCGGTCGGGTAGACCTACGTAGTAGACCGAATATTACGTCTACGTAGACAAGGTAGACTAAACATGCGGTCTACCGAATTAGTCGACTAAGTCAGTCTGCCGCTGCGTTGTTCATCTGCAGGAGTTATGGAACTCAAGTAAGGATAAAACTGAAACATTAACGGAAAGAGGGAGTTTTCAATGGCTTACACAATGAGGTCGGGTGTGTCCTGGAACCCTGCACAACGAACAGCTATAAACTTTGTGGACCTTCCTTGGTTTGGGCTGTCTCTTCCTTGACAATTCTAGCCATGTTAGATACCTTGATTTCTTTTTCCGGCCACGAGTTGGCGCCACTTCTGGAGGTAAGCAAATGTCTTCTTCTTCCTCTGCATCTTCTGTAGGCTCCGGGTATATGGGACGTGCATATGTTGCATACAAAGATTCTTTCGTGTATGTCATACACACGTTTTGCGAAATGTGCATGTTTGCCTCAGTAGACGCTGCAATCGCATGTGAACAAGGTATTTTCTCAATCTGGAATACACCACATTCGCAGGAACGGTTTTCCAAATTCACAATATAATGCCCTCCTCCGCCTATAACATTGAAAGTCCATCCATCTATGTGTTCCACAGTGTATGTTTCTGCGTGGTGTGTACGAATAGCTAGCAAATATTCAACTCCCTTGCTGTATGGGGTCTGAAGACTCAAGGCGTCCTCTCGCCTTTTGGCAAACCAAACCCCCAACTTCTCCCGGATGAATTGCAGCAGATACGGTATTGGAAAGCCCTTTGCTCTCTTCAATGCGGAATTGATAGATTCAGCAATGTTACTTGTCTTTATATTGTATCTATCCCCTGGAAAATGTACTCTGGACCATAACTTAGGATCTGCTAACTCTAAGTAGTTCGCAAGTGCAGGTTTAGCAGCCCGGATTGATGCCATGCAACGGTTATACTCTCTCAGCGTATGGGCGTATGCAGCTCCTTTCACCAAGTACATCAAATCCTTTGCACCCAGCTCTGACTTTGAGACAATGTTTCCCTGAAGATGGTAGTAACAAATACCTCTGGTTACCCAAGGTAGAACATTGAGACATGCATTAGGTATGGAGGGGTGCCTGTCCGAAATAATGACCATGTGATGAGATGAAAAGCATTGCTGCAACTTGTTCATAAACCACCCCCATGATTCGTTATTCTCGGCATCTACAATCCCAAATGCCAACGGGAAAACCTGAAAATTAGCATCTTGTCCGGCTGCAACCAGCAATGTTCCTCCATACTTTCCAGTTAGATGAGTCCCATCTACCACAATAACACGTCTCAAGTACTGAAAGCCAACCATTGAAGCATACAAGGACAAGAAGCAGTATTTGAATTGACCATTAGCCTCACATACAAGGTCAGTCACGGAGCCCGGGTTTGACTGCTTCACTCTTCGCAAGTACGAGGGCAAAGCCGCATATCCAGCTTCTGGTGTTCCCCTAACAAAAAGTTGGGCAGCTTTTAAAGCTCTGTAAGCAGTGGTGTAGTTAAGCTTAAGTCCAAGCAACACCCTTATCGCGGAAGCAATATGCCTTGGGACAATTCCATCAATGATTCCAAACTGCTCTACAAATATCTGCCCAAGATACCTTGGAGTACATCCCTTGCGGAATCGAGCACGGTCCACCACAGAGCATGTATGAACCTTGACATACTTTGTGACAAAGAACCTCTTTGCCTCATTCTTTATAGCAGCTCTGCACATCCATTTGCATCCATCTACAAAACATTTTGCCACATAGAGCTTGGTAGTAGACTTAGAAACCTTGAAGGCGAATCTAGACTTCACTGCCTTCACTCGCAAGGCAGATATGAGATCATTCTTGCTTACATAGCTCTGGCCAACTGATATATCGCCTGACCCATCGAATCCTACCCCATGACCATTCAAATCACCTCTGCGAAGCCTTTCTTCAAAGCGTTTTTTCTCCCAATCATCTTCATCTTGAACTTTCCCATACTCACTATAGTCTGCGTCCGTGTCTTCAGCTTTCTTTCCTGCAAAATCTTCATCCACATAGTCATCGTCCCCTGCATCATCATACTCTTCCTCAACTTCTTCATCTGAATTTGCATCCCAGTTTACATCTGAAAGTTCCTCCTCCTCTTCATACTCATCCTCATCCACATAGTTATCTTCATCGACATAGTTATCCTCATCTCTCTGCTGACCTTTATCCTTGTTTCCAACAGAGATGCAAAGGCGCAGCACATGCGTTTTGCATGTCTCTATCAAGCTATGGACCTGCCCATCGTTGGTGATGTACATAGGAGGAAAGTCAGAGGGCATTTGATGGAGCATAACATCTGGTAATGGATAGGATAACTCCACCCGCTCTGGTTCCATATCCAGCATATAGTCAGCTTGTACCATTGTAAGGAGCTCCTCATGTGTACAACCATCACGCAAGTAGAACATCCTCCCTCCTTTTCCTTTATCGACCTCAAAATTCCATGTCTTGTCTTCCATCACCACCCATTTTCCATAAACGGAAGCTAGACAAACCATTACCTGCAACAAAAACGAACAAGACCACAAAACGGATTAGAAGACAGAATGGGTAGACCGCTACGGTAGACCCACAACTTGGTCTACCAGGTAAAATTAATCTAGATACCTAATTGAAAAGAAATCCGAATATAGCCTTAATTACGCAGAAAGAACATTTCAAACTCACACAGAAGCAAGTAAACAAACAAAAGCAACTAACTGTTCGAGATAAATTCCAAAATATTTGATATATTGAAAGGAAAACGACATTTCAAAAAACACATAATAATAGACCTAAACGTAGACTTCCTAGTAGACGAAACGGTAGACCGAAATGTAGGTCTACGCCACGTGGAGGGTTAGTTTAGCAATTGTTCGAGGAAAATGTTTTTTTGGAGGTCTACCGTGTCGGTCTACTACACGTGGCGGGTTAGTTTTGCAATTGACCAAACGTTGACTTTTTGCCAAGGTCTACCGTCTCCGTCTACCAGAAGACGTAGACCTCCAAATCGGTCTACCGTAAAAAAGTAGACCTCCAAATTAGTCTACCGTATCGGTCTACCTAAAAAACAGTTTGTGATGCGTTGACTTAAGTTTGACTTTCCTCGGGTAGACTTCCGTGGTAGACCTCAGTTTTTTTGCGTTGACCAGTAGACCTCACTTTCGGTCTACCAAGCAGTAGACCTACACGGTAGACCTCAATGACGCAAACTCTCTCCTTTTTGAGGAAAGTCAAACTTTTGTCAACGGCCGGACCAACGTTTTTTTTTTAGGTAGACCGACCTGGTAGACCTACGACAAACATTTTACTCGATCAATTGCAAAACTAACCCTCCACGTGTAGTAGACCGACACGGTAGACCTCCAAAAAAACATTTTCCTCGAACAATTGCTAAACTAACCCTCCACGTGGAGTAGACCTAATTTGAGGTCTACCACTTGTTTTTTTTGTTTGCAAAGGAATTGACCCGGTCTACTTTTGGTTGACCGGTAGACCTCAACTGAGGTCTACCATGTAAAAGTAGACCTTCTCTTCCGTCTACCTTTGCGGACCAAAACTGAAAGTCGTTCAATTTTGAAAGAAAGGTTACCTCGCCGTCGGAGAAAGGCTCTTCGAAGCCTGATAACTTCAATTTGGGCTTCCAGCAACGATCTCCGGTCGTCAACGTAAGCTAGACAGTCGGAAATACCAAGATCCAAGATTTGAGATTTCTTCTAGATTTTGGGATGAAAATGGAGAGAAAATGAAGAATAAGAGTTTGTGAGATGAAAGAAGGAGAAATGGTAGCTCACCAACGAGTTTTCGGAGCATTGAAAGCTCCATGTTCGGTGAAAATGGTGGTTGGCCACATTGATGATATGGCATTTTCGAAATTTTGTGTAGGAGATGAGGGGTCTTTGGTCTTTCAGCAGATACGGTAGACCTACAAATCGGTCTACTAGTCGAAAAAAGTAATGGCAATCCTGTAATTAATTAGAAAAATCTGGACAAACTTAAAACGAAAAAAGCAGGAGGTTACTTTTGCATTTGACCACAAATTTGGGTCTAGAAGTGAAACAAGCCCAAGAAACAATGGAGAAGAAGGAGAAAAAATCAGCGATTTCGTCAATGGAAGGTGTTCTTGTTGGAGCTCTAACTCCAGGCGTCAATGTCCGTAACAACTATCTCTTTTATTACCCCCTCTTTGTGGATGCTGTTTCTTTTTGGTTAAAAACCCTAGTTGAATCGGAATTTTACAGGCTCCAACATGGAAAACACTCAAATTCGCGTTTCTTCTGTTGGGTCTCTGTCTCGTTTTCACGCTCCCTGTAACTTTCACCGACGGCCAATCCATGTTGCCTGTTCATGTTGGCTTTCTCATTATAATCGCAGCTATTCTCTTTATCCTCCTCAATTGGTATTCTCAAATTCCCTTCTCATTTCTCCATTTCTCAATTTTTGTGTTGAAAATTTTGATACTTTCTCGGGTCTGGTTGGTTTGAGAAATTGATTTGACTTCACCATGACCATTTCTCCATTCTACGCCTGACTTCACCTGACTTCACCATGATCTCATCCACAGTCCACAAATATCATTTTCTTAGATGATGGAGATTCCCATGACGGTCGTCTAGGTGGAGCCTCCGTTCTTCGCCTTGGAGGAGATGAAACGGCCACGGGACACCGTGGGGAGGTCAGCCGACCGAAAACGGAGGAGGCATCGGTGTCAGGTGAGGAAGATGAAAAGTTAAAATATTTGTGATTTTTTTTATAAAAAGAGATGTCACATGGCAGAAATCAGGAGAGAGTTATTCTCTCATTATATATAAAATTACAATTCTGTTAACAGTGGTGGTGAGTCACATGCCATTTAAGAATCCTCGCTGGTACATATATTCAAATGACGTCGTTTTAAACGAATCAATACTAAATAAATTGTGTTGTTCTGAGTAGGCCTGGGCAAATTATCTGTTATATCCGATTCGATTCGTTATTCGCTTCGATTCGATCCGAAAAATCCGGATAACCGTAATGATACAAATAAAATCAAATACTAAAATTCAATATCCGTTAAAAACGGAGCAAATATCAAATATTGTTTTTTTGAAACCCGGATATCCGCTCCGATCCGTAGATTATAATAATTATGTAGATATATACATATTATAGTATAAATTTGTTCTTTTGTCTTTAGAAACATACAAATCAACAAAAATGTTGTCTCCACAAATATAATCCATTCATTTATACACTTAAAAAATTTAATAATGTAGCAGCAGTTTATTTAACTACTTTAGAACTATGAATATTGTGACTAAATAAAAAGAATTAACCAATAATATGTTTAAAACTTTGTAATTATTTTTGCATTATGTTTTAATGTTAACGATAATGTGTTTACTGGAACTGTTGTGATCAATTAATTTACGTTTTTAGAACTTATTTGTAAATGAATATTATAATTTAGGAAACAATATTATAGTTTAGTATCTATCTATTTTTTAATTATTTTTAATAAATAAATATTTTTAGTTTTTTAAAAAATATTATTTTACGGATCGGATCGGATATCCTCGGATATTTATTGTTTTTATGGATATTCGGATTTTCGGATCTCCGAAAATCTTCGGATCGGATCGGATCGGAAAATCAGTTATCCGGATCAGACGGATCGGATCACGGATCACGAATAATTTCCGGATATCCGCTCCGTGCCCAGGGCTAGTTCTGAGGACTCGATCCAAGTCCCCCGAGAGTAGAACTGAAACAACATTGCCACTAGACTACACACCTGTGATTCTAAAAAGTCTTACGTTTTGTAAAGCTATATTGAATAACCCCAATTAAACAACCATAAATTTTGAGAAGGTTGTATAAAATTTTAAGTTTTCTCAAATTATAGAATCATAGAGTTTTTTAAAAGTAATAATTAGAAATTATAAATTATATAAAAGGCTGCCAATTCAGGATTCTCTGAACGATTTCCGTCAGTTTCCAACCATTCGATAATCCCTTGTAAGTAATAACTAGGGTTTGATCTGCGTCCTGCACGAAGTGATAGTTTCTGAATTTATATTTTTATTAAAATAAGTTTATTTAAATATCTCAAATTTTATGCGATGAATTTTTAATCTTTGTTAGATTATTGTCTTTGTTTATTAATTTAGAAACCGGCATAGATGCCAATCGTATTTGCAAAAGAAGGAAAATATACTAATACCTATTTTTGTATTTTTATAAATACAAAATTACCCTCCTAGCTTTTTATCTTGTTTTCTCCGCCTCTCTCCCTATTCCTTTCTCTCTCGAAAATCCCTCTCTCTCCCTCTTCCTCCCTACCTCTCTCTCGGCAAATCTCTCTCTCTTCTTTCTGTCATATCTTATGAGTTTTTCAGATTCTTTTGTAAAATCATTGTTACAGTTTCGTAAACTTCTCAATTTTAACAGTAGTGTTGATTTCATAAACAGATTTAGCAGCGTTTGAAAGATTCGGCGTTGAATATTGGGAACAGATCTCGTTAGCGGCGAGTTTTCACCGGTTCACCATAAAAACGGATCGGTTTGATAGGTTTCAGAAAATCTGCTTCATATTCTGAAGACTTTATAGGTTTCAGAAAATCTGCTTCATAGTTCGTTTTTCAGATCAAAAGTGGTATCATTATTTTTAACATTGTACATTTTTATATTAACGTAATATATTTTTAGTTAACAAGTTATATTTATTTGTAGCTCGCTAAACAAGTTGTAACACAAATAACATTTTGTATGATAATTTTGTTAGATATCCATCTAATATGTTTATTATCACGTAATATATAAAGTTAAATGTATATATACATGTAATTGTTAACATGTTTCACAGATATGTATCTTTGTTAGCATAATATATCTCCAGTTGTACATCGGGAATTGCTGTTAATGCTCTATTATCTCCAGTTGTACATCGGGAATTGCTGTTAATGCTCTCTATTATGGAGATCTTATTGGTTTCAAGCTGTCAACGAGCAAACTACTGTTTTTACTCGTGTCAATAGTGGAATATCATTATTTGTAACATTGTATATTGTAACTTTATCGTTATATATATCGTTATATATATACTGGCATAAATTATTAGCAAATCGCAACTACCGGGATTCGAAACCCAGATCTCCTAATGTAGAAGCATTAAATCTCTTCAACCACTAGGTTAAGGGGCTTATGCATCTAAACATCACTTTAAATTAAAAAGAAAAAAACGAGAAGGCCATGCCTGCCATGCTTACAAACATGTACAACCGTGTAGATGCTCTGTCAACAGTGGCGAATCCACGTTCAAGGACATGGTGTCAAATGACACCGTTTGACTTTTAAAAATTGTTAAAATATACATGATTTCCCATAAAAGCCAGTAGCTATGTTGGTAAAAAAAGCCCTATGAACCAGAAAACCTGAGTTCGAATCCTACCATGACCCCATATAACATATTTTCATATTTTAATTGATATATTGACCCCAGTTTAGTTAAATCCTGCATTCGCCACTATCTGTCAATTCGTTGACGCATATGGTATAAGGCGCCACTGCTAGATTCTGGTTCCCCTCGACTTTTGTCTGATCATCCAACACATAAAAATATATATATATATATATATATAATTAACGGATTTTCTATTTTAATACGAAGGTGTTCAATGGAGAAAAAAAATTATATTATACTTTTCTGTTAAAATTTTTTTGTGACGTCTGCCAGTGATTGTATAAAAAATAAAAAAATAAATTATATTATAATGGAAGAAAATATGATTTCACTGAAATCCGAAAAAGTTTGTACGTGTATTTTTTATAAAACTAGCTGAATATAGAATTCTTTATTTTTTATCGGCTGTGTATGCTGTATATATATATACTTTACAAAAATGTATGATGTGTTTCTGTGTTTCATAAGATAAGAAGTCTTTACTGTGTGCACACGGATTAGAACTATTTTTTTTTCTTTCTTTTAAAACTAAAACACGGATTAAAATCATTTTTTTTTCTTTCTTTCAAAACTAAAACATGGATTAGACCTATTTTTTTTTCCTTCTTTCAAAACTAAAACACGGATTAAAACCATTTTCTTTCAGAATTAAAATATGATTTTTTTTTCTTTCAAAATTAAAACATGCTTTATTATAATTTCAAAACAATCCAACCAATAAGAAGACAATCTGCATAATCTAAATTGTTAAAACAACAAAAATATAATTAACTTTATAATGAAAGTTGAAATAGATGGAGTAATATTCAAATTTTTAATCAAAATAAAAATTTATTAAAAAAAATTATTCAGTTTTATTATAGAATTTAATTAAAAACCATATTAAATGGAATAAAAATAATATGAAGTTGCTTGATACCTACTAAATGAGGTTATATACTAAACAATTTACATTATTTTGTTTTTAAAAATTCAAATCATAGCATATTCAGAAAAGATTTAGATTTTCTTTATTAGTTTTTTATATGTGATTCATATTATTTTATAAAATAAAGTTAAACAAAGATGATAGAAGATATATAGTGATTTAAAAATTATTATGATAGAAATCAATTGGAATTTCATATCTTCTTTCTTATTTACTTATTTTCGTAATTGCCAATTAAGGAAAGAAAATAATAATAAAGGATGGTAAGCATAATATGCAATGACATATATTGTAATTTTTCTAGTAAATGTTGTCTTATTTAAAAGTTGAGCTGAGAGTGAACCTGGTGATGACACCTAAGCAATGACACTCTTGTTAATAACACATGAGATAAAGGTTATTTTGATAGTGTTTTCTCTTTTAATATATATTAGGGACTACAAATTATAAATTATAAAAAGGCTACCAATTCAGGACCCTCCAAACTACTTCCGTCAGTTTCCACCCATTGGACAACCCCCCACTCATTAGACTAATATGCAATGACATATATTGTAATTTTTATAGTAAAGGTTGTCTTATTTAAAGTTGAGTTGAGAGTGAACCTCGTGATGAACCTAAGTAATGACACTCTTGTTAATAACACATGAGATAAAAGTTTAAAAGTTATTTTGATAGTGTTTTCTCTTTTAATATATATTAGGCGAATCGGACCCTCCAAACTACTTCCGTCAGTTTCCACCCAATTCCCCCCCCCCCACCCCCAACCCAACGTATGGCATGTTACTATCTATTAAAATGTTTAACAAATAAATAAGATTTAGAGTTAACTGAAAAGAATATGAAAGGTTATGCCATATGTCAATCAGTAGAGTATCCACATGTCACATAGATGGAGAGAGTTGTCCCCTATTCATATATATGATTCCGATTGCGGAACAGTGATTCCCCAGTTTAGAACACGAATGCGCCACGTTAAGTTAGCCCGACCCTTAACCTCCTCTCTTAAAACCGATACTCAACCTAGCAAAACAAAATCAAAATCAAAACAAAATCAATTTTGGGGTAGAAGAGTTAGGGTTATCAAATTTCTGTGTTATAATTCTGTGTTATGGTTTCGGCGTGGATCAATCCGACAGAGATTCGGTGTCTATAGAAAGACAGAAAGCAAGATTGTGATTCCTTTTGTTTTCTGCTATGTTAGTTTTCGGATGTGATTTTGTTTTAGGATTTGTGATTTCTTACCTTTAGATTGTGGATATTAGCAGAATGAGCTCTTCATCATCAGCTTCATCTCGGTTTTCAAACCGAAGGTCAATTAATGTGTACCAACAAGATGTTGGTGTGGGAGAAAACTTGTGACTAATGCTGCTCAAACAAAGGAGAATCCTTTTCTTAGATTCTACAGATGCAGGTGGCATTATAGGTACAATCTGGTCTTGTGTAGCTATATGTTTATAGACGAGAAACCCGAATCTTAAGTAGAGGAGCTATGTGTTCTTCTTGCATGTAGATGAAAATGGAAGATCATTTTTTCAAGTGGATTGATGAAGCCTTGCTAAATGAGACTAATAAGGCAAGCATTTCATGCTTGTAGAAGAGCTGAAAGAATTGAAGAAAAGTTTTGTTGAGAGTTTGGAGCTTCAAAACACCATGATTCGCAAGATGGAAGAAGAGGGGGATGAGAAGGTGAAGGAAGAGCTCATGATAGCTAATGCAACTATGGAGAAGATGGCTCGCGATATGACTAAAGTGTGTTTGCAAAAAGTAGGGGTTACAATGTTGGTTGTTGGAACCTTAGGACGGATTTGTGGGAAGCGTTTGAGTTAGTTTAGCTAGGTGTTTCAAACACCTATATGTTATATTTGTGTAAGATTGGTGAATGTTATGTGAGTGCAGTTGGATTGTGTACTATTTTGCAAACCTTAATGGCTCATTTGGTTTTCGGAATTCCTTGTGTTTGTTGATTCATGAGGTTATTATAGCCACAACTAAGCCAAAACCTTAAGAAAACAATGTCATTTAGATGTTATAAACCAAAACCACAACCATTCAACAATAACATTCAAAGGTACCAAAACAAATAGCATTTGAACATAGGATTCAAAGATACCAAACCAGAAAAAGAGAAAGTACATGCATAAACCCAAAAAGGTTACATAAACTTTAGACTTTCATTCAAACATTTGAGAGGGCTGAGTGATTGACATCATTTCTGGTCCTTCAGCTAGAACTAAAGCTCCTGAGATGAATATATGGCATGAAATATACCAGAAACAGAGGAACAAATCAACATTCCAAGAGCAACATACATCCGTAGAGCAAGAAATAAATCGAAAATTTAGAGACAATAGACATTTCAAGAGCAAGAAGCCAAGAAACGTTACCTGTTCACTTGTTTGTTCTGATAGTAGGATTTTTGCATCAACTACAATCAAACCCACTACTCATGTCATTGCAGTGCTTGAGGTGTCAAACCAAGTGGATCTTTACACAAGTGAAATGCAAGAAAGACTAAATCCAAGTGTATTCAAAGGGACGTTCTTGGTTTTTGTAACTAAAGATTGTAACTTTAAGGGATTACAACTATCAAACGATATAAAGATATGAACTTGATGAAATATATAAGGAAATGAGGTGTCTGGGATGAGGTTTGGTCAAGGTCGCCTTAGCTCAAGACCACTAGTTCCAATCTGAGCAAGACTCAAACTTTGTGCTTAGATTTTAAGTAAACCAGCCACTCTCGTGGTCAGGTCGCTTTGTTGGTTCAAACCCAAAGCTAGCTCTCGCTAGTGGACTTAAAGCAGCAAGCTTTAGCAAGAAAGTTCCAACAACCAATCTCTTAGGTTGGGAACGTTTCTTTCTCAAGCTAGCTCTCTTAGACATTATCGCAAACACATTCTACGCGTCCTTCTACGCGTGCTAGTCTAGATTCTCAGCTTCAAATAATCAGAGAGGAACCAAGAGATTAGACTCTAGCTAAAGAAAAGTTGGTCGAGGAAGACTATAGAGGTCAACAAGAAGCTAAAGCTATAACTTTTTCCTATCTCATCCTCGAAACCTCAAAGAAAACTACTCGATATTCAAATCGCAAGAGAGCTTGAAATCATCATTAAGATAAGATTAGCAAACTTAAATATTTCTTAAACTTAAAAGATTCAAATAAAAGCTTACAAAATATTCTCCAAGAACAAAGTGTATCCACTCTTAACAGTGCATTCTAGATGCTCTTAGAATTGAGGTCTAGATGCTCTTAGAATTGAGGATTCTCTCGAAACACAATCTCAATCAAAAAGCTTATCCAATCTTCAGTAATGAAAAATCCAATCTACGATATTAACATGTTAGTGAAATTAAAAAATCAAATTTGCTGCACACTTTTTCGGTAATAAAGATTTGTGAATTCACGAAATCACCACAGTGACTATTGTTATTTGGGGAACTAGCGTGCCTTGGGGATCACCTCAGTCCCAAAGTTCATGCTCACTTCAATAGAACCCTTTGAATCCAAGTCCACACTCCCTCCTTTCCTTGAATTCTCATATGTAAGACAATCTTTCAGGTCATTCACCACTCGAGACATGTTTGGTCTTCTTGCAGAAGAAGGATTAACACAAGACATTGCTAATTCAAGAGCTTTCCAGACCGAGCCGCTGTCATAATCTTGTCCGAGGTTTGGATCTATTATATTTCTAACATCTCCCTTTTGAAGCATAAAACCAATCCACTCTACTATGTGAGTTTTTTCACGGGCATGCGCTATTATAGGACGGTTTGATATGACCTCTAGTAGTACAATTCCAAAACTGTAGACATCACTCTTCTCCGTTAACCAATTTGTTTGATAATACCTACAAAATATCATGGGACAATATCAACATATTTCACTGACATTAACCAATAAAAGGGATGGGGATTTTTTAGAGTAGCATATGGAATGTGTTATATATATATACTCACTCAGGATCAAGATATCCAGGAGTGCCAGCAACAACTGTAGACACATATGTCTCATTTGCGGTGGGAAAAGATCTTGAAAGTCCAAAATCAGCTAGTTTAGCTTGAAAGTTTTCGTCCAGTAAAATGTTTGAACTTTTGACATCTCTGTGAACCATAGCCGGTTTGCATCCTGTATGTAGGTACTCTAGTCCTACATCATAATTTATGTTAATAATTAAAAGGACAATGTGGATAATTGAATACACTGAAGGTAAAATTTTACATGATCCAGTGTAATTGTCATCATTCATGACTTTGAGGCAAAGATAAATTTATTACTTCGAACAGTTTAGGACTAACCTTGTGCTGAATCAACAGCTATTATTAGTCTAGTTTTCCAGCTCATGACAGAGCCACCCCGTTTCCCTGTATTAATCAAACAGTTCAACATAGAAAAAAAAAATATACTCATAATTTTTGTTCCAAATAAAATCTTACTATATAGTTACTGAAATTGCTACATACATTGTTTTTTTTTTTTTTTTTATTATTATTATTATTAGAAGATCATGGCCGAAATACATTCCTCAAATCCCGGGCCACAATGTTTTATAATTTTTTTTTCGTTAAAGTGTATGTTTTATATGGTCTCGTCCTAAGCTCCACCTAAGGCTTAGCCTTTGGTACCTTTTCAGTTAAGCTAACAACACTTGGTATAGCCGTATAGATATTGTTCTTTTCAAGTTATTAACCTGACAGATGCTGTTTCAAATCTCCATTAGGCATGTATTCGTAGAGGAGGCCTAAGTTGTCTCCTTCATCACAATATCCAACGAGGTTCACCAAATTTATATGGTGGACTCGTAGAAGAAGTTCGACCTAATCGCCAACCATTAAAATGCTTGTTATTAATCTAAAATTATAGAAGATACATATCTATAGTAATTGTATATAGACTTATATAATAACTATGGGGCAAGTACCTCTGCCTTGAATTGCTTGTAGCCTTGAGCTGATGAATGAGACAACAATTTAATAGCTACCTCTTCGGTACCATTTAAAAGACCATGGTAAACGACTCCAAATCCTCCTTCTCCAAGAACCCTTTGAAAGTTATTTGTCATTGATGTAACCTCTGCATAAGTGAACCTTCTGTTTTTGGTCAGAAATGATGGTTCTGATTCATAAGAAGAGTCTCCTAGATCTTCAACCGGCACACTTTGTGTAGTTTTTTTATCTGCATGATTTCGAGTTTTGATAATTCAACTTAATCCTTATAGTTCTTTGACTGTTAAATGCCAGTAACTGACCTAAAGACACCTTTTTCTTCCGGAACACGAAAATGATGAGCAAGATAACTATGATAGCAACCACAGAAGCTACTGATGCAACAACTGGTACTAGGAATTTAATTTTTTCCTTTTTAATGCATGAGCTAATGCTGCAAAGCTCAGGATTATCGTCAAAGCTACAAAAAAAAAAAAGGTAGTGAAGACGTACGTCAGTCGCTAAAATGTTTGCATTAATAGTGATAAGACAATATTTACTCAATAATAATAGCTTACTTCAACAAAAGTCCATCCTTTTGTCTATCAAGAAGGGCTTGAGGAACTGAACCAGTTAATTTGTTCTTGCTTAAGTTTCTGTTAGGCCAAAGTAAGCAAAAAAAAAAAGAGAAGACATGTATGAACATATATGTAGTGAAAAGAGTCCCTCCTTCTGAAAATAACTTACATGACCAACAATGATTTCATCTTCGCAAGATACTTAGGCACTTCTCCGGTCAAGTTGTTATTAGATAAGTCCCTGGAGTTTATAGGAGTTAGTCCAAATTTCCATATCGTCTCTGTGGCCTTATAATAGTGCTATAGGATTTATGCCAAGAGATGAGAAGATACTCACAGTTCTTTAAGTTGTGTGAGATTTTGTATACTTGTTGATATGCCCCCGGCCAATCCTTGTGATGACAATTTCCTTTTGATTGGATCATAAAACCAATTATGTATTCCATTCAAATAAACAAGTTTCAAATAGGAAAATGTGTTCTGAATTTAACTTACAAGATTACTACTCGTGGTGGACTGGACTTTTCTTTGTAGTCGCATTCTAGATGATCCCAGGTATAGTCTGGAGGAATACACGGATCGCCTTGCCAACTGATTTGAGTCAGCCTATAAGTGTCTTTGATATTTTTTATTGCCGCAACTGACATGGAAATTGGATGGTGTAAGAATTACATTATGAAAGAGTGGACTTAATGTCAATCAAAAGATAAAACTTTGGGTGAGATATATACCGTCACTTGGGTTTGTTTCCGTAGATGGAAACTCAATGATGTTGAAACCCTCCATGGCGTTGATCAGAGGTGGAAGAGTTGATTTCTTAGTTCTTACTAGCCGCAATGTGCAGATCCCTCCAGGGCATAGTACCGGTGGAAGCGTTAGAGTATGTTGCTCTAACTTGGGAGGACTAAAAGCTGAAATATTAGAGGATCCGTTGAAGAAAATGTCGAATTCCCTGGTTTCGTTGGCTCGTAAGGCTTGTATCTCGGCAAAGTGAAGGTACAGGTAAACGGCAACCGTAGGGGGTGTCGTGTACCAAGAGATCTCTAGGGGTAAACTTTTGTTCGAAGGGGTTGCCGCTGTTCCCAGTGCAAGTTTTGGGGTGTCATAGACTCCGGTATTACTTATACTGAGATTTGTGTTTATGATACGCCAGTCGTACTCTGGGAAGTATGGAGCCCAAATACGATCATGTATATCATGAGGATACCTGCAATAATAATTTTATGATAAAAGATAAAATGGACATGGATCCTCTCTTTGCCTACAAGGCTTGTTTAAATTGTTATAAACTTTCTTTTCTATAAAAACCCAAGTTTTGATCCCATCCCCCGGTCTAAAGGTCATAAAATTGTACAAGTTTGCTCATTACAGGTCTAAATGTACGCAACAAACAAAAGTACAATCAACCGTTATTGAAGCCTAATCTCTTTTCTTTGAGTTGTTTTTTTTTATTGCATTTTCTTTATGCACATTTCCCTTCTAAGTTTTAACCAGGAGTAATGTAATAAAAAAATGAGATAATGCAAGGGATTAAAAAAACTGTTAAACTCCTAAACCCTAAACCTTAATTACTATAAGCTGTTAGATTAAAAAAAATCAATTTGGCAATAAGTGAATTGGCATGTATCCCTTCGAGCATTTCATTGGTGAGATAGACACCAAATAAAAACATGAAATTTGTGATATGGGATTATCATGGGTACTCCCTCTGTTTCATATTAAGTGTCGTTTTAGAGTTTAATTTTTGTTTTACTTAAGTGTTGTTTTACATTTTCAATGCAAAACTTTAATATAGTTTTCAGATTTATCCCTAGTCTCCCATCTCATTAGTTTTGATAAAATCAAATAATGTTATGTATTAATTATGGGTACGTAAAACAGAAAACTTTAATGTATTCGTAAGATGTGTGCAAAAATCTTAAAGGACACTTAATATGAAACATAGGGACTATTTCAAAGCTTAAAATCCCAATTAACTCTCTCTATCTTCAATGTCCTAAAGTTTCACGAATTTCATCTCAAAGTAATTGCTAATGAATTGAGCAGAATAAATAAAATCACATTTATTTTTTTAAATGAGATCCCTTTATAATATGCTTCCTCAAATGGAGTTATTTTTGGTCAATTATGGACCAGTTTTTTTGTGTTTTCCATCTACTACACGTCCGAATATGTTGGATTCTGGTAGCATGTAAAAGTTTATGAGATATTAGCGAGTAAGCAACGACTAAACACTGAAGTAACCTATAGTCTAAGACTTTATAGCGTCATATTATCAGCGCAAAAAGCCAAAAACCCTAGAATACGTAAGCAACTGGTTGGCAAAAAAAAAAAAAAAAAAAAAAAAAAAAAAAAACAAAAGGTAAGCAACTGAAGTGAAAGGTAAAGAAGTTATATAGGTAGTTAATTTTTAATTCCATACGTCTCTCACGTTATGTTTCAAGACAGAGAGGGAGACAAAATGTACTTACCTTATATCGCGATATGAATCGTTAAAAAACATCCGGAAATTGCTGCTCAGCGAACCAAAACCAGGACCAGGACCATACACATCATTTCGAAATGGTCGTATTTCTATGGATGATATAATTGGCAATGTTTCTCCTGTCTTGACAAGACAGATTTCTAAAGAACTTGATCGTGGAGTGTGGATCATATCAACTCCTGTAACGTTTGTTTCCCTATCCAAATCTATTGACTCCCACTTATTAGGACCAAGATAGAGATCGAAGTTTGGGTAAGTATTAAGACCATCATAGTTTCCATATAAGAACATGGCTCCAATGAAATAAGTTGTGTCACGCGTGACATTCAGAGTGTAGCAATTTCGTAATCCTTCTGGAAAGTATCTCATAACCAAATATGGTTTTATGTGTTCTTTGTCGAAAGCTTTATCGACTCTGCCACTCTTTCCCGTCTGGATGAGGGTGGAATCTGATGTGAATACTAATCCACTATCAGGATCAATATAAGGAGATTCATCAACGGATAGGCCACAATCCAAACTGATGAATCCTGGTCAAACATAAAATGAAAAATTGAAGAAATAAATAAAATGCATCAACAATCATTCTGTTGAATAATTATGAAAACTCAAATTACCGTCTTGATTCTGTGGTTGAACAAGGTGTACAATGCAGAAGACCTCAATCACAACAAGCGTCAAAAGAAGACTTTTCATTTTCGTTTCTTGGGCAGTAAGAACACTTCTTACTCTGTAGAAGAGCAATACCTCTTATGGGTTGGGCAAGAGAAAATCAACATTCAAAATGTCAATTGCCATAAAAATGGAAAGAATGAGTAAATGAAAATGTCCCGTGATAGCTTGCAATTTTATTTTAATAAATGGGTTTCTTTTGTATAAAAGAAAACTACGTGGGTATCCATACTTTAATAAGTTTTCTGCTTTTCATTGTTTCCCCCTTTACTTTATGCAAAATATAGACCGAATCAAAAGACACCAAAAGTAAATGAAGGAAAATATATGCGAGAGTATGATATATCATGATTTTTATGGTTTTTCATCATGATATAGATCTTGTATATAGCATTTTTTTGATATTTTTAAGAGTTTTTACAGGTTTAGTCTCTGAATGCATTTGGAGATTAATTTGAGTTATTTAGAGCTATTTAGAGTTAAATCAGGATTCCTGCTGGAAAACAAAACAATTTGTCGTTCACAGACTTTTGCGTCGGACGATACCAGGGATCTGTGTCAGTCGACATACTAAAAAACGAAAATCTAGACTTCTGAAGAATTACAGTTTTGGCCCAGAATTTCTATTTATTTGCATAGCTGCCCCAAATCTTGTTTTAGACATTATTCTAGGTTTTTAAAGCCATTGTTAGGCTGAATACTTTTCATACTTATTCTATTGAGACTTAGAGAGAGATTTGTAGCAGAGCTTTGGAGAGAAGATTCTGAACTCCTTTATCTCTATTCTTATTTCTTTTATGCAATCTATTTTATTCATGATGTTTGTCTCAATCACCATGTCTGAGTAGATTCCTTGTTAGGTTTAGGGTTTTTCAAAGGTTGAAGAAGAATTGCAATTGCTTAGGATAATCATTAGAGTTCTTCATCTGGATTGTGTTTATTGCTTATTCTAGCTTCGCGACCTAGAATCTGATCTTAGGTTAATTGGTAGACACGAAAGTGTTATTGATTTCCTGAACTATCTTAGATGAGCAAAATATCTATCTGCAAAGAATTTGGTTTAGAGATTTTGTGAACTTATCAAACCTGATCATTAATGCTTGTTTGAATTGTTGAATTTGCAAAGAAATTTGGGATTCTAAGTTTAGACATAGATAATCTCTGCAACGAAAGTTGATTGGTTTTACAATTGTGATTTGAGTTCTAGAATGGTTCTTAATTAATATCCTGATATTTACTCTGCAATTCGGATTCAACCTGCGAATTTCCCAAGGCCTAACCTTTGTCTCATTGAATTTAACTTCGTTAATCATCACCTGCTACTTTGTTTTCTTTTATTTGCTTTACATTACTCATATCTTACTTAGCCTGATTTGAATCTGGAAATTCGTTGTGCAACTGATAGACGTTTGGATTCGATAACCCTATTTACGACTGAATTGCTATGCACTTGCAGTTAATTTTAGGGAGAACTTTTAACTTATGAGGTTTCACTACAGGAAAAACGGGTTTCAATAGCAGAGAAGGATAACGGTTTTTACATATCTGCTATCTTTGAGTTTTATATAGCGTTTGGTAATATTTTGGTTTCAACAAACGCTATCTAAGGTTGAGCGGCAAAAAATGTAAAAGTGGCGCTTCTCTTTTTACTTCTATTATATCAATACTCGAATGTAAAAACGCTATGGTAAGATACCCGCAAATCCGATTTTTTTGCCCGCCGAATTAACAAAAAATTATGTGGAATACATCGACAAAATCGAAATCGGAATTAAAGAAAAAAAAAGTTTCGTTCTTCGTTCTCTCATCTCGTATCCTCCCTACACCTCGATCTCCTTCATCAATTTGTAACTCTGTATTTATCCAGGTCTCAGTAGATTTGAAGCTCAATTTCATTCCCTCTGTCTCTTTTTATCTCTATCTCTCTATCTTCGTCAGGTGCTAATCGCGTTCAGTGAAGCTTCACTCGAAGGTAAATCAAATTGTGAAATTTGTAGCATGAATCTGAGATATCGAATAAATGTTGAATTTTTTGGTTTCTGCAAACGATTTCTGGATTTACCCAGCTCTTGCATGTATCAAATTTAACAATGCAACTGAGATGTATTGGATTGATTGTCTTGTACTTTGTCTATATATGTGCAGATTATTCGATCCTAGTACTTGTTGAAGCCTTTTCAATACCGCATTGTGTAAGCTGTTTTTTCCTTATACTTGTTTAATATTCAACTGTGGTCGAAGTGTGTGAATGTGATATTCATTTGTTTGTCTAATCGTACAAATTATCATCTTAAATGTATGTATTATTGGAGCTCGAGCTGTGGTCGTTTGGTTACAATATGGACAAGGCATGGGTTTGGCTTCCAAGGTATTCATTTTTGTTTCAACTGATTATTGATTGCAAATATGATTACATTTGTTGTATCTTTAAAAAGTTTGTAGATATTTGATTTCCGTTTTTATAACATACAGGGCTAGCCTTGAGTATGTCCAAGGAGCAACCGATTTTGTTAGTCTATCAACAAGAAGATTGGGTAATCCAGCCGAGATGTTTTGTCCTTGCGATCAATGTCGCAATGTTTGCTATCAGCTGAGAGACACAATAGTGGAGCATCTAGTGATTAATGGTATGGATCATAAATATAAGAGGAGCTCTTGTTGGACCAAGCATGGAGATATAAGGAATGATAGCTCAGAAAATGTTCCCATATCAGAAAGAGAGGCTTATGAGCTGCTTAGGACTGCTTTTTTCTGTGGTGAAGGGAATCCACAGTCAGCGAATGATAGTGGAGGTGAATACAAAGACAGTGACACCATAGAGGAAACTGCGTTTAGAAAGAAACTGAAGGATGCATAGATGCCTTTGTATCCAGAGTGCGGGAACTACACCAAAATTTCAGCAATAATGGCCCTATATCGCATAAAAGTGAAGAGTGGAATGTCTGAGAACTACTTTGACCAGCTGATGACAATAGTTCATGACATGCTTCCTGAAGATAATGTGCTTCCTAATTCAACGGAGGAGATAAAGAAGTTCCTGAAGATATTTGGGTTTGGGTATGATATCATTCATACATGTAAGAATGACTGCATTCTGTATCGGAAGCAGTACGAGAGCATGGAAAGTCGCCCACGATGTTGTACTTCTCGGTGGGAGATGGACAAACACAGTGGCGAGGAGAAGAAAGGGATTCCAGCAAAGGTCCTCAGGTATTTTTCCATTAAGGACAGATTCAGAAGGATGTTTAGGTTGAAAAAGATGTCTGAGGATCTGCGTTGGCACTCCAGCAATGCTAGTGAAGATGGTACAATGAGACATCCGGTTGACTCTTTAACTTGGGCCCAGGTGAATGATTCATGGCCAGAGTTTGCTGGTGAACCTAGAAACTTGAGACTCGGTCTTTCTACAGATGGGATGAACCCTTTCTCCACTCAGAATACCAAGTACAGTACATGGCCAGTGTTGCTAGTTAGCTACAACATGTCTCCGACTAAGTGTATGAAGGATGAGAATATTATGTTAACTATGTTGATTCCAGGACCTACTGCACCGAGTAACAATATTGACGTCTATCTAGCACCACTGATAGATGATTTAAAGGATTTGTGGGCTGAAGGTATTGAGGTCTACGGCTCTTTTCTTAAAGAGAACTTCACACTTAAAGCTTTGCTATTGTGGAGTATCAGTGACTATCCTGGATTAGGGACGTTGTCTGGATGTAAAGTGAAGGGCAAAAAAGCATGTAATGTTTGTGGGAAGGATACTCCTTCTAGATGGTTAAAGTTTAGCCGGAAGTACGTGTATATGGGCAACAGAAAGCGACTCAGACTAGGTCATCCTTACAGGCGCAGGAAAGCATGGTTTGACAACACAATTGAAAAAGGTACTCCAAATAGAATACAAACCAGAGCAAAAATATTTGACATTCTTAGTGAGTTTAGGAATGATTTTGGAAGACCTTTAGATAAGGAAACAAAAAGAAAGAGGTCGGAATTGTGTGAAGAAGAACTTTCTTCAGAGGAAGATGAGGAAGACAGTGACCAATGGCGATGGAAGAAGCGCTCCATATTCTTTGAGTTATTTTATTGCAAGGTAATTAATTTATTATTTTCACCTTAATTAGTATCTATTACAATCACTGAGGCTAATACTTTTAACTATGGCTTTTGTTAGGAATTACCAGTCCGACACAATATTTATATGATGCACATGGAGAAGAACATCTCTGAAGTTATATTGTCTACTTTGATGCATAGTACTAAGTCCAAGAATGGTTTGAAAGCAAGAAAAGATTTGGAAGATATTGGAATCCGAAGGCATTTGCATACTGAGCTACGGGGAAAGAGAACATACTTACCTTCTGCTGCTTTCTAGCTGTCCAAAGAAGAGAAAACAAGATTTTGCAAGAGGTTGTCTAAGTTCAGAGGTCCAGATGGCTATTGTGCGAACATAGACAATTGTGTTTCAGTCAGTCCACCATGTAGTGGAGGTATGAAATCACATGATCATCATGTTCTTATGCAAAATATGTTCCCTGTGCGTTGAGAGGTCTGTTGCCTTGAGGTCCTTGGATTGTGGTGACTCGAATATGCAACTACTTCAACAGATTGTGTCAACGAACACTTGATCATGATAAGCTGCTTCCTCTGGAGAACGAAATTGTGGAGACAATGTGTGAAATTGAACGATTTTTTCCACCATCAATGTTTGATATCATGTTCCATCTACCTTTACATCTAGCGAGGAAAGTACGTTTGGGAGGGCCTGTTCACTTTCGTTGGATGTATCCATTTGAAAGGTATTATCAGTTTTATTTCAGTCTGATTCATATATTCAATAGTCTCCTTTGTTAAATCAAGTTTTACATCATTGATGATCGTCTCTGATCAACGTGCAGGTACATGAAGACCTTAATAGCGTATGTTAAAAATTATGTTAGGCAGAAGCGTGTATGGCCGAAGGGTACTTGGCTGGAGAATGTATATCGTTCTGCTTAGAGTTCCTGGAAAGTTCAGTACATCTCGAACAAACGTTGAACTGTAATGAAGATGTTGAGGCTGATGACCTTGTCCTTGAAGGACGTCCTTTGCAGAAGGCCACTGAGGTCACTCTCTCAGACAAAGAACGAGACATAGCACATCGCTATGTACTGATGAACACGGCAATGATGGATCCATATATTGAGTAAGTACTAAAAATGAAGTGCATTTGGCTGATTTTTAATGTTATATATAGTGACTGTAATATTGTAGACTTGTTTGAAATATGTTGCATTTAGAAGAATTACAAGCTACGGATGCAAGATGTGCCAGAAATGAAACTTTACTATGGAAAACTCATACAGAACGATTTCCACAATGGATAAAAAAAAAGGTGCCATGATTTCTTTGTTAATTTTACATATTCAATGTTTTTGTTACCGAGATTTCTGTCATTTATAGGCGACATATATCAATACTTCAGATTCCAAGTAATTCAGATGCTCACTCCACTAAGCTAAGGTGGTTGGCTTATGGACCCAGACATACTGCTCAGAGTCACACGGGGTTTGTGATCAACGACCATAGATTTCAGATCAAGCGTAAGACTCGGAACAGCGGAGTGACCAATGAAGCTTTCTCTATGTGTAGATCTACTGCACGAGATACTAGACAAATGGCTGATATAGTTGGCTATTACGGAGTGAGGAGATTCTACTGCTTGACTATCACATGTTTTCCGTTCCAGTCTTCAAATGCACTTGGGCAAACACAGGGAATGGTGTAAAAGAAGAAGATGGATTCACGCTTGTTAACCTCCATATGAGTCAGTCGTCATATCTGCAAGATCCATACATCCTCGCATCACATGCAAAACATATATTTTATTCTAAAGAAGATGATTCTTCTCCATGGTATGTGGTCATGAGAGCGCCACCACGAGGATATCACGATTTAGAGTCAGAGGAGGAGGTCGCTAGTGTATCAATACCTTTAAATCAAGTTGATGAGTCATATCATGAATCTTCTGATGATGAGAGCTTCTGTGTTAGAGATGATTGTGAAGGTGTCCTAGTAGAATAAAATTAAGATTAGGTGAGTTTAATGTCATTTGGTATGTGGTTTTACAGGTTAAATCATGGTAAATTTGAGAGGAGGATTGGTTGGCCGCAATACGCGTCCAGGAGGCACTCAGGTGAAGAAACACAAGAAGAAGCAAGAATTTATAAAACAACGTGATGTGGAAAACGTTGCAATAGAGTTGCATGAAGAAGAAGTTACAACAGAATTGGTTGGTGATACACTTGTTGATGAAGAAAGACAGGACGATATTCTTAATCGTGAAGAACCAGAGCAGGAAGAGGTTCAGCAGCATCAAGAATGTACACAAAAAGATGGATTTCAGTAGTCTCAAGCAGAGATAGAGGAAGAAGATGTTCAGCAGCCTCAAACAGAGAGAGAGGAAGAAGAGGTTCAACATCATGCCGGAGATACACAACAAGAAGAAAAGGTTCAGTATCCTGAAGGAGGAGCAGAGCATACAGTCGAGGTGGAAAAAAAAAAGGGCTTATCAGGATGCGCAGAGTGGCAAAAGATCCAGATGACAAANGTTACATTATGAAAGAGTGGACTTAATGTCAATCAAAAGATAAAACTTTGGGTGAGATATATACCGTCACTTGGGTTTGTTTCCGTAGATGGAAACTCAATGATGTTGAAACCCTCCATGGCGTTGATCAGAGGTGGAAGAGTTGATTTCTTAGTTCTTACTAGCCGCAATGTGCAGATCCCTCCAGGGCATAGTACCGGTGGAAGCGTTAGAGTATGTTGCTCTAACTTGGGAGGACTAAAAGCTGAAATATTAGAGGATCCGTTGAAGAAAATGTCGAATTCCCTGGTTTCGTTGGCTCGTAAGGCTTGTATCTCGGCAAAGTGAAGGTACAGGTAAACGGCAACCGTAGGGGGTGTCGTGTACCAAGAGATCTCTAGGGGTAAACTTTTGTTCGAAGGGGTTGCCGCTGTTCCCAGTGCAAGTTTTGGGGTGTCATAGACTCCGGTATTACTTATACTGAGATTTGTGTTTATGATACGCCAGTCGTACTCTGGGAAGTATGGAGCCCAAATACGATCATGTATATCATGAGGATACCTGCAATAATAATTTTATGATAAAAGATAAAATGGACATGGATCCTCTCTTTGCCTACAAGGCTTGTTTAAATTGTTATAAACTTTCTTTTCTATAAAAACCCAAGTTTTGATCCCATCCCCCGGTCTAAAGGTCATAAAATTGTACAAGTTTGCTCATTACAGGTCTAAATGTACGCAACAAACAAAAGTACAATCAACCGTTATTGAAGCCTAATCTCTTTTCTTTGAGTTGTTTTTTTTTATTGCATTTTCTTTATGCACATTTCCCTTCTAAGTTTTAACCAGGAGTAATGTAATAAAAAAATGAGATAATGCAAGGGATTAAAAAAACTGTTAAACTCCTAAACCCTAAACCTTAATTACTATAAGCTGTTAGATTAAAAAAAATCAATTTGGCAATAAGTGAATTGGCATGTATCCCTTCGAGCATTTCATTGGTGAGATAGACACCAAATAAAAACATGAAATTTGTGATATGGGATTATCATGGGTACTCCCTCTGTTTCATATTAAGTGTCGTTTTAGAGTTTAATTTTTGTTTTACTTAAGTGTTGTTTTACATTTTCAATGCAAAACTTTAATATAGTTTTCAGATTTATCCCTAGTCTCCCATCTCATTAGTTTTGATAAAATCAAATAATGTTATGTATTAATTATGGGTACGTAAAACAGAAAACTTTAATGTATTCGTAAGATGTGTGCAAAAATCTTAAAGGACACTTAATATGAAACATAGGGACTATTTCAAAGCTTAAAATCCCAATTAACTCTCTCTATCTTCAATGTCCTAAAGTTTCACGAATTTCATCTCAAAGTAATTGCTAATGAATTGAGCAGAATAAATAAAATCACATTTATTTTTTTAAATGAGATCCCTTTATAATATGCTTCCTCAAATGGAGTTATTTTTGGTCAATTATGGACCAGTTTTTTTGTGTTTTCCATCTACTACACGTCCGAATATGTTGGATTCTGGTAGCATGTAAAAGTTTATGAGATATTAGCGAGTAAGCAACGACTAAACACTGAAGTAACCTATAGTCTAAGACTTTATAGCGTCATATTATCAGCGCAAAAAGCCAAAAACCCTAGAATACGTAAGCAACTGGTTGGCAAAAAAAAAAAAAAAAAAAAAAAAAAAAAAAAACAAAAGGTAAGCAACTGAAGTGAAAGGTAAAGAAGTTATATAGGTAGTTAATTTTTAATTCCATACGTCTCTCACGTTATGTTTCAAGACAGAGAGGGAGACAAAATGTACTTACCTTATATCGCGATATGAATCGTTAAAAAACATCCGGAAATTGCTGCTCAGCGAACCAAAACCAGGACCAGGACCATACACATCATTTCGAAATGGTCGTATTTCTATGGATGATATAATTGGCAATGTTTCTCCTGTCTTGACAAGACAGATTTCTAAAGAACTTGATCGTGGAGTGTGGATCATATCAACTCCTGTAACGTTTGTTTCCCTATCCAAATCTATTGACTCCCACTTATTAGGACCAAGATAGAGATCGAAGTTTGGGTAAGTATTAAGACCATCATAGTTTCCATATAAGAACATGGCTCCAATGAAATAAGTTGTGTCACGCGTGACATTCAGAGTGTAGCAATTTCGTAATCCTTCTGGAAAGTATCTCATAACCAAATATGGTTTTATGTGTTCTTTGTCGAAAGCTTTATCGACTCTGCCACTCTTTCCCGTCTGGATGAGGGTGGAATCTGATGTGAATACTAATCCACTATCAGGATCAATATAAGGAGATTCATCAACGGATAGGCCACAATCCAAACTGATGAATCCTGGTCAAACATAAAATGAAAAATTGAAGAAATAAATAAAATGCATCAACAATCATTCTGTTGAATAATTATGAAAACTCAAATTACCGTCTTGATTCTGTGGTTGAACAAGGTGTACAATGCAGAAGACCTCAATCACAACAAGCGTCAAAAGAAGACTTTTCATTTTCGTTTCTTGGGCAGTAAGAACACTTCTTACTCTGTAGAAGAGCAATACCTCTTATGGGTTGGGCAAGAGAAAATCAACATTCAAAATGTCAATTGCCATAAAAATGGAAAGAATGAGTAAATGAAAATGTCCCGTGATAGCTTGCAATTTTATTTTAATAAATGGGTTTCTTTTGTATAAAAGAAAACTACGTGGGTATCCATACTTTAATAAGTTTTCTGCTTTTCATTGTTTCCCCCTTTACTTTATGCAAAATATAGACCGAATCAAAAGACACCAAAAGTAAATGAAGGAAAATATATGCGAGAGTATGATATATCATGATTTTTATGGTTTTTCATCATGATATAGATCTTGTATATAGCATTTTTTTGATATTTTTAAGAGTTTTTACAGGTTTAGTCTCTGAATGCATTTGGAGATTAATTTGAGTTATTTAGAGCTATTTAGAGTTAAATCAGGATTCCTGCTGGAAAACAAAACAATTTGTCGTTCACAGACTTTTGCGTCGGACGATACCAGGGATCTGTGTCAGTCGACATACTAAAAAACGAAAATCTAGACTTCTGAAGAATTACAGTTTTGGCCCAGAATTTCTATTTATTTGCATAGCTGCCCCAAATCTTGTTTTAGACATTATTCTAGGTTCTTAAAACCATTGTTAGGCTGAAACTATTTCATACTTATTCTATTGAGACTTAGAGAGAGATTTGTAGCAGAGCTTTGGAGAGAAGATTCTGAACTCCTTTATCTCTATTCTTATTTCTTTTATGCAATCTATTTTATTCATGATGTTTGTCTCAATCACCATGTCTGAGTAGATTCCTTGTTAGGTTTAGGGTTTTTCAAAGGTTGAAGAAGAATTGCAATTGCTTAGGATAATCATTAGAGTTCTTCATCTGGATTGTGTTTATTGCTTATTCTAGCTTCGCGACCTAGAATCTGATCTTAGGTTAATTGGTAGACACGAAAGTGTTATTGATTTCCTGAACTATCTTAGATGAGCAAAATATCTATCTGCAAAGAAATTTGGTTTAGAGATTTTGTGAACTTATCAAACCTGATCATTAATGCTTGTTTGAATTGTTGAATTTGCAAAGAAATTTGGGATTCTAAGTTTAGACATAGATAATCTCTGCAACGAAAGTTGATTGGTTTTACAATTGTGATTTGAGTTCTAGAATGGTTCTTAATTAATATCCTGATATTTACTCTGCAATTCGGATTCAACCTGCGAATTTCCCAAGGCCTAACCTTTGTCTCATTGAATTTAACTTCGTTAATCATCACTGCTACTTTGTTTTCTTTATTTGCTTTACATTACTCATATCTTACTTAGCCTGATTTGAATCTGGAAATTCGTTGTGCAACTGATAGACGTTTGGATTCGATAACCCTATTTACGACTGAATTGCTATGCACTTGCAGTTAATTTTAGGGAGAACTTTTAACTTATGAGGTTTCACTACAGGAAAAACGGGTTTCAATAGCAGAGAAGGATAACGGTTTTTACATATCTGCTATCTTTGAGTTTTATATAGCGTTTGGTAATATTTTGGTTTCAACAAACGCTATCTAAGGTTGAGCGGCAAAAAATGTAAAAGTGGCGCTTCTCTTTTTACTTCTATTATATCAATACTCGAATGTAAAAACGCTATGGTAAGATACCCGCAAATCCGATTTTTTTGCCCGCCGAATTAACAAAAAATTATGTGGAATACATCGACAAAATCGAAATCGGAATTAAAGAAAAAAAAAGTTTCGTTCTTCGTTCTCTCATCTCGTATCCTCCCTACACCTCGATCTCCTTCATCAATTTGTAACTCTGTATTTATCCAGGTCTCAGTAGATTTGAAGCTCAATTTCATTCCCTCTGTCTCTTTTTATCTCTATCTCTCTATCTTCGTCAGGTGCTAATCGCGTTCAGTGAAGCTTCACTCGAAGGTAAATCAAATTGTGAAATTTGTAGCATGAATCTGAGATATCGAATAAATGTTGAATTTTTTGGTTTCTGCAAACGATTTCTGGATTTACCCAGCTCTTGCATGTATCAAATTTAACAATGCAACTGAGATGTATTGGATTGATTGTCTTGTACTTTGTCTATATATGTGCAGATTATTCGATCCTAGTACTTGTTGAAGCCTTTTCAATACCGCATTGTGTAAGCTGTTTTTTCCTTATACTTGTTTAATATTCAACTGTGGTCGAAGTGTGTGAATGTGATATTCATTTGTTTGTCTAATCGTACAAATTATCATCTTAAATGTATGTATTATTGGAGCTCGAGCTGTGGTCGTTTGGTTACAATATGGACAAGGCATGGGTTTGGCTTCCAAGGTATTCATTTTTGTTTCAACTGATTATTGATTGCAAATATGATTACATTTGTTGTATCTTTAAAAAGTTTGTAGATATTTGATTTCCGTTTTTATAACATACAGGGCTAGCCTTGAGTATGTCCAAGGAGCAACCGATTTTGTTAGTCTATCAACAAGAAGATTGGGTAATCCAGCCGAGATGTTTTGTCCTTGCGATCAATGTCGCAATGTTTGCTATCAGCTGAGAGACACAATAGTGGAGCATCTAGTGATTAATGGTATGGATCATAAATATAAGAGGAGCTCTTGTTGGACCAAGCATGGAGATATAAGGAATGATAGCTCAGAAAATGTTCCCATATCAGAAACAGAGGCTTATGAGCTGCTTAGGACTGCTTTTTTCTGTGGTGAAGGGAATCCACAGTCAGCGAATGATAGTGGAGGTGAATGCAAAGGCAGTGACACCATAGAGGAAACTGCGTTTAGAAAGAAACTGAAGGATGCAGAGACGCCTTTGTATCTAGAGTGCCGGAACTACACCAAAATTTCTGCAATAATGGCCCTATATCGCATAAAAGTGAAGAGTGGAATGTCTGAGAACTACTTTGACCAGCTGATGACAATAGTTCATGACATGCTTCCTGAAGATAATGTGCTTCCTAATTCAACGGAGGAGATAAAGAAGTTCCTGAAGATATTTGGGTTTGGGTATGATATCATTCATACATGTAAGAATGACTGCATTCTGTATCGGAAGCAGTACGAGAGCATGGAAAGTCGCCCACGATGTTGTACTTCTCGGTGGGAGATGGACAAACACAGTGGCGAGGAGAAGAAAGGGATTCCAGCAAAGGTCCTCAGGTATTTTCCCATTAAGGACAGATTCAGAAGGATGTTTAGATCGAAAAAGATGTCCGAGGATCTGCGCTGGCACTCCAGCAATGCTAGTGAAGATGGTACAATGAGACATCCGGTTGACTCTTTAACTTGGGCCCAGGTGAATGATTCATGGCCAGAGTTTGCTGGTGAACCTAGAAACTTGAGACTCGGTCTTTCTACAGATGGGATGAACCCTTTCTCCACTCAGAATACCAAGTACAGTACATGGCCAGTGTTGCTAGTTAGCTACAACATGTCTCCGACTAAGTGTATGAAGGATGAGAATATTATGTTAACTATGTTGATTCCAGGACCTACTGCACCGAGTAACAATATTGACGTCTATCTAGCACCACTGATAGATGATTTAAAGCATTTGTAGGCTGAAGGTATTGAAGTCTACGACTCTTTTCTTAAAGAGAACTTCATACTTAAAGCTTTGCTATTGTGGAGTATCAGTGACTATCCTGGATTAGGGACATTGGCTGGATGTAAAGTGAAGGGCAAACAAGCGTGTAATGTTTGTGGGAAGGATACTCCTTCTAGATGGTTACAGTTTAGCCGGAAGTACGTGTATATGGGCTACAGAAAGCGACTCAGACCAGGTCATCCTTACAGGCGCAGGAAAGCATGGTTTGACAACACAATTGAAGAAGATACTTCAAATAGAATACAAACCGGAGCAGAAATATTTGACATTCTTAGTGAGTTTAGGAATGATTTTGGAAGACCTTTTGATAAGGAAATGAAAAGAAAGAGGTCAGAATTGTGTGAAGAAGAACTTGCTTCTGAGGAAGAATATGAGGAAGACAGTGACCAATGGAGATAAGAAGCGCTCCATATTCTTTGAGTTACCTTATTGGAAGGTAATAAATTTATTATTTTCACCTTAACTAATATCTATTACAATCACTGAGGCTAATACTTTTAACGATGGCTTTTGTTAGGAATTACCAGTGCGACACAATATTAATGTGATGCACGTGGAGAAGAACATCTCTGAAGCTATATTGTCTACTTTAATGCATAGTACTAAGTCCAATGATGGTTTGAAAGCAAGAAAATATTTGGAAGATATTGGAATCCGAAGGCATTTGCATACTGAGCTACGGAAAAGAGAACATACTTACCTCCTGCTGCTTTCTGGTTGTCCAAAGAAGAGAAAACAAGATTTTGCAAGAGGTTATCTAAGTTCAGAGGTCCAGATGGCTATTGTGCGAACATAGCCAATTGTGTTTCAGTCAGTCCACCAATTATTGGAGGTATGAAATCACATGATCATCATGTTCTTATGCAAAATATGTTCCCTGTGCGTTGAGAGGTCTGTTGCCTTGAGGTCCTTGGATTGTGGTGACTCGAATATGCAACTACTTCAACAGATTGTGTCAACGAACACTTGATCATGATAAGCTGCTTCCTCTGGAGAACGAAATTGTGGAGACAATGTGTGAAATTGAACGATTTTTTCCACCATCAATGTTTGATATCATGTTCCATCTACCTTTACATCTAGCGAGGAAAGTACGTTTGGGAGGGCCTGTTCACTTTCGTTGGATGTATCCATTTGAAAGGTATTATCAGTTTTATTTCAGTCTGATTCATATATTCAATAGTCTCCTTTGTTAAATCAAGTTTTACATCATTGATGATCGTCTCTGATCAACGTGCAGGTACATGAAGACCTTAATAGCGTATGTTAAAAATTATGTTAGGCAGAAGCGTGTATGGCCGAAGGGTACTTGGCTGGAGAATGTATATCGTTCTGCTTAGAGTTCCTGGAAAGTTCAGTACATCTCGAACAAACGTTGAACTGTAATGAAGATGTTGAGGCTGATGACCTTGTCCTTGAAGGACGTCCTTTGCAGAAGGCCACTGAGGTCACTCTCTCAGACAAAGAACGAGACATAGCACATCGCTATGTACTGATGAACACGGCAATGATGGATCCATATATTGAGTAAGTACTAAAAATGAAGTGCATTTGGCTGATTTTTAATGTTATATATAGTGACTGTAATATTGTAGACTTGTTTGAAATATGTTGCATTTAGAAGAATTACAAGCTACGGATGCAAGATGTGCCAGAAATGAAACTTTACTATGGAAAACTCATACAGAACGATTTCCACAATGGATAAAAAAAAAGGTGCCATGATTTCTTTGTTAATTTTACATATTCAATGTTTTTGTTACCGAGATTTCTGTCATTTATAGGCGACATATATCAATACTTCAGATTCCAAGTAATTCAGATGCTCACTCCACTAAGCTAAGGTGGTTGGCTTATGGACCCAGACATACTGCTCAGAGTCACACGGGGTTTGTGATCAACGACCATAGATTTCAGATCAAGCGTAAGACTCGGAACAGCGGAGTGACCAATGAAGCTTTCTCTATGTGTAGATCTACTGCACGAGATACTAGACAAATGGCTGATATAGTTGGCTATTACGGAGTGAGGAGATTCTACTGCTTGACTATCACATGTTTTCCGTTCCAGTCTTCAAATGCACTTGGGCAAACACAGGGAATGGTGTAAAAGAAGAAGATGGATTCACGCTTGTTAACCTCCATATGAGTCAGTCGTCATATCTGCAAGATCCATACATCCTCGCATCACATGCAAAACATATATTTTATTCTAAAGAAGATGATTCTTCTCCATGGTATGTGGTCATGAGAGCGCCACCACGAGGATATCACGATTTAGAGTCAGAGGAGGAGGTCGCTAGTGTATCAATACCTTTAAATCAAGTTGATGAGTCATATCATGAATCTTCTGATGATGAGAGCTTCTGTGTTAGAGATGATTGTGAAGGTGTCCTAGTAGAATAAAATTAAGATTAGGTGAGTTTAATGTCATTTGGTATGTGGTTTTACAGGTTAAATCATGGTAAATTTGAGAGGAGGATTGGTTGGCCGCAATACGCGTCCAGGAGGCACTCAGGTGAAGAAACACAAGAAGAAGCAAGAATTTATAAAACAACGTGATGTGGAAAACGTTGCAATAGAGTTGCATGAAGAAGAAGTTACAACAGAATTGGTTGGTGATACACTTGTTGATGAAGAAAGACAGGACGATATTCTTAATCGTGAAGAACCAGAGCAGGAAGAGGTTCAGCAGCATCAAGAATGTACACAAAAAGATGGATTTCAGTAGTCTCAAGCAGAGATAGAGGAAGAAGATGTTCAGCAGCCTCAAACAGAGAGAGAGGAAGAAGAGGTTCAACATCATGCCGGAGATACACAACAAGAAGAAAAGGTTCAGTATCCTGAAGGAGGAGCAGAGCATACAGTCGAGGTGGAAAAAAAAAAGGGCTTATCAGGATGCGCAGAGTGGCAAAAGATCCAGATGACAAAGTATCTGTAGAATTCACAGATATTGGTGAACATGCTGGTCCTGGGTCAGTTACACTGTCGTCATTTGTGGGTCCACTAGTGAGGGAGCATGTTCTAGTACTTCTTGAGTTTGCAGATAAAATTGTAAGATTTCTCAATCATTTTTTATTGACAATCTCCATTTTTCACTAGTCATCTTATGAGAGAAATGTTATAATATATTTGATAGGAACAAATACAATCACTGCATAGTCAAATGGACTCTACAGCCAATGATAACAGAAGAGAAGATGCGGTTAGTCAAGTGTTGAGGAAAGACAAACCAGGACGAGTCAGAGGGATTGGCAGAGGTGTCACAGCAACAAAGCTAGCATTTATACAGTCAAGGGACTCTCATGTGCAGAAGCTAGAGGCAACACAAGCAGAATTACTTTGTAAAGTCACACAACTACAAAATAAAGTTTGTGATTTGGCTGGTAAACAGGTAAGATATCAAATGCTATAAGAGTGTTTGTTTATGGAATGTTAAATGCTAATGGAGTGTTTGTTTATGAACCTTATCTCTTCTTGTCAGAGTCAATGTAATGATGTGGGTTCTCAGTATGATGTGAGTGATAATAGCAACAGAGGTCCTTGGTGCCAGATTCTAGATTGATTTGCGGATGAGGATGTTATTGTCGGTGAAGGAGAGTTCTACTCTGCTGAACTAAATTACAAGATTGATCGTATTCCACTTGGCCCAAATGCAGCTGTTGTAATAGTGAAGACTGCCTTAGACCCGGAAGCATCTGTCTGGAGGCCTACATCATCTGTGTTCAAATTCGACCAAGCTGTAGGAGTCAAAATTGCGTGGCCTATATCTAAAATTATTTTGGATATGGAATTAGCTCGAATGGGAACAAGTTTCCTGGATCTACCGTAAGTGTTATTCTTTAGCTATAAGTACTATTAGCATTTTCAGATTTTACACTAAACTAAGTATACAAGTTCTTTTCATTAGGCGACAAGCACAGATGAATCACTGCAATTATGTAGCATTTTTTATTGGAACGCAGATAAAGTTGTGGCGGAGGGTTTACTTCAGTCAACGGACCCAAAAGAGATGGTCAATAATATACCTTTAGGCCCGAACGCTGCTGTACTGAAGATTACCAAGGTGATAAAAAATGACGCTTATCTGTGGAGACCTAGTGCTGAAATGTTTTTGATGGGTGCGGCAATTGATACAACTATTGCGTGGCCAATTCATAAGATAGAGTTTGTTGTGAAAGCTACACAGGCGGAATCAGCGAGAAAATCAACTACGGTACTTTCTTTTTTTTGTCAATGAACAAATATCCTATTTTTGTCATTACTGTGATGGAATTCTGATTATATGTTCGACTTATGGTGTCAAAGAGTGCAAGTAATAGCACTGGGACCAACAAAAATCAAGCTAAGAGGTGCATTCTCTTAGACTGCAAAAACTCAGTTGAAAGAGTGGCATTAGGTCGTGTCAGTTTATCTGATCCAGCAGATGTTGTGCATTTCGTCCCATTAGGTCATAATGCTAGTAAGGTGTGGGTGGATGTTTCGAAGATTGGTATTTTTGAGGTATGGAGACCAAATTCAGAGATAAAATTCTTAAGGGATGCCGTAGGCACTACAATCGCTTGGCCTAATGATAAGATAATTTTCATGTAATCTTGTTAAAGTACTCTTCTTTGTATTGATATAAGTTCAGCCTAATATCATAATCTTGTTAAATACTCTTCTTTGTACGTTTGTTTTATAAATAATCCTAACAAGCAATAAGGTTTCACATAACTAATGTACTTGTAAAAGTAATAAGCTATGTATCACGATAATCTTTAATGAAAATATATATGGTTACTATAGATTTAGGGCATGAATAGGGTTTACATAAATAATTCACTATTATAAAATATTTCTTAAAAATCTTGTTATATATAAAATGGTTTCTAAAGTAATTTTACAATACAATACAAATTAGTGTATGGTTTAGGGCATTGTTTAGGGTTTAGGGTATTAAATAGGGTACAAGAGGATTTAAGAAACAAACATGCATGGAACATGTCTATCCTACACATGCATGCATCAAATGAAAACCAAAAGATACCTAATGTTTCATAATTATTAATTATACAATCCAAAATCTTCAAATATGCAACATGTTAGGAACTAACTTAGTATTTCATTGTCACTTTAGTCTAAACCCTCTTTTGATGAGGTGATTTTCTGTTTTTGTTTTTCTTTATTTTTAAAAATATACGAAATTAAGAATAATAAGCTTATAATTATGAAATTAATCACATAATTTTTCGTGAAATATAATTGCTAGAATAATTGTTATAAGCTTCTAAAATTAGGCTTCATTAATTAATGAACACCCTTAAGCTGGGAGCCAATGACAGCAAAATAGACGTACACCGTTAGATATTTTTACTGCATACTCTTAACTATCAATCTGAACCGTCCGTTTCTGTGTTTCTTTTAACGAAGAAAGAGAGAGACTGTCTTTCACTTTCAGATCCGACACTTGACGGTTCCGCACTCCCAAAGCTAACATCTGTTTCCTTCCCTAAACCCAAAGCTCAGAAATTGACGAATTCATTCTCCCTACCGAAACTAAGGTTTCCATTTATATTTGTGTTGTCTAACGTTGCTCAATTCACAACAAACTCTCTTATATTTTCGTTTGTTGGATGTAAAAATTAGGAGGATCTTCCCTCACCGGGAACAGACAGAGTGCTTGAAGCTACGAAGATCTTCCCGCACCGGTATATTCGTCCCGTCATTTTTATCTTTCTTAATTTTTTGTTTGTAGCTTGCTCGATTGATGTTCATCTTCACTCATCCTCGAATACACAAAAAAGGAACAACATAATTATAGTCTAATCTTTCGATTGTAAAGTCGGAAATAAATTGAATAAATTGAATAAATTGTATCTGATAGCATAAATTTTTCCTCCCTTATTTGAAACTTTGACTCTTATTTGTTGGGGTTTAATTTAGGAATTTGTTTATTTTGTTCCACCATGAGATCTCTCTGAATCCCTAACTATGACTAAGATGAAAGATAATGATGCTCTATTTGATTTGTTCTGCAGATTCAGAAATGGCAGCAATTAGAGGCATAGTCTGCGGACTTCCGGCTAGAGGAATCATACCACAGATCCATCAACGAACTCAGGAGAAAGAGGTGCATATGGAAGATGCAGATGATGAACACGGTAGTGATGCGGAGTTCCTCACAGAAGAACAGTACTGCTGAGAAAGACAAACATGTGGAAGAAGCAGATGATGATGAAGGAAGTGATCTGGAGGTGCTCACAGAACATGAGTACCGAAAAGCTACAAACGACAAATACAAGTTGACCCGCATTGAGGAAGATGAAGAAGACATCGACCCAATGGTCCTCCGTGCTATCAGAAGAATGCAAGACAGTGCATGCAAATCCGCCCAACAAAGACGTCCCAAAGAAGAACAAGGTGAATCCTTCGGATGCAAGGTTCATAGTCGACACTAAGGAGAACCTCAATGCAATGTTTTTTTTTGGGTCTGTCATCATGTCGAACTTGCTATATATGTTTTGTAATGTCTTTTGTAACAAATATATATCAAATTAAACTATGTGTTTTGCAGTTTTTTTGAAGGAAACATATTTTGTATTAAATGTTTAATTACAATATTTTGTATTAAATCTTTAATTAATTACATTTTTCTTTTATATATTAAAAATTTAATTAAATTGTATAATTCTGGAATTTGTGAACGAATAAATTGTAAATCAAGAAAATGAAAAGAAATGAATACATAACATTTCATTATGCTATTATTTTACTAATTCATGATACTGATTACACGCTATTGTATTTTACTCTATCGCAGTATTAGAACACTATTGTAATTTAATCTAGTGCATATACTAAAACGCTATCATTAAAAAACTTAACATAACATTTCCAGAAAACGCTATATTAGGCCGGAGACTTTTTATCGCGGTTGATAATATAGCGTTTAGTTATACTATCATACGATAGTGTTTTTCCGACACTATTGAAACCCATTTTTCCTGTAGTGTTTTTGGCGCCGTTGCCAATCGTCTTGTTGTTGCCATCAGATTTCTAGTTCTAGAGTCTTGTCTAAGTGTTTCTTTTTGTTTTGTTACTCGCGCTCTACATTCTTTCTTTTTGGTGTTTCAGGTGTATGCCTCGCAGAACCAGAAGCAACAAGCGAAGAGCTACTCAATCTCACCAATCAAGAGCTAGCACACTTAGAGCGTACAAACAGAAAAGCCAAGAAGCCAGTCGAGATGGTCAATCACATAGTCTTGATTCGCGGTGAAGATGGGCTTCTGTTTGATCCAGAAGGGAACCGGTACAATGAGCAAGGGCAGAAACTCGATGCTGCTGGGAATGTGATTGTCCCAGAACCCTGCTGCACCTAACCCACCCCCCCTAACCAAGCTGCTCCTATTCAGCATAGCACACTACCCAATGAAGGAGCAGGAGAGCAGCGCACACTAGGCGACCACAACATATGATTTGTTCTATGCGAATCGCTCTGCGATCCGACCTCCTCCGTTCCAGAGGAATAACTTTGAGCTGAAACCTTCTTACTACACTCTTGTGGGTCAATCCCTTTCATGGTTATCCCACTGAGAAACCAATGGATCACATTGAGAACTTCGAAGACCTGGCCAGCAGCATCAAAGCCGATGGCGTGAGCATGGACTACCTTCTCTGCAAGCTTTTCCCTTACTCTCTTGCTGGGGATGCAGCTTACTGGCTAAAGCAGTTGCAACCAGGATCTTTGACAAACTGGGAGGATACTAAGAAAGCCTTTCTGAACAATTTCTATGATGATGCAATGTCTGAGGAGGCAAGGAACAACATCTCTACATTTCGTCAAGGACCTACTGAAGCGTTCAAGGCGGCTTGGGTTCGATTCAGGTCATATCAGAGAGACTGTCCACACCATGGTTTAGTGAGATTCAGTTGCTGGGCACCTTCTTTAGAGGCATTGATTGGCAGTATCAGATGGCTCTCGATGCTGCGAGCAATGGGAATTTCAACACCAGGTATCCACATCAGGCTTACCAACTTATTGAGAACTTGGCATCTAGCAATAGTACCAAGAATGCTGATTTAGAGAGGAAGAAGCTAGGTGGAAACATGGATAGAAGTCAAATTGCTGAGGTTAAGGCTAAGTTAGATTCTGTGCATGGCCTTCTTGTGGGAAAGAAATCAGTTCAATTTGCTGCTGAGGTTGAAAGTGTGGATGAAGAAGATGTTAATTTCATCAATGGAGCTGGGTTTCAAGGACAGAGATGGGCCAATCAACAAGGATATAATTCCTCTTATCATAAGCCTTATGGTTCTTCTTCTTACCAGAAACCTCCTGAACAAGACAATGAGATGAAGTCAATGCTTAAGCAACTTCTAGAAGGTCAGCAAAACATGACTGTGAGCTTTAATGGAAGGATGGATGCCATGTACCAAGACTTGAATGGGAAATTTGAAGCTTTGAGCACACATGTGAAGAAGTTGGATGTTCAAGTTGCTCAAAGTGCTGAGTCTATCAAAAGACAAGAGGGTTTTCTTCCTGGAAAGACCAATATCAATCCCAAACATTCATGTCATGCTATTATGGTGGAAACTGGAGCCAATTTCGTGGATTTTGAGAAGACTGCAACTGATTTTCGCACTGCAGAAGTTGTCGGGCGACACCACTGAACTGTGTCGGTCGACACTCATAGTGTCGGGCGACACCATCCTGTGTCGGACGCAAGTGATCTGCCAGAAGAAATTCTGCAAATTTCGGATTTTCAGGCAAATTCCTGCAAATTCCAGACTGCACCAGATCTTACAGAAACGTCCAAATCAGGTGCAGAAAGAGTCTATAAGCCTAAAATTCCTTTTCCAAGAGGTCCTAGGAAGTCTAAACAAGAGATTGAAGATGCAAAAGTCAAGGCCATGATAGACAAGCTGATGATTGAGATACCATTAGTTGATGCAGTCAATCTTTCACTGCACTAAGGAGGTATGTTAAGAGAATGGTTGTGAATGGTGTGAGTCCTGAGGAAGGAGCATTGCTTACCAAAGACATTAGTGATGTTCTCTTGAACACAGTCCCAAAGAAGAAGAAGGTGATGGTCTCTGAACAAGTCAGTGCTATAATTCAGAACAAGATTCCAGAGAAGCTACCTGATCCAGGAAACTTTGTGCTAGATTGCTCTATCTCAACAAGCAGGTTTCCTCATTCTCTTTGTGATCTAGGTTCCAGTGTAAACTTGATGCCTCTCTCTGTTGCTGCTAGACTTGGAATGACTGATTTCAAGCCAACTAGGATCTCTCTTATCATGGCTGATCGATCTAAAAGAATCCCACAAAGTGTCTTAGAGAATGTTCCACTTAAAATTGAAGGTCACTTGATTCCCACAGACTTTGTGGTTTTGGAATATGCTGAAGAACCTATAGATCCTCTTATTTGGGAAGATCCTTCTTAGCTACTGCTGGTGCTATCATTGATGTGAAGAAAGGGAAGATAGAGCTTGATTTGGGTGTTTTGTCATGAACTTTGACATGGACAATTAAGGAGAGATCCACCATTGATGGTCAGAGTTTTTCTGTGGAGATTTCTAAGGATGAAGACCCAATCATAGAGTATTCATATGACACTAGACCAATGCCCGCGCGTACGCACGGGTTTTGCTATTGTTATAGTCATTTTAAAATATTGGAAACCAACTATAATTTGTGATTAATATTATAAAATTTTACCCAAAGAGTAATGGCATTCTAATTATAACTTGTATATAAGTGAGTACTTTCAAATATATATTTCTTGCATTATATCACGGTTTTATGCCACCAATTTCCTTTGTTTACTCACCATTACATGGAACCGACTCTGTTTCCCTGCTATCGTTCTTCGCTAGATCCGTTTCTCCATATATTAGAAAATTTTAGATATTTAATAGTAATTAAAACGGAAAGTGGAAGGATAATAGTTTTAAAGTAACAAAGTGGTTTTAAATACAGCAATTGAAATGTTTAAAGTTGTTAACTGATTGAAAGGAAAATGAAAGGTTATTAACTTCAATTTAAGAATATGAAAAATCATAACATATGTCAATCAATAGAGTGTCCACATGTCCAAATTATGGAGAGAGTTGGCCTCTATTCATATATATGATTACTGTTAGGTATGTCAAGGAGCTAGATAATAGGGAGAAAGTGAACAAGGTTGAAGATAGGAGGAGAGGCTTAGTTGGTGATCATCTAATAGCCCAAAAGTCTCCAATAAAGTAACGGTATGCACTTCCTGGAATCAATTTAAAACCCCCTAATCTTGTCATAAAACCTTAATATGTGCAAAAGATATTTCACACTTATGCAAGCAACAAGATTCTCGTAGAAGGCTTGGTGTTTCTTTTGATAATTCTGCAGGAAATAGAAGTGTCCCACCCAAACTCACATCCCGCCATGCTGGTATTCCTCATTTCCTTGATCGTCCTCATACTCCTAATTAGGCCTGCAACTTCGGTTAAACCAAACTGAACTTGTCGGTTAGTTTGGTTTTCCCGTTAGTTCGAATTTTGAAAAATCCACCAAATTAAACCGAAATTAATTTTGGTTTGGTTCGGTTCGGTTCGGAACTCGGTTAGTACGGTTATCTTAAACTTCACCGAAATTGAAAGAAATTTCATTAAATTCAAAAAAAAAAACAGTTCAACACAATAAATTCGGTTCAGTTCTCCTTTTTTTTCGCCAACTTCAGGCTTGATAACACTGGGGAAAGTGTTGTTTAAGTCTGGGGGAGGTGGCTACTAACATTATGTTCGTTTTTTAGAGTGAGTTGTGTCGTTTTGAGTGAGTCCAAAATTGTTTTATTAAGTCAAAATCAGTGAGGAAGCGAAGACCTTCCCTAGGAGCTTACCTTATCAAACTGACGTTCTTGCAATTATAAGGGGCGGACATCAGCAGCGGACTTAGCCGATCAGAATGTCTCTAGCGGATCGATTTCCGGATCATAACCGTATCTCTTAGGTACTCAACTCTCTGATGTCTAACTCCTCGCATAAACCTGACTTTTAAATTTCTTAGCAAGGAGTTTGGTATACATATGAGTATGATTTTTCTTTCAGTCCAGCCAAGACAAGTTTTTTTTTGGTCGAAAGTCCAGTCAAGACAAGTTGATGTATACTATTATTATTATTATTTTTATTTATATTTATTGTTTTATATTATATCTCTCTCTTTTCCTAACACAAAGGGAAATCTAAGGACGACACCCTTGGAAAACAAAATTGATGAAGGTCTGTCCAACTGATCTTCTAACTCCATGATGAAAGTAATAAAAAGGACCGGGAATTGGTGGCTCCAACCATCACTACTCGCGCTCTAAATAAAAGCTGATCCGGACAATGGGGGAGAGAGAGAGAGAGAGAGAGAGAGAGAGAGAGAGAGAGAGAGAGAGAGAGAGAGAGAGAGAGAGAGAGAGAGAGAGAGAGAGAGAGAGAGAGAGAGAGAGAGAGTATTAGTTTTAGGAGCTTGACTTCATTGGTACTTAAAGAGGTAAGAAACATAAATGCTACTTGATTGATAACCTCTTGGTTGAGAACTCACGCTTTCAATACTTTAAGGAATTGGCTTTAGAGTTTTGAGTTGCTTCATGAGATTTTGTGTTTGGTTTGGTTTGAATTCCAAGTTAGTGTCCGCTATGTGAAATTGGTATAATGTTGGTTATGTTCTGACTGAGAGTAGAGGAAAAGGTTGATCCAAGTTCTGAAGGGTAAGTGAGTTTCTGCTTTTCAAATCTCTTTCTCATGTCTTGGATTTGATTTGCCTAAGGACATGCAAAGATCTAAGTCTTGGGGAGTTAATATATGGTTTTTATGGGTTTTTCACCATGATATAGGTCTTGTATATAGAGTTTTTTTGGTATTTTTGGTGTCATTTAGAGTCTTTACAGGTTTAAATGTCTGTGGATGCATTTTGAGATCATTTGGAGCAATTTGGAGTTAAATCATGATTCATAGTGGAAAACAAAACAATTTGTTGTTGTTCACATACTTTTGCGTCGGCGACACCAAAGATCTGTGTCGGTCGACACACTAAAAGACGAAAATCCAGACTTTTACAAAATTACAGTTTTGGCCCAGAAGTTTTGTTTATTTGCACAGTTGCCGCAAATCGTGTTTTAGACATTATTTTAAGTTCTTAAAGCCATTGTTAGGCTGATACTTTTTCATACATGGATTCTATTGAGACTTAGAGAGAGATTTGTGGCAGAGCTTTGGAGAGATAGATCAAATTCCTTCAGAGAAGATTTTGACTCCTTTATCTATATTCTTATTTCTTTTATGCAATCTATTTTATTCATGATGTTTGTCTCAATCACTTATGGTGTAAAAAACAAGAAGCTAAGAAGAAGAGACGAAAAAGTATTACCGAAGAGAAGGAAGAATTGGAGAAGAAGAAACGAAGAAGAGAAAGAAGACAGTAGCAGCGACATGTCTATGATTTTTTTAGATTAACCGGTTCACATAAACCAAACCATAAATATATTGTTCATATGGTGATTAGTACATACCGAGTTATTGCATAGATTTAGGATTTTTTTAGATTAACCGGTTCACATAAACCAAACCATAAATACATTGTTCACATGGTGAATAGTACATACCAGCGTTCCTCTTTCTCACACCTTCTTCTTTTCAGAGTTAAGAAACTATAAATACATTGTTCACATGGTGATTAGTACACACCGGGTTATTGTATAGATGTTTTCCTTCTTAACGAACAAAGTTTACTCTAGAAAATAAGTAAAATAAAATTACCGGTTTATACCGCAAAGCGTTCCTCTTTCTCACACCTTCTTCTTTTCAGAGTTAAGAAACTATAAATACATTGTTCACATGGTGATTAGTACACACCGGGTTATTGCATAGATGTTTTCCTTCTTAACGAAAAAAAAATTACTCTATAAAATAAGTAAAATAAAATTACCGGTTTAGACCGCAAAGCGTTCCTCTTTCTCACACCTTCTTCTTTTCATAGTTAAGAAACTATAAATACATTGTTTACATGGTGATTAGTACACACCGGGTTATTACATAGATGTTTTCCTTCTTAACGAAAAAAATTACTCTAGAAAATAAGTAAAATAAAATTATCGGTTTAGACCGCAAAGCGTTCCTCTTTCTCACACCTTCTTCTTTTCAGAGTTAAGAAACTATAAATACATTGTTCACATGGTGATTAGTATACACCGGGTTATTGCATATATGTTTTCCTTCTTAACGAAAAAAAAATTACTCTAGAAAATAAGTAAAATAAAATTACCGGTTTAGACCGCAAAGTGTTCCTCTCTCTCACACCTTCTTCTTTTCTGAGTTAAGAAACTATAAATACATTGTTCACATGGTGATTAGTACATACCGGGTTATTGCATAGATGTTTCCCTCCTTACTATTTTCATGTTTACTAATCTCATTTTGATTTCGATGCAGAGAAGTTATGAATGGAAAAGCAACCAAAAACTCTTTCTTAATCAGCAAGCAACTAAACAAACGATCAACGGTTAGTCTCCATCTATGACGTATAAACAAATAGTTTCTCTTTATTGCTTCACATACCTTTACGATGGTAAGTTTTTCAAAATAGGTTGATGAATCCAAGTTAAGGCTTCTTTCGGAAGCAATACACGTCCGCATCTGGAAATATGAAACTAATCCTAGAAAAAGAAAATGTAAGTCAACGTGATATTAAAAATAATTAGAGATTTTGTACACGTTTTCGATTATGAAAACACAAGGTAATTTGGATCATGGAACAAGCGAATTCGTCGTATCAGTTTATTATTTGAAGTGTTCAAAGAGATTTATTAGACTTATTACAACTTTTTTTTTTCATTTAAACTGTACTAAATTACATATTAAATTATTTGATGAAAATTTATTGTTTATTAATGAAATAGCTGATCACTAAATTAATTTATATCACAAGACTAGATATCGAATCGAATACGGATTCGATTTCTCTCATTCCCCCAAATTGTGCGACTTTTTCGTTGGTGCAAAATATTAAACAAACGGTCTAAATGCCACAAATGCTAATGTTAATTTGATGGATATAAAACATGTGAAATTAACTTATTCGTTTTAGGACCATACTCAAGAAGAATTATTACAACCCAAATATTTACCACTTAATTTATCACTTTTCGTTTTATTATTAATTCAATAATTTAGTTAACTTCAAATTAAAATTAACACCGATAACTGTGTAACTCTAAAAACTAAAATCTTCAAAAATCACAACATCCCGGGTCAAGTGCTAGTTGTAAGATTGATTTAGGCACATTTCATAACTTTTTTCTTGTGCGACTGTTAATTTTCCATTAATCCACAATTCATTACAAACTAATAAAGGCTGTTTCACAAAACATAATTATTTGGTTGAATATCATATTGTAGGCACGTCACTATGACTGGACATTTACTTCGTCATATATGGAGATTTAAAATCAACTTGATGGTTCTTTAACAAAAAATCAAATTTGTTACTGGTGTTAATATGTTTACTCAACATGGATATATATATTTATCATTACTCATCCGGAGACATGGTCAAAGACAAAGACCTATATGGGAGAATGTTTCACCACTCATCTATAGATATGAAGATATGGTCAACGATATGAAGACTTTTTTCTTGTGCGACTGTTAATTTTCCAATTTCCACATTTCATTACAAACTAACTAAAACTGTTAAGGCTGTTTCATAAAACTTAATTATTTGGTTTAATAACATATTGCAGGCACGTCTCTACCCTCGACATTTACTTCGTCATATATGGTGATAATTAAAATCAGCTCGATGGTTCTTTAACAAAAAAAATTCAAATTTCTAATTGGTGTTAATATTGTTTACTCAACTTGGATTTATTAATCATTACTCTTAGGCTTCCGGATACATGGTCAAAAATATGAAGACTTATACGTGAGAATGTTTCATCACTAATCTGTAGGGTTATCTCAAGCATAAGACTTTCTTAGAGCTCTTGTATGGTGAACAGAAAATGGACGTCCATCACAAAAAAAAATGGCCCCTGATCATGTTCACTTTTGTTGTTATGCATCTTGTTCAAGCTCAGGATCAACAAGGTGCATTCTATTCTAATGGTCATAATATATAATATTTATGTACTTAGTGTTGTTTTATTTTCATTTTGAGGACATATCTTTCAAAAACAAATTGAACTGTTGCCGTAATTAGATGTTTGTTTTTTTGGTGCAAAGGGTTGAGATGTTATATCTGGGGAAGAAAACTTCTCATCCTTATTTATGTTCTTTTCTTGTCGACGAATCTGTTTTGAATGTTTGTCAGGATTCATCAGCTTGGATTGTGGATTAGAACCTAACAAGTCTCCATATCTCGAACCCACAACCAAATTGAACTTCTCATCTGACGACAATTTCATCCAAGGTGGAAAACGTGGTAGAATTGCGAATGAGTGGTGGTATGACTATAAACAGTATAATGCTTTGAGATATTTTCCAGAGGGAACACGGCACTGCTATAATTTGAGTGTCAAGCAAGGCATCAATTATCTAATTAGAGCTGGTTTCGCATATGGAAATTATGATGGCAAGAATACCTATCCCAGATTCGATATACACATTGGGCCTAATTTGTGGGCTACAGTGTCTTTTGAATATGATGATCAACAAGAATTTGAGATCATTCACATGGCAAAGTCAAACTCCTTGCAGATCTGCCTTGTCCAGACAGGAACAACTACACCTTTCATATCAACCTTGGAGCTACGTCCTCTAAGAAGTGATGCTTATTCCACGCAGTCAGGATCTTTGCAATTAGTAAGTCGGGAATTTTATAAGGAAGCTGGCTCAAGCATACGGTATGTTTAGTCTCCGTGATTTTCTTATATGCCAAACCGTTGAACTTTGATTTAGAGGTCAGTTTTAAAACACTAACTGAACATAACATGATTCATTACATAATTCATGGCCAACAAAATTTTTTTCGTGCCAGGTATCCTGATGATGTTTATGATCGTAAGTGGTCTCGAGCATACTATACGTCTGACGAACAAAAAATAATAAACACAACCCTCACTGTGAATTCCTCTAATCCATTTCGACTACCTGAAGTTATAGCTAGGTCCGCTGTAATTCCTATCAATGCCAGCGAAACAGTTCGATTTTCCGTGTATACTGATAACCCAAGCAACGTTATTATTATTTTTTTACACTTCGCCGAGGTCCAAGACCTTGGAGCCAACGATACCAGGGAATTCGACATTTTATGGGATGAAAACATTATAAAGTCGGCGTATAGTCCGAAAAAGTTACAGATAGAAACCATATTTAACACATCACCAAATAAATGTGATGGTCAATCGTGTTACATGAAGTTGGTGAGGACCCTGAAGTCAACTCTTCCACCACTGCTTAATGCTTATGAGGCTTACAACGTTATTGAATTTCCATATTCAGAAACATATCTAGCCGATGGTACGTCAATTTTGTCTTCTTTTCTCCATATTTTTGCTCATATATAGTTTTCTATATTCCGTCAAAATTTATTAGAAATCTTACATCAAAAGTTAGGAACCTACCATATAATGGAAATATTTGGTATAAATTGTCTGGTTTTTTCAACCTCTATGCCAGTTGATGCTCTCAAAAACATCCAAGCCGCATATAAATTGAACATAACCAGTTGGCAAGGAGATCCTTGCCTCCCTGAGCTATGGAAATGGGATGGTGTGGAGTGCATGTATACAAATAAGTCTACTCCCCCAAGAATCATTTCCTTGTAAGATCTCTCTCTCTCTCTCTCTCTCTCTCTCTCTCTCTCTCTCTCTCTCTCTCTCTCTCTCTCTCTCTCTCTCTAAAAGTAAACTTAATTGTATCTCCGATAAAAAGTTTAACATAATATGTTATGCTCTGATATCTGATCATGTAAACAGAGAATTACGATCAAAAGGGTTAATTGGGATCATAGTTCCTGGTTTCCAAAATTTGACTCAACTACAAAGACTGTGAGTATCTTGAGCCTTAATGTTGATTTGGCTAGAATTTCTCTTTGATGTTAATTGACATTGTTTTCATTGTAGTCAATAGTAGCACCTAAAATTTCCTAATATACTTCTATGAAGCAAATATACAACATTTTCTATGTTCAAATTAATAACATATAGGTCATTAAGGGCATACAATATGATCACCAAAGAGTTATATTCACTTCAATGTTAACCTAGATAATCTTTGGTAATGTGACCTCGGTTTCTTCTATATTTATCGCCATATTCTTAATTCAAAACTAAAGATGGGAAAACCAAAACTGTTTTAAATTTGAAGACATCAAATCATGACTTTTAATTTGCTTACAAACGGTAGGGACTTATCAAATAACAGTCTGTCTGGAAGCGTGCCTGATTTCCTAGCCACCATGAATTCATTGTTGATCATGTAAGTATTTTTCTTAAATAAAAGTTCAAGTCGATCATGTAAGTTGTTTCGGGAAGCAGAATAAATATAAACTTGTCTGATATCTTTTTGTTGTTTTCTTTTTTAAGAAAACTTGTCTTGTCTTGATCTTGTCTCAAATCTTTGCACCAGACTAGTGTGTATTTCGGGATGGGAAACCCGTTGTACCCTTACCTGAAATTTTCCAAATTTTTCGGGAATGAGAAATTACATTTTCCTGTTTGGGAAACATTTTTTTTTATTCAAACGGGTAAAGGAAGGGTCTGGGAGGGTACAAGATTTCCCGATTGCCCTGCTTAAAAGTTATAAATTGAACATTAGTAACTTTTTTCTTTAATATCCCGATTTTTCTCATATTTTCCTAAATTATTCGTATTTTGCCTAATTTCCCATATATTCTTATCTTTTACCGAATTTTCATGTAATTTTCCAAAATATCTTCAATTTTCTCGATTTATTAAGATTTCAGGTATTAATTTTTTCTTTCCAAATTTCTCATTTCCTTCTCATTCTTGTTATTTTCCGTCCCGTTAAAATTAAAGAATACTTTATGTAGCATATTTGGTTTCCCAAATTTCGCTCCCGTCCAATTCACGTCCCAAATTAAAACCCCAAATGCATATGGCTACACTAGACTGACTTAATTTTTTTTCGGGTAACTTTCTTACTCGACAGAAACTTAAGTAGGAACAAACTCAAGGGTCGGGTTCCGCAAGTTCTTCGAGACCGTAAGAAGAAAGGCCTACAGTTGCTGTAAGATTTTCACCTTTTTTTTCTTCGCTTTCTCAGAAGTTTAAGTGACACATGTGGTCTGCAGGATTGAAGGAAACCCAAATCTTTGTGAGGATGATTCATGTAAAACTACAAACAAGAAAATCGTTAGACCAATTGTTGCGTCGATTGCTGGTTTGGTTATTATTGTGGCTCTCCTGGTTCTCTTTTTTGTTCTTATGAAGAAAAAAACGCCAAAAGGTACATTACATAGATATTTTACTTGGCCGGATCTCAGGCAAAATAAAATATAAAACAATATTTTTAAAAATCGTGACAAAGAAATATTAACATGCATTCTTATGAGTTTAGATATCATAGAAGTCATGATTAATGTTAAATCACATGGTAATAGTACAACGATAGTCTTTTCCATTGACAACTTAGCTAATGTCAGTTTTTCCTATTTTTCTTCGTTAAAATTGGAGACTTCATTCATTTGCATCATGGGCATGAGAACATACCCGGATTGATTATTATCTATGTATACAACTGATGAGAGAAAGGGGTCGACGGAGAGAAAGAGGAAATCTGAAGAATCTAGAAATTGAAAAGAAATAAAATAAAATGTTTTAAGAAATATCAATTTTTTAATTTTAATATTTGGGGTTTAATTTTAGTTTTAAGATTTGAGCTGTTATTGGTTCAAGTAAAACCCTAAAATTTAAAGTGAATTTTGAAACTGATGTTAAAAGCCTTCCAAATTACTCTGTCTGTTTCAATATGTAAGGGGTTTAAGAGTTTTTTTTGTTTCATATTATAAGAGGATCTCAAATTTCATGCAAAATTAAATGTATTTATTTTATGAATTGTACATATTGTTTTTTCAATAGTTGAAATATTTGGAATTGATGATATAATATATTTTATTTTTAAAATCTAAAAAATCAAATGAGTTTTTAATCTATGTGCAAAAACCTTAGATCCCTTACATTATGAAATAGAGGGAGTAAAAACACTTAACATCACTTATGCAAATGATATAAACAAAATGACACTATCTATCTGATTTCTTGTAGAGGTAGCTCCAAACCAACATCATATTACGTCATCAATTTTGACAAAGAAAAAAAGGTTTACATATTCTGAGGTTGAGGTTATGACAAATAATTTTGAAAGAATTATTGGAGAAGCAGGGTTTGGAAATGTCTATCATGGTTCCTTGAGTGATACCGAAAAAGTAGCTGTAAAATTGCTCTCCCAGTCACCAACTCAAGGCTACATGCAATTTAAAGAAGAGGTACTATATTACTCTACAAAACATGACTTATTATGAGCAACTCACACTATATGTTCATCACATGGTTCAATATCAGGTGGAGCTACTTCTGAGGGTTCACCATGTAAATTTGGTAAGTCTAGTTGGATATTGTTTTGAAGAAAATCATCTGGCCCTCGTTTATGAGTACACATCCACAGGAGATTTAAAACAAATGTTGTCAGGTATATTCCCATTTCGGTAACTATGACCTCTTGCTATATATAGTAATATTTGATCTTACTTATGTTAATATCAAATATATGATACTTCCTCCGTTTTTAATAGCATGATGATTGTTCTAGAATTTTTACACAAATTAAAAAAAAAAAATACTTATAAATGCATCATTTTCTCTCACCATCCACTTTTTCATAACTATAAACCAATTAGTAACAATTCAACAAATTCAAATATTATCAATTAAGATTTTTTAAAGTTTGCAATTTATTAACATCATGTTGGATCTCCTAATCTTTCTAGACTCGTTGAATTGTTGACAAAAAAAAACAAAAACCTAGAAAATCAATCTTTCTGAAACAACCCTAAAAAATTCGATCTTCTATAAACAAGGAGAGTATTAACAATTATGTGACGTGAGTATAGGAGAACGTGGTGGTACCCCTTTGAGCTGGGAAAATAGACTAAACATTGCAACAGACATTGCACAAGGTACCGTTTATGTGTATCACTATCATCCATCATCAATGATTTTGCATTCATCTTCAATTTATAAGTTACGTTTTCTTCCCACAGGACTAGAGTACTTACATACAGGATGCAGACCACCAATGGTTCATAGGGATGTCAAGACTACAAATATACTTATCGATGAGCACTTCCAAGCTAAACTTGTTGACTTTGGGCTTTCTAGATCAATTCCGATTGGGAATGAAAGTCATATATCAACAATTGTCGCTGGTACTCCAGGATATCTTGACCCTGAGTAAGTTTAATTTGGAACATTGATCGTAACTAAATTTGTCTTCGTTTGCCATTTGAGTCATTTCCTATCTTTTTTTTTTTTTTTTCAGATATAACCAAACAAACTGGTTGACTGAAAAGAGTGATGTCTACAGCTTTGGGATTGTGTTGTTGGAAATTATCACAAACCAATCTGTGATAGATAGACACCGTGAAAAGCCTCACATTGCGGAATGGGTTGGTGTTATGCTTACCCAGGGAGGTATTGAGAATATTGTAGACCCAACTCTCGCTGGGGACTATGACTCAAGTTCTATCTGGAAGTTTCTTGAACTCGCCGTAGCATGCGTGAATCCTTCTTCTGTGGGAAGACCAACCATGTCTCACGTTGTTAATGAATTAAAAGAATGTCTCGTATCTGAGAGCTCAAGGAAAGGAGGCACAACAGAGGTCTACTCAAAGAGTTCTTTTGAACCGAACATGCAATTCGCAGCCGAGGTAACCCCTGTTCCACGCTAACAGTGTAAGAGCTTATAAGGAGTCCCCTTGTGACAAAGATTGAAACAGTGTTATTTCCTTTCTGTTGGTGTACTAGATTTGTCTCTCTTTCATCTTCCTTCTTACGAAAAAAATGAGTGAATGAAGCTTTTACTATATTTTCCTCTTGCATGATTGAATTATCATATACTATTTCATATATGTAATTACTATTGGTCTTAAAATATTTTTATTTAATTATGGATGATGGCCAAGAACTTGAAGGTATTACACGTACCGTATATGTAACACTCATACACTCTTACCTTATACACGAGACACATTTTCGTGTAGCATTACATCAATATCATCACACTAAGGATATCTAGGATCGATCTGTTGTCCTGGAAGCTACGTAACCAAACTCAAACCACCGTAGAAGACAGGACCTCCACCTCCACGTTGATCTGACTACTCAAGCCAGTCAATGTCCGCCTGACCGTTCGGGTTTCACAATGTCAACAATATATTAAGCTTCACAACTCAAGAGGCCATTTCACAAGGCAATATTATGTCGTAGCCACGTCTATACCTGGGGACATTCTGCTTCGTTGTATAGAGGGAGTCATTTTCGTGGTCCTGTTGGGCTTAAATTATATCTCAACTTGTTGGTTTAAATATTTTTTAGACAACTTGGATACATTTTGTCGACGCTTCGAAGACTTATATGGTTAACAACTTATCTTGTAGGGTTATCTTCAACCATCAAAATTTTGTTAGGACCCCTTGTGTTTTGAGTTGAAAATGGACGGCCATCAGAGACTAAAAAGGGCCTCGATCATGTTCACTTTTGTCGTTTTACATCTTGTTCAAGCTCAGGATCAACAAGGTATCCGCATTGTATAATGTTATAAATCAACAATCATCCTTTTCCTTTAAGTACATTTCTTAGTTTTAATTCCAGTCTTATAAAAGACTATGGTGTGGACATATATCTTTGGAAAATTTTAAAATGTTTCCTTGATTAGTGTTGAGATGTTTGATTGGAGGATTAACTCTGCCATTTTTTTTTAATCACACATATTTGTTTTGTATGTTTGTCAGGATTTATCAGCTTGGATTGTGGATTAGAACCTAACCAGTCTCCATATCTCGAACCAGCAACCAATTTAAGTTTCTCATCTGACCACGATTTCATCCAAACTGGAAAACGTGGTAAAATTGCGAAAGGATTGTCGTATGAATATAAACAGTATAATGCTTTGAGATATTTTCCAGAAGGAAAACGACACTGCTATAATCTGAGTGTCAAGCAAGACATCAGTTATCTGATTAGAGCTGGGTTCGCATATGGAAATTATGATGGCAAGAATATCTATCCAAGCTTCGATATATACATTGGGCCTAATTGGTGGGCTACAGTGTATGATGATCGAAAAGACTTTGAGATCATTCACATGGCAAAGTCAAACTCCTTGCAGATCTGCCTTGTCCAGACAGGACCAACTACACCTTTCATATCAACCTTGGAACTACGGCCTTTAAGGAATGATTCTTATTCTACGCAGTCAGGTTCCTTGCAACTCGTATACCGGCATTTTTATATAAGCAACTTAGACGTAAGGTATGTCATCTCTTCAGCAATTTTTTTATATCCTAAAAATAAAATTCTAAAATTTAATTTAATTCAAAGCTGATTTTAAGAAAATAACTATCACATTTGATGTAACATAATTTAATTTCTCTGCGCAGGTATCCTGATGATGTCTATGATCGTCTATGGTATTCAAATAGTTGGTTTGGAAATGATGCAGAAATAAACACAACCCATACTGTGAACTCCTCTAATGCCTTTGTAGTTCCGCAAGTTATAGCTAGGTCCGCTGCAATTTCTGGAAATGCCAGTGAACCATTGTATTTTTTCGAGTCTACAGATAACCCTAGTGATAATATTATTATTTATCTTCACTTTGCTGAGATCCAAGACCTTCAAGCCAACGATACGAGAGAATTCGACATTGTATGGAACGAAAACATTACAAATTCAGCGTATACTCCGAAGAAGTTAGAGATAGACACCATATTCAACACATCACCTGGTAAATGTGATGATCAAACGTGTTACATGCAGTTGGTGAGGACACGAAAGTCAACTCTTCCACCACTGCTTAACGCTTATGAGGTTTACAAAGTTATGGAGCTCCCACACTCAGAAACACATCCAGGCGATGGTACGTTAATTTTGTCTTTTTTTTCCCCCATATTTGTTAGAAATATTCTTTAATTAAAATTCAGGAAAACCATAACCTACCATATAATAGTATGATTTCGTATAAAATTGTTTGGCTTTTTCAACCTCTATCTCTATCCCAGTTGATGCTATAAAACATATCCAAGCGGCATATAAATTGAATATAATCAGTTGGCAAGGAGATCCATGTCTCCCTGAGCAATGGAAATGGGACGGTGTAACGTGCAACTATACAAATAAGTCAACTCCCCCAAGAATCATTTCCTTGTAAGATCTCTCTCTAATACACCTTTGCAGCTGAAATCGTTGCCTCTGTAAGTATCCTCTTATTGAAATTCCTTCTGCTCATGTTAACAGAGAATTATCACGACACGGATTAAAAGGGATCATAGACCCTGCCTTACAAAATTTGACCCATCTAGAAAAACTGTAAGTATTTCTTTTTTCATAACAAATAATGCTTCTGAAAAGCTTTTCTTAGTTATCTTATTATATAAAATTAAATATGCGATGTGAGCGCGACATGTAGAATATATTCTTATTTGTGAGATAGTGACACATGTCATTGTTAGTTTCGATTGTGTCACATGTAAAATTTATCTTAAGAAGAGGCAAGTAGGACATATAGATAATTGATATATTTAATTATAGTATACTTATTCACTTACAGACTTACTTACAAATATATGATAATTTACATGTGTGACAAATTTTAAATAAACATAGTATCAAATGACTTTTATAACTATACCAACGCTAGGGATTTATCAAGGAACAGTTTGTCTGGTGGAGTGCCTGAGTTTTTGGCCAACATGAAGTCATTGTCGACCCTGTAAGTTGATTCGGAAGCTATATGCTCCAAAGAAATTTACCCAGATTCCAATTATTAAATTACTTTTACTATTTTATCTTCCTCTCTTTAGAAACTTAGGTTGGAACAAACTTAATGGTGCGATCCCTCTAGCCCTTCTCGATAGAGAAATGAATGGGCTATCACTAATGTAAGGTTTTCTTCATAAGTTTCCGTCCCATTTTTTTCTCTTTTTTTTTTTCGAAAAGTGTATTTCCGTCTCATCTTGTGTGTTTCAATATATTTTCATAAGATTTTCATTTTGTAGTACACGAGGAAACTCAAATCTCTGTGATTTGGCTGATAAGTGCAACAATAACAACACAAAATTCGTTGTACCAGTTGTGGCATCGGTTTCAACTGTAGTCCTTATTGTATTTGTGCTGCTTCTCTTTCTTGCATACAAAAAGAAAAAGACATCAAAAGGTATTTACAGGAGATTCAAAGATACTATCCATATTTATATATATATATATATATAATTTATCTATTGTGTCTGACTTACATTTATATACAGTTCCTCGTAGATCACCAATTACTAAGTCAGTAATTCTAACCAAGAAGAGAAGGTTTACATATTCGGAGGTCCAAGTACTGACAAATAACTTTGAAAGAGTTATTGGAGAAGGAGGGTTTGGAGTTGTGTACCATGGTCTTTTAAATGATAAAGAACAAGTAGCAGTTAAAGTGCTTTCACATTCATCAACTCAAGGCTATAAGCAATTTAAGGCAGAGGTAATATATTTGGAAACAGTATGAATAAAAGATGTACTTTTTGTGATGTTCCTAAGAAAGCATGACTTGTCATCACAAACCAAGGGACCATAACTTATGCTTCCTCATGGTTGATCAGGTAGAGCTGCTTCTTAGAGTTCACCACACAAATCTAGTAAACCTTGTTGGATATTGTAATGAAGAAGACCACTTGGCTCTCGTATATGAATATGCAGCTAAAGGGGATTTAAAACAGCATATTTCAGGTAGATATGCATTCAACAAAAACATTTGTAAGAAAACAATGATCAGTTAATAACTTGTGAAATTTCATGTTCCCTTTGTTGATAATAACATTCAAAGCTAGAGATAAACAAATTATTGATGATGTCTTCTCAAATACAGGAGAATCAGATGGTGTTGCTTTGGATTGGGAAAGTAGACTTCGAATCGTTATCGAGACTGCACAAGGTATGAGCTAAAATTATTAAATTAACATTCCTCCATTTTATTCTTTTTTTTTTACTGATGATTTGTCCCTTCACATATTGCATATTTCAAAGTTTTTTAATTTCTTTAATTTCACCAAGTAAAAAGTGAATGGCTTTTGTTGCAATACAGGATTAGAGTACTTACACAATGGATGCCAACCCCCAATGATTCACAGAGATGTTAAAACGACAAATATACTTTTGGACGAGCACCTTCAGGCAAAACTCGCTGATTTTGGACTTTCTAGATCTTTTCCAATAGGAGTTGAAAGTCACGTTTCTACAAATGTTGCTGGCACTCCTGGATATCTTGATCCTGAGTAAGAATATATATATATATATCATAATAAAAATTTATTCCTTTTTCATTGGTTAAGATAGATAAAAATGTGGCTTGCTTTGCAGATATTATCGAACAAACTGGTTGACCGAGAAGAGTGATGTATATAGTTTAGGGATTGTATTGTTGGAGATGATCACAGATCGGCCTGTGATTCAGCAAACTCGTGAAAAGCCTCATATAGGAGAATGGGTAGGGCTCATGCTTACCAAGGGAGATATTGAGAGCATTATGGATCCAAACCTGAAGGGAGAGTATGACTCAAGTTCCGTTTGGAAGGCTCTTGAGCTAGCTATGTCATGCGTGAACCCCTCTTCAGCGGGAAGACCAAACATGTCTCAAGTTGTTAGTGAACTTAAAGAATGTCTCATATATGAAAACTCAAGAAAAGAAGGAAGATCAGATATGGATTCAAAGAGTTCTCTCGAACTAAGCACTAGCTTCACCGCTGAAGTGACCCCTGATGCACGCTAATCTCTACAAGAATAACAGCTTTAATGCCCCCGTTTGAGTATTCCTTGTATCAATTTTTTTCTATTTATCCAATGTAAAAAGGCTTAAACTTTGGCCTGAAGTTATTTTTGTACTCAATTAATGTTTCTAAATGTACAGTTATATAAATATTGCCACCTATACTCCTGTCTAATGGAGGTTTTACATTACATAATAATGAGGTTTCAGGTGACACTTCAAATCTTTTGCTTACATATACTTTTTTTGATATATTGACAAATATTATAGAAGGGTAATATATTATTGAATTGTGTTATTGATACAAGAGAATAAGACCCATATATATAGGGTTAACATTAACATAATGATAACACCAAATAATGTAAATCTTCCTAATCCTTATCACAATAGGATTTCTCTAGAATATTCTTCCATGTGGCTTCACGGGCTTCACTTCATAAACGGGCTTCAATGGCCCACAATACTTGGTTCGCCTTGCTCACCAAGATATCTCCAATACTCCCCCGCACGACAAAGGTGGACGCGAAACGCAAAATCTGCAGTCACAATGCGGAACACCTATGTCGTGGACAATCATGTCGAGGATGGCAATACAAGTCAATAGGGATGGAACATGCTCGTCTTTGGTCTTGAAAGAAAGGGAATAATAACATCCCGTGGAAGCAAAATCCTGCAATTCCACAAATAATCGTCCTTGTCGCGGACAGCCCATAAATTGGACTAAGAATAAATGACCTAAAAACATGAGCGCTCCAATAAAAATCCCTAACCCATAACCAAACTCCCCCGTAATAGGAGAAACTAAAAAGAAAATTTGAGAAATTCTAAACTTAAGAATCAATCTCAAAAAATTAAACTAATAAACCCATGAAAACCACAACCCTTAATCAGAAGATTATCTTAATAACTCTCAAGTCTTGTATCAAACAAATAAAATAAAAGAAAATCAGCAATAAAACCAAAAACCACGTATTACTAATAAAATATAAAAACCAACTTAAAAAAGAAAAGGAAATTAAGAAAACTTTTGTAACGCAGTAAGAACACAAACTACGTCCGGATCATCATCGTCGGACTCTTCTTCTCAGTCATATGCGGAAGCTTTAATTGATCCTCAAAGATCGCTGCTCTGATACCATGACAAATATTATAGAAGGGTAAATATATTATTGAATTGTGTTATTGATACAAGAGAATAAGACCCATATATAGGGTTAACATTAACATAATGATAACACCAAATAATGTAAATCTTCCTAATCCTTATCACAATAGGATTTCTCTAGAATATTCTTCCATGTGGCTTCACGGGCTTCACTTCATAAACGGGCTTCAATGGCCCACAATACTTGGTTCGCCTTGCTCACCAAGATATCTCCAATATATATAAAGAGAGATGTTGAACAAGGTATTTTCTTCTACTATATGGATATTAATCCATAATATATTGTCCATTTATGTCCCACTTTTAGACATATGATTGCCACAAAATTAAATAAATAACCCATTAGAGGAATAAAGGTTGTAAGCACGTCGTCGTCATGGAGACCAATTATCCTGGTTGTTTCTGTTCTGTCAACAACTTTTTATAATCAAATAGTCAAAAGTCAACGATCAACCTTAATCTTGACTTGAAAATGAACAAGGAACTAAAGAGATAGGAGAAAACTGTTTGCTTCTTTGTCTGAAAACTCCACACACACAAAAAATGGAGATTCTTCAAGGACGTTTGCTAGCTTTGTTCATTGTGGCATTTGCCACTACTACTACATATCTAATTCAAGCTCAATCTGACCCAAAAGGTACACTCTTTTAATACAATTTGCACTTAAAAACTCTTAAAATTTTACATTCTCTTTGTTAGTTTTAATATATTCCACATCGATCTATATTTATGCCTTCTCTTACTAGAATTCATCAGCTTGGATTGCGGTTTACACCACGCGGTATCTCCTTATACCGAACCATTAACCGGATTAACATACACATCCGACGCCAACTTCACTCAAGGTGGTCAAAGTGGTCGTGTCCAAAAGGTTTGGGAAGAAGCCTATAAGCCATTCACAGTTCTAAGATATTTTCCAGACGGAGTACGAAACTGCTACAACCTAAAAGTCACTTTAGGCACTAAATATCTTGTCAAGGCTCTCTTCCTCTACGGGAACTACGACGGTCTTAACGATGGCCCTAAATTCGATATTTATCTAGGTCCTAACATATGGACAACGATCGATCTAAAAACCTCTATAGTTTCTCGAACGGAAGAGATCATACACATGACAACGTCAAGCTCTTTGCAGATTTGTCTTGTTAAAACAGGAAAGACTACACCAATCATTTCAGCTTTGGAGCTAAGACCTTTGAGAGACGACACTTACAACACTACAAATGGTTCTTTGAAGCTCTTAAAACGCTACTATTCTAGCGATTTTCTCGGTCCCTCAATACGGTAATTCTAAATTACTTGCAACACAAGAAACATAGTGTTATTATAAAAGGTGATATGTAATTCTTGGATTGTATTGTCTAGGTATCCATCGGATGTATATGATCGTGAATGGAAGCCGATAAGTCTTTCTTTTGGGTTGAGTTTTGTAAACACAAGTCTCAATGTAAACTCTTCTACACCTTATGAGCTACCACAAGAAGTCATTTCAAAGGCAGTCATTAACAAAAACGTGACCGAGAAGTTATCTTTTGACTGGATTGTGGATAACCGCGAGGATCAAGCTCTCATATACTTACATTTCGCTGAGATTCAAACACTTCGAGACAACGACACAAGAGAATTCGACGTTGTATGGAAAGGAAACGACGGAAACATTACAATCTCAGCTTATCGTCCTCCAAAGTTACAACTAGAGACTCTATACAACACATCGCCTATGAAATGTAGGTTTCTTGCATGTACAGTGGAGCTGGTTATGACTCAAAGCTCAACGCTCCCACCAATGATCAATGCTATGGAAGCTTACATGATTGTTGAGTTCCTAGATGCAGAAACTAATCAAGAAGATGGTTAGTAAAATCAATTATCACTAGTATCGAAATTTTCGCTACGTTTCTGTATATTGACTTCGGTTTCTTGGCAGCTTCTGCGGTCGAGGATGTTCGAGATACTTATGAATTGAGTAGAATCGACTGGCAAGGAGATCCGTGTGTACCTCGAATGTTCAAATGGGAAGGTTTAAATTGCAGCTACACAAATGCTACTCTTCCACCAAGAATCATTTCCTTGTAAGATCATTCTTAATCTCATGTTTAACTTACTTTTGAAATGTTTAAAATCCATGTAAATGAGATTTATGTTTTGATTAACAGAGACTTATCATCAAGTGGACTAAAGGGAGTCATAGCATCAAGCATACAAAATCTAACCCATTTACAAGAACTGTAAGTTAATTAATATCCTTGAAAACAGAATTTATCCCCTTTATTATATTGTAAGCATTTTGCTTGTTTCTTGATTTATGTACAACTTTATCTTATTTGAATGCTAGGGATTTGTCAAATAACAATTTAAGTGGAGGAGTTCCTGAATTTCTAGGAAACATGGAATCATTGTTGATCATGTGAGTATATTTCTTTTGGTAAACAATAAGTGATCATACTTTTTCACTTGGTAGATACGTAATGTTCTCTGTTTTACCAGAAACTTAGGATGGAACAGTTTAACTGGTCCAATTCCTCAAGCCCTTCGTGATAGAGAAAAGAAAGGGCTAAAACTGGTGTAAGTTTCTTCCTCAACAGTTTCTTGTTCCTGATGACTTTGGGTATATAATAACATTCCTGCTCCGTAGTGTTCATGGAAACCCAAATCTTTGTCTCTCCGACTCATGCAACAGCAACAACAAGAAAGTTCTAGTTCCCGTTTTTGCTTCGGTCGCGGGTCTTATCGCTTTGTTAGTTCTCTTCTTTGTTTTGAGAAAGAAAAAGCCCTTATCAAAAGGTAAGTAGACAAATATTTATTCAACAACCAATCAAGAAAAAACGAAGTGTGTAATAAACTATTAAGTTTCATGGTATATATATAGTAATGGCATAAGCTCTTTGCATGTAACAGCTTCTACACGAGAGTTACCAAGAAAGTCATCAATCTTTGCCAAAAAGAAAAAGTTCACTTACTCAGAGGTCGTTGAGCTTACAAATAACTTCGAAAGAGTTCTTGGAGAAGGAGGTTTTGGAGTTGTCTACCACGGTTCTTTGAGTGATAAAGAACCAGTAGCTGTTAAAGTTCTCTCTGAGTCATCAGTTCAAGGCTACAAAGAATTTAAGGCAGAGGTAAGCTAAACATTTCTGCACTTGTTTTGATTGAAAAAACTTGTTTGGTGTCTTATTGATAGTACTATATATGAATTGTGACCTAAAAAAGGTGGAGCTTCTTCTAAGAGTGCATCACATAAACTTGGTAACCCTTGTTGGTTACTGTGACGAAGGAGGCCATTTAGCACTCATCTATGAATACATGGCCAATGGAGACCTTAAACAACATTTATCAGGTAACTAAACATTAATACAATGCATGTCTGTATTCGTCTCTGATTTAAATGTTTATGATGTACTTAACTTGTAAGAGCATTTTCATTTACAGGAGAAACCGCCGGATCTACTTTGAAATGGGCTAGTAGACTAAAAATTGCTGTCGAAGCAGCACAAGGTTAATTCTTGCTTAACTATAATATTGCATTTAAAACCAAAAAAAAAAAACTATAATATTGCATAGTCATTATGAAGTACTCAAACATATATATTTTACTTTGTAAGCTTTTTTTATCTACCAGCTTTACTATAATCCACTCAACATGGATGTGATTTTGTGTCCATAGGGTTAGAGTATTTGCATGTTGGATGCGAGCCACCAATGGTTCATAGAGATGTCAAAAGTACAAACATACTATTAGATAATCGTTTTGAGGCCAAACTTGCGGACTTTGGACTTTCAAGATCATTTTCTGTTGGAGCCGAAACTCAAGTGGAAACAGTCGTAGCAGGCACACCTGGATATCTTGATCCCGAGTAACTTCTCTAATTCATATACAAACTATATAAGATAACTTTTCAACATTTCTTTTTTCCTTCATTAAGTACTTCCATAAACTTTTGCAGATATTACCTAACGAATTGGTTAAACGAGAAGAGTGACGTGTACAGTTTCGGTGTTGTACTAATAGAGATCATCACGAACCGAGCAGTGATTGAGCTAACACGAGAGAAAGCTCACATAGCGGAATGGGTAAAAGTTCTTATAAGCAGAGGAGATATTGAGAAGATCGTTGACCCAAATCTTGGTGGAGATTATGATTCTAACACAGTCTGGAGGATTCTTGAACTAGCGATGTCTAGCGTGAGTCACTCTTCGTCTGATAGACCAAGCATGTCGAAAGTTGTTAACGTCCTTAAAGAGTGTTTGATCTCTGAGAATTTGAGAACAGGAGGAGGACAGATTCAAGATGATGAGTCAATGAACTCAGAGTTGACTGTAAATTTTGGAACTGAAGTAACCCCTTTTGCACGGTAGCTCGTTTCTAAAGAATCTTTTATCTTGTTTTCTCTAATATTGTTAATTTGTTGTTTTATGTTATTTTCATCAAACTCTTCAGAATTTTTGTTAATTGTTGTTCTTATTCTTCTTTTTCTTTTTTTTTTTGGTTCTAGGGTTCTTGTTTCTTTTCTCAGTTGTGTCTTCTTTACACATTGATCGTTTGCTACAAAAGAGACGTACTAAAAAAAAAAAAAAAAAAAAAACTTAGATATCTAAAAGCTACCTCATCTAACTCAATTTGCCATTTGGTCACCTACAGGCTTATGACTTCTTTATAACGTAGACAAGTTGCTGCAGCTCCTTTATACGTTTCTTTTATAGAATTCAGTTTGTTTTTGTCCGTCAGAAATTTCACAAGCTTTGGTGTGTCATAATAGTTTGACTTATGAATAAAACTACACCAAACCGCTTTAAATAAGTTTTTCTTGGTCAGAGTATAATATTATAGAGTGATTTACGCTTAAAGGCACTTTACACTTTAAAACTATCAAAATAGGCACTTTGTGGATATGAGGGACTTGGGTTGTTTTCAATAGAGTTTTGGTACACGAAATTCCAATGTTACCCTTAATGAGGAAGTTGTTGTTTGATTAAAATAGGGATCCCATTAAAATAATAGCATTTTTTTTTTTGCTAAACGAAGCTTCTGTCTCTCCTCCGACGGAAAAATGAGACAGTGCTATGGTGGCGAGAAGAATCACCACTTCAATCATATATAAGAAATTGTTTATAATCATTAAGAAATCACCATAGAAAATATCAAAAAATTGGTCATTGGAACATACGACCGGTCACTTTCGTAGTTTTCGCTTGAATTCTTTGTTTGGGTATTATTATATGTGGACAAAGAAGCAAACTACATACTGATTTTTGGATAAGAAAATATGGATAGACAAATAGTTTGTATAAAAAGACAGCATATGGATATAAGATAGTGGATGATTTGATAGTAAGAAACACGTGTCTCTGAATATATCTATGTGGACACAGTCTTGTGGATGCCAGTTATCTTGAGCGTGGATATTAAAAATGTATGGATACGTGATTGTGGATGCATTAGATTAGCATGATAAGGTTTTGGAGATTGAGAATGTGAGCAAACGCAAAAGCACCATCTGCAACAACATAGCAAATGAAAACTTCATGTGTGAGACAACAACTTGAATTTCCGCTACAGCTTTATATGAGTTATGCTTTTGGAAACATGATGTATCCCTTCAAGTTAAGTTAATTTTTCTGGAGTATCTTTGTGCAGCTTTAATGTTGTTTTGGTCTGTTCGTTTGATTTAATGAATTTACCTTTGCTATGTGTAACAAAAATTGATATATAACGTTAAAGCAGAGATATATGATTTTTTGCAGCTTGCTTAGATTTGGCTGCTCCTCAACTACAAGGGGAGAATGGCAAGTCGACTTGTGCCTCGTGAAGATAGAACTCCAATTCTAATTTGGAATTTTCTGTGTCTTTGTTATATTTGTTGAGATCATAACAAAGGACTCTTCAAAACTGTCTACGGATATATTTGTATTAACAGATAACTTGTTTATGATATTTGATAAATGGATGGCTATCCAATTGGATGGAGTTTCGTGGACAACAATAGTATGGATATATACAATTATTAAAGAATAAATAGATGTTAGTTGTGATATAGTTAGCCATGCAAGTGCATAGCCGAAAAACACATGAATAGATATATCACGTACATCTTAGTTGGTGTGGCCTAAACCAATATTGCAACATAGATATATTTGTATGGATATTATATGATACATAGAATAACATTACAAGATTCATATCACTCGACTTTGCAGCGTTATCTCTAAACATTATATGCAAATACACAAAAAACTAATAAAATACACAAACTCTAAACATGATTTAAGAGTCTCAATGGTTTTCTGAAGGTCTACCGGCTTCTAAAAAAAAGTCCTAAAAGATATAGAAGGTCTTCAAGTGACTTTAACTCCAAGGGGAATGTTCTTGTTGAATCTTCGTAGATCTAGCTGAAAATTTATAGGTAAATTGTATGGTTCAGACACGTGTATAACATATATAATCTTCAAAACACATGCTCATCATGAGTAAAATCTGAAATCAATGCATCATTGTATACTAATGAATGTTTGAAACTAGATTCAACTGTAAAATGATAAAGTAGACTTGAAATCAGAAAAATAAATGTTCATGTTTTAGCTTCAAACTTAGAATACTTAACTTGAAATTCATATATAAAACCCAATTTTTTAGAAAAATGCTAGAGCTACAAAAGCTATCTAACTTATCCCACTCATGAGTTATCCACAACATCATGTACATGATCACATGTCCATGCAAATATGTCCATGGGATATAAGTGTTATATATTTATATGGATATAAAGAGTGTGGAGAAAGTCATATGAACACATTCAATGAGATGACCAACACATAGTATCCACATGAATGTGTTGGAGTGGATATTAATTTTCTCCTTTTTGAGTGAACAACACCCATACTTTGTCCAAAATCATAATTTTCACATCCTAAAATTCTATCCATGCTACGTTGTCCACTCACACTAATCCACGGTAGAGTGTCCACGTAAATTTGTAAAGCCGCTGTTGTTTTCTCACACTTTCTATAATGATATTGTTGTTACTGTAAAAGTTAAAGTCGTTGAAAAGCTTGCATTTTTTCTATTTCTTTTTCAATGTTTAATTGCAATTTTAGTAAGATGATAGCTATACAATAATACACCACCAACACTGATCCATTAAGAACATAATGTCTTGTTAGTTGTCCATGACAGTGTGTTCACTCAAAGATGTACATAAGTCTAAAATCACATTGGCAAAATGAAGTACCTTATTCTCGAATACCTTAAAAGAAACCCACACTATATATTTGCAATTATAATACATCTAAAAGGACAAAGCTTGTAAGGAAGGTTTTTACATGGACAAAAACAAAATCATGTGTACATAAACAAATGGATGAATTCATATGGACAATTATCCCTTATATGACAAAAAATAATGTGACAATGGAAGAGGAACCTGCTAACCATAATATTCACAGAGTTGTGTGGTAAGCAAATTAGGTACCATACAAACACATGTATAACATATATAGTCTTCAACACATGCTCATCAAGTCATCATGAGTAAAATCTGAAATCAATGCATCATTGTATATTAATTAGTGTTTGAAACTAGATTCAACTGTAAAATGATGGAATAGACTTGAAATCAGTATAAAAAAATGTTCATATTTTAGCTTCAAACTTAGAATACTAACTTGAAATTCACATATACAACCCAAACTTTTAGAAACATGGAAGAGCTATAAAAGCTATCTAACTTATCACACTCATGAATTATCCACAAGATCATGTAAATGATCACATGTCCATGCAAACATATCCATGATATATAAGTGTTATATATTCATATGGATATAAAGAGTGTGGAGAAAGTCATATGAAGACATTCAACGAAATGACCAACACATAGTATCCACATGGATACGTTGGTGTGGATCCATGCTACGTTGTCCACTAACACTCATCCATACTACGTTGTCCACTAACACTCAGCAAATTAGTTGGACATCGAATAAACTGGGAAATAGCAATTTAGTTATCTGAAAATGGCCTCCGGTTTGATTGCAAGATGGGTTGGAACGAAAAAATTGAAATTAACAACGGCGGCGACATTGATTTTGGTGCAGTTTACCAACGCTCCACAGCCAGAGAAATCGCGACGATAACTGTACAAATTCCGGTGACGACCAATGTCGGAGTGAATTCAAGCAACACACCTTCTCTGTAAACATTTTTCCCGACAACTCTCTGTCTAACAATTAAAAAAAAAAAGAGAGAATTTTTAGATTATAAATTCGATCTAAAAACAAAATCGTGACAAGAAACTGTCTTCTCTTTGCCACTAGAAAAAATTGGGTGGAGGAAGAGCAGATGAAAGGAGTGAAGATTTGCCAGAATTTATTTTATCTCCGATATGTTTTCTTTTAACAGAGAAAAAAAAGGTAAAACAAATTGTTGTGAAAGTTAAAGAAAAATAAGAGAGGGCTGTTGTGTAATTTCGATTGGGCAAAGTCACCTAAGAGTATAAAGTGCCTCTTTGTGTAATAGGTAAGTGAGAAAGTGTCTTTCACTGTAATTATCTCAATATTATACTATTTTATATATAATTTTGTATATTTTAGTGTTTGGTAGTTTGAAAATGCTTCAACTACAGTTTCCAACAAACATATAAATTCCAAAAATTGAACGGGAACGTTCATGTTACTTTTTGAAGAGTTTTGATGTTTTTGTGTTCTCGATATGGTTTTTAGATTGTTAACCAAAGTGCTATTTGTCCTGTTTTTTTGGTCTCTGTTGTGTGTATAAATTAGAAGTGTGTTGTTGATTGCCATGGACCAAAGTCACAAAACTTGCATCATTTTTGTGACTTTATAATCAGTTGTTGTCATTCTTCTTTAGTTAACAAATTAGTTAAAAAAAAAAAAACATCAAATGAAAAATAGAAGAAAGTATGAGCAATTCGTGAACATTGGAGGTGGAGTTTTTTACTAATCTTAAGGTTTTGGAGCTTGAATGCAAAGTCTTGAGATGTAATTGCTATAAAGCCTTCACGTTCAGGCTCTGCAAAAGATTTCACGCTAACAAATTGGCATCCAAAATAGAAATACAAAACGAATTCAAGAAAGAGAACTGGAAATGGTAAAGAAGACTGTTATTGTTTTTCAAGCTCTGATTTCACAGAAGATATAATCCTTCTTTTACAGTTTGCTGCAATAAAACGACAAACAATGAGTGCAGATACAAAACTAATGTCGACGGTCGAAGTGAAAAAAATAAATCAAACCGAACGGTTTAGTCCGACCAGATCTGAGTCGAAGCTTGGGTTATCAAAAAAAAAATCTGAGTCGAAGTGAACAACGAAAACGGCGTCGTATCGAACATTCCCGATAATCAAACAAAGTATCGAAAATCTCTCTAGTGAGAACAGAGAAGAAGAAGAGAACACTCGCCATGAAATCACCTAAACCTCCGAATCTCTCTGATAAATCTCTTAAACCCAATTTCTTCTACGGCCACCGTAAGCCGTCGCGCAATCGTCCCGTCGTCTACGGTGGTCTCTTCTCCAATCGCCAATCTCTCTCACAGGATTCACCCAAACCACAATCCAACTCCGTCGCCGACCGAACGACTTTCGATCTCCGCAAATGGGACCCAGAAACCCGTCTCCCTTCAGAAAGAGCTCCTCCTTGGTCTCCTCCTTCCACGGTGATCTCCGCCGCCTCCGAACGCCTCTCCCCGATCGCGAGGTTCGTCCTCGACGCTCTTCGGAAGAATCAGAACCATTGGGGTCCCTCAGTGGTCTCTGAGCTCAACAAACTCCGCCGCGTCACGCCGAGCAGAGGTTCTGAAAACAGGGAAAGACGCTGCAGTCGCGGCGAAGTTCTTCCACTGGGCCGGTAAGCAAAAAGGCTATAAACACGATTTCGCGTCTTACAACGCCTTTGCATTTGCGTGCCGCCGATCAGTTACCGGAGCTGATGGATTCTCAAGGAAAGCCTCCATCGGAGAAACAATTCGGGATTCTGATTAGAATGCATTCAGATAACAAGAGATGAAGAAGTTCGGATTCAAGCCTAGAGTTTTCCTGTACAATAGGATAATGGATGCTCTGATGAAAAATGGCTACTTTGATTTAGCATTAGCCGTTTATGAGGATTTCAAAGAAGATGGGTTGGTGGAGGAGAGTACTACTTTCATGATCTTGGTTAAAGGGTTATGTAAAGCTGGTCGTATAGAGGAAATGCTTGAGATTCTGCAGAGAATGAGAGATAATTTGTGTAAGCCTCATGTTTTTGCATACACAGCAATGATCAAGACTCTTGTTTCTGAAGGGAATTTGGATGCAAGTTTAAGAGTTTGGGATGAGATTAAACCTGATGTGATGGCGTATGGGACACTTGTTATGGGTCTGTGTAGAGACGGTAGAGTTGAGAGAGGTCATGAGCTGTTTGTGGAGATGAAGGAGAAGCAGATTTTGATTGATAGAGATATCTACAGGGTTTTGATTGAAGGGTTTGTAAGGGATGGGAAGGTTAGATCTGCGGCAAGATCTTGTGGATTCTGGGTATATACAATGCTGTTATTAAAGGGCTGTCTAGTGTGAAGCAGGTTGATAAAGCGTTTAAGCTCTTCCAGATTGCAGTGGAGGAAGAGCTTGAGCCAGATTTTGAGACTTTAAGTCCCATTATGGTTGGATATGTGGTGATGATGAGGCTGAGTGATTTCTTGAGTTTGGTAGAGCGAATTGGGAATTTAGGATATCCTGTTGGAGATTACGTTACTGAGATTGATGAAAAGAAGAGAGCTATGGCTTTAGATGTTTTTGATGTGTTAAAGAGTAACGGTCATGCAAGTGTCTCTGTGTACAACCTTCTCATGGAAGCTCTTTACAAGATTGGAGATGTTCAAAAGTCTTTGTCACTTTTCAGTGAGATGAAGGGTTTTGGGTTTGAGCCAGATTCGTCATCGTACAGTATTGCGATCTGCTGTTTTGTTGAGAAAGGAGAAGTGGAAGAGGCTTGCTCATGCCATGAGAAAATCACTGACATGTCTTGTGTACCTTCCATAGCTGCTTATCTGTCTCTTAATAAAGGACTCAGCCAAATCGGAGAAATTGATGCGGTGATGATAATAGTTCGTGAATGTCTAGGAAACGTTGAGAGTGGCCCGATGGAGTTTAAGTACGCTCTTCGTGTTTGTCATGTATGCAAAGGGAGTAGTAACGCAGAGAAGGTTATAGAAGTAGTAGATGAGATGAAGCAACAAGTTGTTTCTATCAATGAAGTTACATACTCTGCGATTATCTTTGGTATGTGTAAACATGGAACGATAAAAGCAGCAAGAGAAGTATTTGCAGAGCTGAAGAAGCGCAAAGTTATGACGGAAGCTGAAACGGTAGTGTATGATGAGATGTTAGTTGAGGAGACAAAGAAGAAGACAGCTGATTTGGTGGTTTCAGGGATCAAGTTTTTCGGTCTTGAGTCGAAACTAAGAGAAAGAGGTTGCAAACTACTCTGACAAATCATTCAGCTGCATGTGCTTTTACCAAACTAGTGCATAAGCTCTTTTGGGCATTATTGGTATATGTCCATTGGAAAATCTTGTAGAGGTTAAGATTATTGGTGACTTGTCTTTGATGTTCCATGCAGTATATAGATGGGTTTATCTTCTGCTCAAGAGCATAGTCTCTCTTACATTGTTGGTTTGTTTGTTCCCTTGGCAATTCAAAACGATTACATGTCTTACTTGTGCCTCCATTTTATGCTTGCAGCCAAGTAAGACATATACTGAGCTCGTCCTTGTATCTGACTTGTTTCCAGCAATCACTTTTTGTGCAACCTTAAGCGAGTGGACATCATTACAATCACACAAGTGTCTGATTTTGTGCTCATGACCTATGACAAGAAAGCCAGTCCAAGCGAGGGATGTAGACTCAAAACGCTAATATCAGATCGTTTCAGTGACATGAGTGAGTATATAGATTAGTGCTGTATTATCCAATAGAGGCTGAATCTTCAAAGCGAAGATCTTTGAGTGCTGTTTGATTTGACAGGTTTTGATAGTAAATTTATGTAGTCTTTCTGCAGCATACAAGTATATCATTATTGTTCTCTTTACCATATCATAATCAAATTCAAAAACGTTGAAAGATCACAACTTTGTCAAAACAACCATTGGGAGAGATAAACCCGGAAATTGGAAGAATCCAATACAAACTCTCAAACACACTTCTTCATCACAATGAAACCTTTTACCTCTTCTCCATGTTCTTCAGCAAGATTTCAAATAATTGCTGGTATTTGTTGACGAACGATTCTTCCCGGTGAAAACTTGTTTCCAGCTCAATGAAACAACCTGAAAACAATACAAATATGCAATTACGTTTAGCAAACTCACTATTTCTCACATGATACGGTTTTTAAAATGTTGGAGTATTAGTAATGAGTCATCTAAACCGTTGGATTAACTCACTATTTCACATGAGACATTTCAAAAAAAAAAAACGTAAGAGAGACGTTAGATTCAAAATGAGTCATCTAAACCGTTGGATTAAAAAGGAGTTATCTTAACCGTTAGATTAAGTTTCCCTTTTCTTTTCTTCTTCCCTTTAAAACTCTGCTCGACTTCATTATTGCGAAAATAAAATAAAACGCTAATTACTTCTCTTTTCAGTGCCGACGCTTTCTTCCTTGGGGGAAATCACAAGATAAAGTGATTAACAGTAGCGTTCACCGATCTCCCCACAAGAATTGGAATCGGAAATACTCTCTAGGGTTCTGGCCATACTAATCGAACCAACGACAGGATCTTTCATCCGTCCATCGAGTTTACAGGTAAAGACTCGGAACATGCGTGATATCTGATATATCTTTTGTTTTTCGATTTAATTCCGCATGAAACCTATTTTCACAATTGGAAAATTTCGTTTCATTCTTAGATTGGTGGTTTTCTATTTCTATCAGATCGCGAATTCAATTTTTTTTTAGGGTTCGATCTTTTTTTAGGGTTTTCGTTTTTGATCGGTTCGATTCCGATTTTTTTTTGGGATTCGATCGTTTCTCTCGCATCGCAACCCTTGTTCATGGAGATTCCTCCTATATCCATCACCGACTTGTCTTTTTCTTCGAATATAGTGGAAGACACCATTATAACCTTTTTTCCTTGTAAAATCTCTACCTCTCTGGCAGGTCGCTTGGTTGAATTAGTTGGTCGACAGACGAATTTGACTTCTCCGTCACAAGGATATGTTATTTCCAATCGGATCATCTACTCTCTGCACCAAGGTCAGAAATTATCTAACTCTCCGGTGATTATGCTCTGTTTACTGGTTCGATTGTTGGTTGAATTGTTTCGGTAGAATGCTGGTTTTGTTCAAAGACCATAGATTTCAGAATTGGGATTTTATGAAAGTCGAAACCTTTACATGACTGGTGATAAAATACTTGGAAATTAGCAAGATTTGTATTCCAATGCATAAGGTTGCTACTTGCTAGTTGATCAATCGGTTTCATTAGCATTGCGTTCCTCTAGATTTTAGCGGATGAGGATTTCCTAAGTGTTTCTAATGGTGGAATTGGAAAATTTGCGTTGTCAGGTAGCTGTGAGATTGCTAGGCACTGGAAATGGAAAGCGAAGAGTGTGAGTACAAGTTCGAGAATTAGTGGCTCCTTTGCTGCCTCTAGTTATACCACGTGAGGAACTTACTTGGTCTTCGATGTGGGTGATGCTAATTTGTGACCTGAAGTCACATGACAAGGTAATTAAGGCTGGTCATCCTATAGCCCTCCAACAGATCATAGGCATGCACTAATCTAATAGTGTTTTTGTCAGATTCATGTTGGGGAACATTGTCCCGTTTGGTCAATCTTATTGGTTGGTAGTGCATGCCTAATCAAAGGAAGTTAAAGAATGGATCATATGCAGACACTTCCTTTGATGTTTCTGTTTTCCCTTTAGCCCCAACAGATCATATGCATACACTAATCTAATAGTGTTGTGTGTCAGATTCTTGTTGGGGACATTGTCCCGTTGGTTGGTAGTGCATGTCGAAGCAAAGGAAAGTCAGGGGATGGAAACTAAAACACACGGCTTGAAAGTCTTTTAGAGAAAGACTATGGGTTTGTTGCGTTGGATGGATAAAGTCTTTAGCCTTGTTGGAAGGGATTCATGAACGATGGCTTAAAGTCTAAGGACTATAAAACCGTTACATACCCACGGCTTGAGAAAAGTAGTGAATCCGTTACTCTATCCACGGCTTAAAAGTCTTTAGACAAAAGACTGAACGGATTCACTACTTTACTATAATACCCACGGCTTATCAAAAGTCTTAAGACTATAAATAGTCAGATTCTTTTGGGGACAATGACCCGTTTGATTGGTTGGTAGTGCATGCGCAAAGGAATGGTGAATAACATGACCGATGGCTTAAAGTCTAAGGACTATAAATTACATACCCATGGCTTGAGAAAAGTAGTGAATCCGTTACTTACCCTCGGCTTAAAAGTCTTTAGACAAAAGACTGAACGAATTCACTACTTTACTACACCCACGGCTTATAAAAGTCTTAAAGACAATAAAAAGTGAGAATGTCCCGTTTGATTGGTTGGTAGTGCATGCTTAAATGTCTTTAGCAAAAGACTGATGAGTCTACGGACTATAAAATGGTGAAGAATAACATGACCGATGGCTTAAAGTCTAAGGACTATAAATTACAAACCCACGGCTTGAGAAAAGTAGTGAATTTGTTACTTACCCTCGGCTTAAAAGTCTTTAGACAAAAGACTGAACGGATTCACTACTTTACTACACCCACGGCTTATCAAAAGTCTTAAAGACTATAAAAAGTGAGAATGTCCCGTTTGATTGGTTGGTAGTGCATGCTTAAATGTCTTTAGCAAAAGACTGATGAGTCTACGGACTATAAAATGGTGAAGAATAACATGACCGATGGCTTAAAGTCTAAGGACTATAAATTACAAACCCACGGCTTGAGAAAAGTAGTGAATCCGTTACTTACCCTCGGCTTAAAAGTCTTTAGACAAAAGACTGAACGGATTCACTACTTTACTACACCCACGGCTTATCAAAAGTCTTAAAGACTATAAAAAGTGAGAATGTCCCGTTTGATTGGTTGGTAGTGCATGCTTAAATGTCTTTAGCAAAAGACTGATGAGTCTACGGACTATAAAATGGTGAAGAATAACATGACCGATGGCTTAAAGTCTAAGGACTATAAATTACAAACCCACGGCTTGAGAAAAGTAGTGAATCTGTTACTTACCCTCGGCTTAAAAGTCTTTAGACAAAAGACTGAACGGATTCACTACTTTACTACACCCACGGCTTATCAAAAGTCTTAAAGACTATAAAAAGTGAGAATGTCCCGTTTTATTGGTTGGTAGTGCATGCTTAAATGTCTTTAGCAAAAGTCTGATGAGTCTACGGACTATAAAATGGTGAAGAATAACATGACCGATGTCTTAAAGTCTAAGGACTATAAATTACAAACCCACGGCTTGAGAAAAGTAGTGAATCTGTTACTTACCCTCGGCTTAAAAGTCTTTAGACAAAAGACTGAACGGATTCACTACTTTACTACACCCACGGCTTATCAAAAGTCTTAAAGACTATAAAAAGTGAGAATGTCCCGTTTTATTGGTTGGTAGTGCATGCTTAAATGTCTTTAGCAAAAGTCTGATGAGTCTACGGACTATAAAATGGTGAAGAATAACATGACCGATGGCTTAAAGTCTAAGGACTATAAATTACAAACCCACGGCTTGAGAAAAGTAGTGAATCTGTTACTTACCCTCGGCTTAAAAGTCTTTAGACAAAAGACTGAACGGATTCACTACTTTACTACACCCACGGCTTATCAAAAGTCTTAAAGACTATAAAAAGTGAGAATGTCCCGTTTGATTGGTTGGTAGTGCATGCTTAAATGTCTTTAGCAAAAGACTGATGAGTCTACGGACTATAAAATGGTGAAGAATAACATGACCGATGGCTTAAAGTCTAAGGACTATAAATTACATACCCACGGCTTGAGAAAAGTAGTGAATCCGTTACTTACCCTCGGCTTAAAAGTCTTTAAACAAAAGACTGAACGGATTCACTACTTTACTACCCACAGCTTATCAAAAGTCTTAAGACTATAAACAGGCAGATTCTTGTCTGGGGACAATGACCCGTTTTATTGGTTGGTAGTGCATGCGCAAAGGATGTTAAAGGAATGGAAAATAATGCATGCGCAAAGGATGTTAAAGGAATGGAAAATAAAACTATGAGTTGGTTGGTAGTGCATGCTTAAATGTCTTTAGAGAAAGAAAGACTATGAGTTGGCTTATAAAAGAAGCAAGAGTATGGATCAGAAAAGAGTATTGGAAAGGGATTTGTTACTTAAAACCCACGGCTTGAGGAAAGTAGTGAATCCGTTACTTTACCCTCAGCTTAAAAGTCTCTAGACAAAAGACTCAACGGATTCACTATTTTACTTTAATACCACCCACGGCTTATCA